TCCGCTAACCTAGAAGAAGTACCTCAGGTTGAGAACTTTGCCCCAGGATGAGAATGGAAATCGTGCGGCGGCAGCTGTGGGAGGCCCCATTAGCGAAAGAGTGCCTCAGGTTAAGAACGGTTTCAGGTTAAGAACGGACCTCCGGAATAAATTAAGTTCGTAATCCGAGGTACCACTGTATTTGCCAAATTACTAGCAGACACAGAGACCCATTTGAAAGTCAGACCCACACTACCTAAGAACGATAGGCTTGCTGGATTCCTACTCTTGTACGTAGACTCATCTCCTTATTCAAATTAGCTTTTCAGGATTTCAGCCCCAGAGAATACTCAATCACAGCCCAAGTCCTCACTTAAAACCATTTAGCTGTGACTGGAAATTAGCATAATAATACTTCAACTTGAGCGGGTGGGCATTGGTGGGAAGCAGTGGAAAATACCCGCCCTTTCCTGTCCCTGTATTAGGAAGCTTAAATTATGGATCTAGCAGACATTAGCAGTGGGTATGCATATGGGGATTCAAGTTCAGCCATGCATCTGACAGAGTGGGCTCCAGTCCACGAATGTTTCCGCCGTAATAAATCCATTAGTCTTTAAGGTGCCACAGGACTCTCTGCTGCTTTGGCTGCAAGAGACTAACACAGCTCTCCTTCGGGGTGTGGGGGAAAGTTCAGCCATGGTGATTTAAAAATGAAGCCTTTATAAGGTACCTTTCATGAATTAACAATTATGAGCTAAGAGTTACAGATGCTGGAAAGCACAGTGATAAGACCATTTAAGGTTTCGTTGCTCACCCGTTATTAGACTTGTCATGCAGATGCCATTCACAACAGTTGCATTTTGCAGGACTTTGCGATCCTTGCATTCAGTACCTTAGGTTATTGCTGCCTGCTTGGAAGCTTCAAACTAGCACACAGTCCATCTCTAAAAACGAGTTATAAACTGTAAAAAATCTTGCCCAATTCCCCAATCCAAATACAATTACAATAACTCAGGTTCAAATCTGAGTTGGGCTTTTTAAAATTGACACCTATCAGTTGACACCAGCTCTTTGGTGTCCTCTTCCAGCAAACTTCCCCTGATACAACTCTGTGTTATATATGCCTCTCACACGGCATATCCATGATAATGATTCATTAACCCATTTAAGGTCAGCCATCACAAGATAACGGCAGTGGACCTCATTGCTAACTATTTTCCTTGGGGGTGGGGGAGGAGAGAAAAGAAAGACATATCTGATAGTTCTTCTCCATTGTCAGAAGTATTATCAAAGTGCCATCTACTGGCATATTGGATATTAAATTTCAGCTGCTGAGCACTCATTCTGTTGTGCGCTTTGAAATCATTGCAGCAAGTCTTGCTGGGAGTGACGAATCTTGACGTGGCATCGCTCTCAGGGGAAATTTTATGCATTTCGCATGCAATCCCCAAGTGCATGTAAAATAAAGCGTACACAAAATTTCCACTGCGCGCAATGGCATGACGTCAAGACTCATCGCTCCCAGAGGACTTGCTACATCAATTTCTATAAGAGCTAGACAACCACCCTCATGCAGCTGAAATTACTTTTCAAAGGCAGCAGGCACCCCTTGGTCCACACTGTATGCAAATCTGTAAGAGTTTGAATCTGGCAATGGCCGGACTCTGATTCATAATATCAGCTCACCAGATTCCTCCTCCATCCTTAGTGGCAAACAAAAACCAATATTTCTGTCTCATTTTCAGGTGTCTGTTACCAACTGAGTCAACAGGATTGGTTTTTTAAATGATAAATGATTGCCAATTTGCCTCTGTAACAAATAAACACATTTTTGCAAGAACATGCCTGTCTCCTAAAGTAATCCCCCAGACCTATCTCCCAGGGTATAAATAGATATTCTGAAGCACTGGTTCCCAAATAGAGCAGTGGGGTTATTAGGGGTGGGGTGGGGGGTTGCACTAAGAGGCATATGGGCAAAAGGAGGAGCTGGAGGGGTAAATGACAATCACTGGATCACATTCATCAGTTCTGTTGAATTAAACTAAATAGTTTCCATTGGATTTTGAATACATGTGCTATTAATTGTTCCTGTTTTGAATTTTATTTTATATTCCTTAGTGGGTCGTGCAAACTGCTATTCTGAATAATGCTTTACATGGGGTAAGTTAGGGGTATGAACTTATTGAACAAGGAGGCAGTGGCCTGAGAAGGTTTGGGAGCCACTGTATTGAAGCATCACATTCTGAAGCATATCAAACAGTTGTCTTTCATTGTCCTTGCAGGTGTATATGAAATAATAGTTCCCTATGAAGTTCTAATGCTGCCATCACACTGTTTTTCCTTCTGGCAGGAACGTGTAACATTTAATTTTGTAACTCCTATAGTAGCCCCGCATGCTGATTAGAACTGAAAATATAGAAAAACAAATCTGTTGGCTTGTTCAGAAAAATCTGCTGTGCATTCATGTATAGTTAATATTTCTAAAAAACACACCCTGCATTTTAAGAATACTGAACAATATTGTAGTTTGCTCCAGTCAAGCAGTCTTCACATGCCACCTGGTGGACACAAAGAGTTATGCCATAAAGCGCATCACACTTTCTTCCCTGCTGCGAAACACTTTGCAAGGCAAATAATATTAGGACTTTATGTACACGAAATCGGCTTGTTCTATCGTTTGCCCAAGGCAATGCTATCCCACAGCCCAAAAATGTATAAAATCGGGCACATTATTCAAGTAATTTGTCCCACCAGTGCAAGAATTTTCACTTGCACAACGGAAGTGGCACAGCCACCCTGTGCACCCCCTAAACCTGTTCTGCAGATTCGTTCAACCCTCGGAGCAGATTTGAAAAGGCTCTGGGGTTTGTGCAGGGAGAGGAGAAATTCTATTGCACAAGAAGTTGGTTGGCTACCACCCACAGTCCCAAACTTATTTGGTCTGTGAACAACTGTCAAATTTCCAGTTTAAACAGGAGGTGTTCTACACGAATCTAATTCTGTGCAACTGCTTTGCTGTTTAACTAATACATTTTCTGCTTGGCAATACACAACTGCATCAAACTAGGGTTGTCAACTCCTCATGCTCAGGTTAGGAGAACCAGTGTGGTGTAGTGGATAGAGTGACAGACGTTGGCCCAGGAGATCAGAGTTCAAACTCCCACTCACAACACAGGCAACGATAGCAAAATGGTTTTTTAAAGCCCCAGTGTGTTTTTAATGTGTTGACAGAGCACAGAGCATTTCTTACTGAGAAGAAGGCTGTTGTATTTTCCATCCACTAGATGGCATGTGAAAACTGGCTCCTGGAACCATCTTAAGCATGGCTCCAACAACCCTATGATCACACCCAGACCTAAAATGTTCATGAAAATAACTCTCTCCACCACCACCACCGCAACCCACTGCATTTATAGCCACCTGCCAAGATTTCATCCTGCCAGAGATTCTTTTTTTAAGGCTCGGTTGGACTAAAGCATTCCAAAACAAATTGGGGGGAGGGAATCAGTTCGTAATTACAATCCATTGTTGTGTAGTATCTATTAGAGATACATTATTTGCTACTTCATAACTGAGCTGGATCCAGTCTGGCTTTTCCGTTCACAGAAGGGCTACTTCCTTTTGCAGAAGAAACTGAGATCTAGTGGAAGATCTTGGTGGAAGAAAGAAGGGGAGGCGATTTTCACTGGTTAGCTGCTACATCCCACACTTCCAGAGGTTCCCCTGCAACCGTCCAGAGCAGGCTTGGGGGAGGTACAAAGGAAAATCGGTGGGGAAAAGGGTATTTGTTCTCTTCCTCCAGAAATGCCACCTAATGAGGCAGCAGACACTCTTCAGTTAGCTAAGCCTGCTTGCCTGTGCGTCAACTCAGATCTTGCTTTGTTATCATTTCTGCTGAATGAGCTCTATGAAGCCTCAAAGTGTACACAGCCCAGCCAATCAAAACCAATGCAATGAAGTTATAACCTGACCACTCCGGCCACAATGCATGCTTTCCCCTACTCAAGCATGTCTGCCAGCCGGTATGGTGTTAGTGTGTCAGACTAGGACCCGGTAGACCAGGGTTCAAATCTCCAATTGACTGTGAAGCTCACTGGGTGGCTTTGGGTCAGTCAACTGCCTCTCAGCCTAACCTGCCTCACAGGGTTGTTTGCAAGGATAAAATCATGAGGAGAACCATGTATGCCTCCTTGAAGGAAAGGTGGGAAAGAAATGTAATGAAAAATGTAATGATAAAGTAAGTGGGCGTTGTGAAAAGCATTTCAACAGCATTTACTGCTGCAGGTTTCATCACCCTTTCAGCAAAAACCTCAGACCTGAAATCCAGAACAGAAACACTCAAACAAAATGAAAATGTACTAAAATTTAATCATTCATAAAAGCTGTAATTTAATCTGTGACAGTAAAACACAAGAAGCAATATTAGAGTTGGTTTAGTATATTATATATTTTAGCTTTCAAAGCCATAGAAATCAGTTATCCCAGTTTTTTTTCCTATAAAAGACCCATTTTTTTCCAAAGCATTATGCACAATTTTAATTAGAATATAATGGCAGAATGAAAATAATGATATTCCGTAACTTTTTAAATATAAAATGAAGTCAATGACTTGGAAAGTTATTTGCTGCCATGAGTTCAAAGGGTAAAATTTGTATAATCGTATCTATCATGATAGATATAAAGTATTACTGGCTGACCATTTTTAGTGCTGGATGGGAGAAGAATTATGATAAGAGGTCAATATGAAATTATAGTAGCAATATCTAACATCTGAAATGCATCCATGCTCTTTTGTATAATCGTACAACTAGAGTCAATTATATTTATTATCACATCTGTTAACTGCTATTGCAAAGGAGAAGTACTATTGTCTTTAATTCCCAAGAGATATACACAAAGCAATTTTATTTTATTTCCTCCCCCCCAAGGGACCTTTGTGCAAACCATTATAAGATCTAAATTCTTCACATAATATATAAAAACAGAAGCCTCTTCGGATATGTTGTTAATTTGTGGTGTAGTTATTTGAAGTCTGGAATGGTGGCACTTTCCAAATTAGGCAACAGTTCTTCATTCCTGTAATCCTGAGCAGAAGAAGAGACAGACAATGAAGAGTCAGCATCCAACTTAGAAACACGCTCTGCAAACAAGGGAGTACTTAAAAAAAAAAAAAAAGACACACAGGATTGAAGGTACCTTCTTTAAAAATTCTTAAAAACAAATACACAGCACATGTTCAGAAAGGAGGACTTGTTTAAGACCCAAGGAAGCTGCCTTATACCAAGGTCAGAGCACTCGTCTATCTGGCTCTGTATTGTTTACACCAGGGATGGGGAACCTGTGGCCCTCCAAATGTTGGTAGACTCCCACCAGCCTCATCCCAATGGTCAGGGATGATGGTACCTGTAGCCTGGACACTGAGGTCCAGCTCTGAGGGCTTTCTGGAGGTTCCCTCACTGCGTGACGTGAAGTTACAGAGAAACAGGCAGAGGTTCTCCTTGGTAGTGGCACCCTCCCTGTGGAAAGCCCACCACTCAGATGTCAAAGAGATAAACCACCATACGACTTTTAGAAGACAACTGAAGGCAGCCCTGTTTCAGGAAGCTTTTAATGTTTGGTGTTTTGTGGTGTTTTTATATTTTGCTGGAAGCCACCCTGAGTGGCTGGGGCAACACAATCAGATGGGCAGCATGTAAATAATAAAATAATTGTTGTTGTTGTTGTTGTTGTTAGTCCAGCAATATCTGGAGGCCCACAATTTCTCCATCCTTGGTCTACACCAGGGGTCAGCAAGGTTTATCTTGCCTGGGCTGGATCGGTCCCGCAGAGATCCCTCCAAGGGCTGGATCTCTCACGTGCATGAGCATGCGTGCAATTTTTGGCGTCTACATCTGTGCAGATGCGATTTTCGGCGTTTGCGCATGTGCAGATGTGATTTCCAGCACTGGAGAAGTGAGTCCCCGCGCCGCGCCGGTTTAGCACAGCGCGTGAGCGGGCAGCTCGGTTCGGGGGTGGCTTGGGGGCCGGTCAAATGACCTCTACGGGCCACTTCTGGCCCATGGAGCTTAGGTTGCTGACCCCTGGTCTACACTGATTGGCAGCAGTTCCCCAGGGTCTCAGGGATTTAGAATTTAGTTGACTACAACCCTCTGACTCATTTTTAAATTCCTTTCTCTCTAAGAGATGACTGAAAACTGGATTGCTGGGACAGTATGGGAGTTCACTATGCTAAGATGTGCATGTATGTGAAAAAGGAAGAGAATGTTGCAGCACCTCTTGCATAGCAAACCAGTGTTTATGGTTGTGCTCCCTCTCTTTCTCTTTGTCTCACACAGACACATGCAGTAAGGATCGGTAGCAAGAGAGTTAAAACTAGATGTCAAAAGCAAATGAGTCAGCAGGTGGCACTTCAACCCAAAAAGAAATGGCGTGTGCAGGCCCCAGTATGCATACTGATGACATAACCGCTGTTCTGCTCCAAGTCCACTTCCGTATTATAGGAAGGGGGGGGCATGGCTCTCCAAACCACTCAAATGCTGATTCCCCCCCCCTCCCCAGGTAAACAATGTACCTCTTCGCAGGATAAATTTTAAAATGCTATAAAAACTCCAGCATCACATATAATTGAACCTCCCATTAAAAGCCAAAGAAAACATGTATTTTAAAATTTTCCATAAAATCTGAACTGATAGAGCCAGCGGTGTAATATTTGAAAAGGAAGCACAGGGTAGTACCTGTCTGCCTAGCTGATCTTAAAAGTATTTTAAGCATCCTTTATAAAAGGAATGGGGAGCCTGTGACCCTGCAGACTTTGCTGAACTGAAACTCCCATGGTCCCCCAACCACTGGCTGCACTGGCCGGGGTGGATGGGAGCTGGAAAGTAACAACACCTGAAGGGCCACAGGTTCTCTACCTCTGCTATATAGCACATACCCCAAATGTTAGTATTTGGCAGCTTATCATTCCTTTGCCAAAGGAATGCAAGTGGCCTTCAGTCCAGCCTGCAACCATTCCAGCATCATGTAGTAGCTGCTGCAGCAAAGAGAGTCAGTGCCACAAACATGTCCCAGGAAGGTCATTATGATTTCACCATTTGCTCACCTGGCTCAGAGCTGCTGCATGCTGTGGGTCTAGAGCAGCAGACATGATTTCTTTTTAGGCTTCTTCTTTTCCACTGGTGTTTTTCTATTTATCTGTCTGACGAGATCATAAAAGATCTGTGAGAGAGAGAGAGAGGAAGAAAGCAAAATAAGGTGAGAAATCAAGAGATACAGGTGCCGCAGAATGGCAAGCTCATGTTACAATCCTGGCCTTAAAAGCTTTCGGCTAAATCAAGTGAGAAGGTGAGAAATAAATGGGGTGGGAGGCAGTGCAAAGAGAGCTGAACTTCTTGATTTTAGCATGAGAAAAGCAGGGCAATTTATCTAAGCTCCCGAAGGTTTTTGCTTCCTCTTGGGGCTCCCCTAATTGTGGTCTAGCCGCTTCCACTTTCCTCCGGCCGCATCACAAAGCAAGGGGGGGGGACCTCTACACTGTTCCAATTGAAAATCACATCACAACCAGGACAACCTCACACAGACCAGAAGTACAGGTACAAAGACGATGATAACCCAACAGAAAAAATCAATCATTTGAAGAAGCAGCTACCAGTTTAGCAATTATTAGCAACTCTCCGTACACAAATGTGTATATACTGTAGCAACAAGGTGCCAGAATATTAAATAAAGGAGTTTGCTGTTTGTATTTCTCTATCTTCCCATTTGTCTTGTGGTAGAGTTATCATTTCTGAACTCGTATAATACATATATAGAATAATTGCTAAGAAAAGTTGAAAGAGGCCTGGCTATCAAGCATGCAAGCCATTAAGGTGTAAGAGGTTTTTTTTTTTTGCAAAATGCAAATACCTAATCTCCTTCTTATTTATATGTAGGGCTGCCATACAAACAAAGATGCTGTCTTATAGTCAGTGGTGTAGATATGGCTTGGGGTGTGTGTGTATAAATGCCGTGGACTCATCCACTCTGCCTCTTATGTACTGTAGCATCAAGCCTGCAGATGAAAGCTGCATACGTCTTTGTCTTTGGTAAAGTCAACTGCGTAGCAATACAGCTACAGTATTCAGCCTCCTGGAAAAGCTCACTTAACTCACTTCCTCCCCACAACCCTGTGTGATTTCTAACAAGCTTTAAGTCTACAGTACTTTGCTTGTGAACTGCAAAACCTAGAAATTGGATACTGCCTTGATATTATCTATTTTTTAAACACACACACACACACACACACACACACACACACACAAGCACAGCCAAGCACTTTCTGAAAGCATGATAAAGCCAGCATCTCTTTCACTCTGTACAATAACACTCTATAACAGCATTTAGGTTTCTCACACTCCCTCCCCACCGGGTTTACAGTTACATGGTTTGATGCTGTCAGCCTAAGGCAAAACACATCAGTTTGTACTCTAGTAAGGTCAACCTGGCTTCTTCCTCGATGCTCAACAGAGCTTGGAAGTCGAAGATTGCATTGGAAAGAAGTGAGAAAAGGTTTAGGGAGGTCCCTGGAGGAGAAGTGCACAGGAAGGAGGAATCTACCATATCTCCTGATGAAAGATTATTCAAACCCTCACACCTTATTGCCAGTCATTTCTAATCACTTATAGATCTCCAAAGTGCCTTTGTGTCAATCCAGCATACCAGCACAAAGCAGGGAACTATGAGAGGACTGGTCTACATTGCCCGTACTTAAGGAAAACAGATGAACTGTGTTAGTCTATCAAGTATATTAACAGGGTGATTTGGCTTTCCTCCTCCACCCTCCCTTTCCCAGGGATCCAGATCACTGAAAGGGTATCTGGGGAAGGATAGTAGCATAGTGTTAAGAGTAGCTACTTTGCAGGCAGATGCCCAATCTCTGGCACAGCCAGGAAGGACTGGGAGAGAGCCCAAAACCTTGCAGAGGCACTACGAGTCAGTGTGGACCTAGATTTCCCAAACTTGGGTCTCCAGCTGTTTTTGGACTACAATTCCAATCTTCCCTGACCGCTGGTCCTGCTACTTAGGGATGATGGGAGTTGTAGTCCAAAAACAGCTGGAGACCCAAGTTTGGGGAACCCTGATGTAGGCTGAGTTGCATGGACCAATGATCTGACTTGGTACAAGGCACCTTCCTATGTTCCTATGACCAGCATGGGCAGTGCAGTCCCCACATGCATGCTTGTCATGAGAACACATACCTTATACCACCTCTAAAGCAGTAGCTGTCTCTTTGAAGGGCACCATCCATATTTTTCTACACAATGTGATTCTCCCCTTGGTAAGGGAAACAGGGAGGATTACAGTCCACATTGAAAGTGCCCAAGTGGCAGCTGCTGTCATTTTAAAATGGAGGTATTTTCTCTTGGCAAGTGTTTGGCCAAGGGGATTTGTGGGGAAGAGGCAGCACCATTCCCTCAGAGAACATTTTGGACCACCCCAGGTCCTTTTTCACTACAAAAGGGGGGTAAAATACACCCCCCAAAAAATATCAATGCCTCCCTATTAAAACCATGCTAAGTAAGAGCAATTGTGGATAACTTTTCTTCTAACCATCTCAAGTCAATAATTAGAGGTGGGCTCAAATCTTCATTTAACTAAATCTCCATATTGAAAGTGTGACAAGGAATGGGTGTATATGTTTCATTCAAATGGAATAGCTGCCATGTTAAATGCAACAAGATAGAGAGGCTAAAATGTTCAATCAGTATAGCACAGGCCTAGTTCAATGGTGTTTACTCCCAGTTATAGGACTGCCACGGTCTCAGACAGAATAAGGCATGCTAAGCTTTCAGATTTCTGTCTCATTAAAGGCTACTGTAAGGCACAAAGGCCTGCATAAGTAGTGCATTCCTCCTCTCCTTTGATTCCCCTCAGTTCCCAAAGATTGGCAAACCATTTGCTTTCTGTATTGGCTCTTGTTCAACAAAATCAAAACAAGCATGACAGCAAATTCTTTTGGATGAGAACGGTTTTTGGATTTTTAAAAATGGAAATTACAAGTGGAAGTCATTTGTTGCTTCCAAAACACAAAGTAACGAGGCAACTCTTCATAACTGAGGAATTACGAACTTGGCAAAGTCACAAGAATATCAGAGAATACACCAGAAACTCAGTTCCCCAAACCAAAACTAAAATCAAAAGAATAAACTAACAAAACTGACATACAGATCCTCTTCAAAACTTTTGAAATAAAGATGTGTTCAGCCCTGAAAACACAAGTCACCAGCTGAACATGATGATGTAATTTGTGGGTGGCTGTACCAAATACAGCTGCCCATAAACAAATGAAGGTCCCTCATCTTCCTCTCCTGGCAGAGTTTACTGACACAGATCAGATGCTTTGGAAAACCTAACTTTAAATTTCTTGCGTGGTCAGGACTTTCTTCACAAAATGAACACAGCCTAGTTAGCTCAGTTATCTGAAAGAGGTAATGGTGGTTAGAGAAAACCAGGCTCTGTGTGTTTTGGGATAAGCAGGCAGGGAATGATGGGAACTGTAGTTCTGCAACTTCCAGGAATCCAAAGTGAAAGAACATTGGCCTACAGCGGCCTTCCCCCAACCTGGGGCTCTGCAGATGTTTTGGACTACAACTCCCATCCTCTCCAACAATAATCCATCAGGGATTACTGCAGCTGTAGGGACCATGTTAAGGAAGCCTGGCCTATAGTGATTACGTTTTATTATTATTTCAGACACTTCTTTAATGGCATTCACCCTAGCTGGGGCAGAAGAGGGTCTAGCCCCCCCCCCCGCCCCACAACTACTATTTCATCAGGTAACAGCTAACTAAGTTGTGTTCCCTTCCTAAAGGGCCTTCGTGAAGCAGCTCTGCTGCCCAGGGCAGTTCTCAGTCATTTGGAAGCAGATGCTACGTACTGTCAAATGAAGCACCCAGTCAGTCATCAACTTCAGTGCTGCTGACTTCTCATATAAGCTATATAAAACAAAGTGTCTCTTGTGGCACCTTGAAGACTTGTTCAACAGTTCCTCTGGAAATTGTTTTATATATGATAGGTACTTGAACGTATCACAAGAGCTCATGTGATTCGCAGCTTGTTCAGAAGGTTTCATCACTGGGGAGGGGGAGAATCACTCCAGCGGATGCTTCTAGGACTGCATTAAATGATCTCCTACTTGTACTTTGGGGCTAAAAATATCAAGAGCAGGAAAGCAGGGCAAAGAAAATATTCCTACTCCACACCAAACACACAATGGCCAGCTTTTTACACCTGTTCACTGCTGTTTCCTCACTGTCACCCTGTTTGGGCAACATGGAGGGGGGAGATAGGAGAAGAGTGTCTCTCGACCCAATATGAGCCCATACAATCAGAGACCATGTAGTGAATGCGATGGGGACATGACACGACTCAGCTAATCGAGACATGACTGTGGGGCAATGCTAATGTGGGCAAACAAAACCGATCCAGAACATGATGCTTTCTTCATTGGTCATGGGCGCAATCCCTGCCAATCGATTCACTAATTGCCCTTGCTCCAAACAGACAAGACTTTCAGATCACCCGCTCTAAAAGAGACTTGAAATGGGGAACAATTTTCACTGCTACCAAACATATTAGCGCTAAATGCCCCCCTTTTTTTAGCCCTACAAACTTTCCTCATTCCAATCAGTGCCGTTCTGACTTTTTTTGCTCTATTACTTGAGTTTCTCGTCTTTTATGCCTTGCTTTTTGCAGAGATTCATCTGCCCTACACTGCTTACCTAACAGAAACTACACGGCCTGCCTTTCGTTTAGGTGCATTGAGCTTGCATAATGCACTTTTCTAAGTGACACAGCTCCAGTTTGAACTCTGGGTCTTGCGAGATTAAAATGCAGTGCGTGGCACACCTATTTGCACAGGTGCTCAGCATGCAAACATGACCACTCACGCACCACATTTAGTTCCACAGTAAAGCAGCGTTCAGAATGATTGAGGAAGAGCTCTCGGCTAAGGGATTAGTTTTCTCTAAGGTGACACAATAGCAGAGTGAATCACATATTGACAGATCAGAAAAGCGAACACCGATACCCGGCAGGTTTTGGCTCAGGTTTTGCACTGGGCATCTCGCTCTGCACAAATGCACTTCAGTCACCAAAACAGCACAACGGCGGGGATGCGAAAACAGCATCTTTTATGCGAGCCTTCAGAAAGGATCCACCGAAACGTAGGCTTTCGATTTGCGCAAATGTTCAGTCCAAGAGGACTATAGGAATATTTACACGAGGGGATGGTGTACATACATATATACACAAACCCAAGCCTATAAAAAGGGGTTGTGTGCTGCCTTGTGAAAGATTAACCAATAGTTACCTCGTTAACATTGATTTTCGACTTTGCAGATGACTCTAGAAAGGCACAGTTACACCACTGTCTTGCTAAGTTCTGTCCCTGTTCTTTGCCCACTACACGTTCATCTTCCAGGTCACATTTATTGCCAACCAGAATCATGGGAACCTGCACAGAAAGAATAAGAGAGTTATTAATAGATGGCATTCAAAGCTGTGTGCTTAGTCTGAGCAGACCTGCAAAAATACTCGCTGACCAACGTTAGCAGTCTCTAGAACGAAGGAGTCCCTGCCCCCCCCCGTTACATCTGGAGCAATTTTCTACTCTTAGTTTTTCATGCTCTTGCTTAACAGATTGATTACACATTATCGCTTGCTACTGATAACATGTTTCAAGAAACAAAAATGTGAGAAATTTATGAATGCATTAAAAAAGGAGTTTCATCATATTGAAAAGGCAGAATCTGAACTTTTCAAAAACTGTCTAACACCAGCAATAGGGAACCTTCCATAGCTGTTCTCCAAAAGCCATGTCCATCCGCCTCACACCTGACATCCCATGTGTCATCAGGGGTGGGACAGGTACTATTGCTGTGACAAAGAAACAATTGGGAACTTAAAGTGAGGTCTCAATTGTTCTTTTGCAAGTTGAGCTCCCTGTCAGCCATGAACGGCTGATTGGTGCCAAGAGGAAGCGCCACTCAAATTGACACACTGAGGTGGGTCATTGTCTCAGTTTGAAGCAGTCTGCTTTCAAACGACTTCCTAAAATGAAGCTTTCTTCCTCTGCAAAGGGTGGGAAAGGTTTGATTTGAGGAAGCAGAACTAGCCCCTCTGAAGGCGCATTCCCAGTTGCAATCAGTGTACCTTTAAAGGAGGGTATAGATCAGTGGTTACAGTGATCCACTTTGAACTTCAACAGAAGTCAATCTCCTGACATCATTATGATAATAGGAGATTGACAGGCGGCTGAACCTACCCACTTGTCAAAGTTGGCTTTGAAGGTTGGGGAAATTGGGGATCAGGCTAGTGCCCCATCACTGAATACGAAATATATATATATATATATATATATATATATATATATATATATATATATGAACTGTGCCATAAATCTGTATTATTTGGACACAAAACCCCTATATTCCTTGCAAAGTAGAACTCCAAAGTACATTTTGAGGATAAATGACTGAATTATGCATTAGGTACCTGCAAGAAAGTAAGCAAACAAACCATTTTGTACCCGTCTTTACCATGGCTACATCACACTGATAATTAAACCGTCTCATGGCAACTATCAAAGAAATGGAGATACCACAGTCTGGAAGGTTCATTGACACACAATCTATTTCCACAAGCACTTACCTTAATGTCAGTTTCTACAACAACACAGAGTTGACATTTCAAACCCTCAGATAGGCAGTAGCTACTTTTCAACTCAACATAATTTATACAACAGGATGTACATCACTTCCCAAGAAATACGTTGTATGTATTGGCCCCAGTGATTTGCCCTGCTTAGGCAATAAATGCCTTCTCAACTCCAGAAATGGGGCCTCAGAGTCATGAAATGCAAAGACAGCTATGCAATCCTTATGTTCTTATTTTGAACTGTTTGGCAGCGTGCTGGACATTAAAACTTTAATTGCAAACACTGAACACACACGCACAGAGACACATCCTGTTTCGCCTGAGCTATCTAAAAGCACTACACACAGAAAACTGCTGATAATGGGTGTGCACACCATTCTGTTTCCTTAAGCATTTTAAACACACACATGCACAGCAAAGTTTGCACTTTCCAGAAGGAAAGTACCTCATATACTTCTCGTTTATAAATAATTAGCAACAGTTCTAATACTTGCTAAATTTCTGAGCACACTCTCTTATTCATGGATGATCAGTTCCAGGTAAAAAGAAACACATTTCTTGTGATTTCCCCCCCAACAGGTGTAGTTAAATCCGCTACTATACAAGCTACTATCCTTATAAGGGAAATGAAATCCATACTTCGTTTAAAACAAGGAGAGAAAAACATTTAGCATATTAAAATCTGGAAGCTATCACTTAACACAAAAAGTTTTTTAAAAATAGTAACTACAGTGTAGTTAGAATGAGGGGTATAATTTATTTGACCTCAAACAGGGTACATGTGTAACCTCAAACAATGTAAGTTGCTGCATACCACAGCGTTTTGACTTAAATGCTAAGAAAGGACTCAGCTTCTAAGATGAACATAATCCCTCATCTAAAAGATTGTTCGTTTTACTTTTTTTTTACTTTTAAAAAAAACAAACGTAACCAAGATTTGTGTATCAAAGAGGGTTTCAAAAACATTACGGGAAAAGAGAAAAATAAAGCCAGAGATAATGATCAGCAAAGACATGAAGAATAAAAATAAGTGGCTAAACTACTTTTAAACACAGTTAAGATCTTCCTATCCACACACATTGGATAGTAGCTCCCTATTCATTTATGGAGAGATCTTTCATGAATAACTATCTGAATGCAATGGGTTGGACAGACATACCAATTCTGTCCACTGATTTTCTGGACTAACAAAGAGCCCAAATCAAAAGAGTAAGCTAGAGCTGATGCTAAAGTAACACTTCCTGGTTAGCACAATAAATTGCTAGGTCACAGGTTTTACAGTGCGAATGGATGTTACGAACTTCTGTGACAGCATTTGCTGCTACTGATTCAGACAAAATATTCAAGATTTCTGCTTACCTGATGACACAGTCTCCCCTCTACTTCCCTGATGCGCTGTTCTGGGGGTTCTCCTAACCCTCCAAGAGCCAACTGGGGTGGGTGGGCAAAAGACCCATTGCACTAGTGGGGGCCTTGCGCCGGCTCCTGCTAGCAGAACTACTTAGCTGAATCCAACCCATTGTGCAGTTCCACCCTGCACATTCACTCGTTGCACTATATGGGCTGAGACTTACTTCCTAGAAAGTCTATTAGGAATTGCAGCCTTAAGAAACAGAAAACTGGACTAGGTGGACATTTGGTAGGATCCTGATTAAACAGGGCTGTTCTTAACATATGTGGTGGTGATGGTGGTATCTATAAACAATGAAAACATCCATGCGCAACATCGCAACCTACAGCATGATGCCATAGAACTGACAGCATAATGCAAAGCCCGTCAGCTTGAATTGCATAGCCACTTAACAGATGTGCAATAGTGATTGACCGCAAAGTCATCCAGGTATAGATCTTCTGCATGATTACTGGTGGAATCCCTGCTTAAAAGGTGATAAACCATATAGGAAGCCAGCTGCCTGGGTTGGCGCTCAGTCCAGCCAACTGGAAGTCTTTCACATATTACAGTAAAAGATGGACCTAGGCCAAGGTGGCTAACCTGTGCCCCGTTCCCTTGTGTTCCCAAACGAACTTGCATCACCCCTGACTATTGACCATCCTGGCTGGGGCTGATGAGAGATGCAGACCAACAACAGCAGGAGGGTCACAGGTTAGTCACTTTAAAATATGCACAAGTTAAAATACTAAAACATTTACATTACCTCCACTTTCTAGGCATCTAAGCATATTTAAACTATCGTGCGGCAAAGGAAGTTTTATAGTACTAAGATTTTTAGTCTACTAATTAAGTTTGTAATATTTTCTTTAGGAAAAAACCAGTATGGACTTTTGAGCACAGCTATTTTGATTAGTCAGATTATCACACAACTAGAAAACTGTGTTTTTCCACCTGATGGCAGCCAGAAACAAAATCTCTACCAAAGAGCCACAAAACCCATTTTAAACAGCAAGTCATAATGGGAGTTACTGAGCCTTCTAAAAACCTGGCACCATATGTAGCCATTTCAGTGACAAAAGGTTGAGCGGGAGGAATTGGGCTTGTACACTGGCGTATTCTACTAAAAAGCCACTTCTTATGGGACTTGAACTTTTCCAGAGTTCAATCCCAGTTTGGGATACTGAGCATTTCTGACTAACCGTCCAGTAATGTCCATATGAATAGTCTCCAAAATATCTAAATAGAGAAATTTATGATATCATACAAAACATTCTAGAACAGTGTTCTTCAGTCATCTTATTAACTGTGCAAAAAACAGATGCTGGCTTGTTTAGGGTTTTTTTTTTTTGGGGGGGGGGAGATTCCAATGGTTCAAAAAGCAATAACCCATTTACTTACGTCTTCCGTGTCCTTGACCCGTAAGATCTGCTCCCTCAGGTCCTGCAAGTCATTGAACGTGGACTGTGCTGTAATAGAATATACTAGTGCAAACCCCTGACCGTTCTTCATATAGAGATCCCTCATTGCTGTAAATTGCTCCTGTAATCAAATATTTTTTTTTAAAAAAATGAATTAGCTGTTTAGTTTAATTAGCTGTTTAACATACACACATTAAGAAGTTCAGGTTTAAACAGGGATAAAAAGGTCATAGGCAACTGGAAATTTCCAGTCTTTGCTCTTGCAGAAATCCAGTGAAAAAAATAAATTTAATTTTAAAAGGAACTGGCTTTCTCAAATATCCTTCTTTCAATGTTAGAAATTTAAAACAAGGGCTTTGAAGTATTTAGGGCGGCTTCACACCTTACCAAAGGCTGTATCTGCTTGTATTGCGAAAGGCAGCTATGTATTTTAACACATACCCCTCCCCTCTCACCTTCCCCGCCATCTCTCTCGCTCATACACCCAGAGCTCACTTGAAACATGCATCAGCAGCCTGGGCCAACACAGTGTAGTCAGGATGAAAAAAGTATATAGCCAGCCCAGATCGCATATTGTAGGCTGCGGAGGAGAATACTAAATGCACAGTGATAAATAAAACACACTTCTATCGTAAGATGTGAAGCAGTCTTTAGATTCAGAAGGATTTCGGGAAATCTTTTCAGAACATCAGGAACCACTATAAGCTTTAAAGGACGGACGCCCAAGAAAGCCAGGCAGATAGACAGTCTCTCTTAAAGGCAGCAGTTGTAGCGGTACATGTGTTTTACAAGTTGTTTAGCAGCGTGCACACTTTATCTCTCAGCTTTAACTGCCATAATGTTTTAATTTGTTGTTGTTTTCAACAATAGAGAAGTTCAACAAGAGGGTTTTTCGTTAGAACTTCAAAGTGCCGGAAATCTGAAAATGTTTTTAAATTTTATGAAGTTCTAATGAAAAACTTCCAAGACAATGTTTCAGTTTGTTCCCAATAAACCGTGCAAGGAGCTACTTGGAATAATAGAAAAGGCAAGAAATGCTGGTTTATTTATAGCCACATAACATAAGCAAGAAAGAGATGGACACCCCCCCCCTTAAAAGCCATGTCTTGCGTCACTCTTAGTGTTCCCTTCAAATATTAAGCATTTCAGATTTCAGGATAGATCTCACTTACTGTCCCTGCAGTATCGAGGATTTCAAGCATACATTGTTGACAGTCTACTTCCACTTGCTGAAAGACAAATAAAGGACAGATACCATTATAGCCTTAAGGGACAGGAGGAAGAGACTCAATTAATGCTTGCTCATAACCTCCTGGCAATAGGGGCATTTAAGCATTACAAACAACTAGTGCACCACCTGTGTGCACAAACAGTTAAGCTGCAGAGTTATGCACAAGTTACAGTCCATGAATTTATGCAAGTGTTGTGTACACAACTGTTGAGCTGTACAAATCAGCAGGATTTAGAAAAACCAACAAGAGCATACACACAAACACTTGTACATGTGTGCAGACAGCTTGTACTTGTGTACAGTGTACATGTGAACAAGCCTTACTGTGAGCTTTTCCACTGTACACATAGGGTTGCATTCAAAAGGATGGAACGTGGCAGGCAGGAGATAAGATACCCAAAGAGCAAGCAGTCCTTTCACTAGCAGTCTCCAAGTCCTCCCTGCCAGTATCCATTGTCTGCCATTAGGAATGCAGGAAGCTACAGACTTACTGCACTGGTCCACTGAACTCGGTATTGCATACAACTGTCAGAGGCTCTTCAAGATTTCCGGCAGAAATATTTCCTAACCCTATCTATCTGGAGATGCCCGAGAGTGAAACTGTGACCTTCTATATGTGCTCTGCCGCTGAACTATAATACCTAAATGGATGTCAAGCAAGTATTTAATTTTTAATAGAACAACACTGACATGTAATATGATCAAGGAAATATTTGTGTAGGTGTGCTTGTAATCTAGGAACACAGGAAGCTGCCTTATACTGAACCAGATCTTTGCTTCACCTAGCTCAGTTTATCTATTGTGACTGGCAGGGCCTTCCCAAAAAGCTTTAGACAAGAGTCTTTTCCATCTGTACAAGAGGTGATTGAACTTGGAATCTTTTGCATGCAAATATTATGGTTAAGTTAAAAGTATCCACAATGAAACTGCAGGGCAACAACAATAAAGTAATAATAAAAACACTACTTCATAGGGTTATCCAAAACGTTTGGCTTCTGATTTATATCTTGTTATGAAAACGGAGTGAAGTGTTGAGCTGATGCCAAGGAATTGCAAACACTGATTTAAAATACTTAGTTATTATTTATTAAACTTAGTATGTTGCTTTTTTTTAACAGCAAGTAGCTTAAAATTGACTTACACTTAGTTTGGCATTGTGAAAGAAGGCTGCATGGCATTAGACCCAATTATCTAGAATGCTTTGGATGGTGTATCAGGCCCAGACTCAACTGGTGCTGACCACACTTCTCTGTCCTGGGCTTAGTGATTGTGCTTTTTAAAATAATAATAAAAGGAAACGCAACCACAGGGAGGCCCTCTTTGAATTGGGAATGCGGCACTCAGGGAGCAGGGGAAGATTCATCTTTCCCATGCTGCTTTCCGAACCCACGACCGCCATAGAAACCATTTGACCCTGAAGGTACCAATTTTGGGGGAAACCAGCAGTTTCTGGAGTAATTCTTGGTAGGAAAAAGACATAGGGAAAGGGCTGTCCCCAATTTACCATGCCACAGTCCATATCCAGATTTGGCCCTCTCTATATCAAAGACAAAACAAGCCCAAGATAAACCAGGGGTAGAGAGTCTGTGGTCCTCCATATGCTGTTGGACTACAACTGTTGTTGGCCATGCTGGCGTGGGCTGATGTAAACTGGAGTCCAACGACATCTGGAGGGGCCTGGGATGGACAATCGTGTAATTATTCTCTCGGGAAGAATTAGCAACACACTATTAGGAATATGATCCTAATAATAACTGATCGTGTTGTGGGAGGAGGCCATGAATTCTACACCAAGAGAAAAAAAACAACTGGGCAAGGGGAGTCTTAAAGTTACTGATCTGAGAGTGGGTGGAGAAAATCACAGCATCATACTTTACCTTTCTGTAGGAGTCTTCTATTGTGGGGTCATATTTTTCAACAAAAATTCCCTGAACAAACTGTACAGTCTGGAAAGAAAAACAAGAAAGGGAAAAGAACACACAGAGAGGGTCAGCCAGCTGCCTCCAACTCAAGTTATTCAACGGGCTAATCGCATAAAGCATTTGCAAAGAACAGACATTTCGCTTGGTTCTCCCAATCTTATTCTCAAGCTGATGCCTAGTTAGTGAAACAGGAAAATCAAATTGTCCGGACGGACAAACCAGAAGAGAAAAGCAAACCAGAAGTTAAGGCCGAAGGGCAACAAGATACTGCAGGGGCATGACAGAATTTAGGAAGACCTTGTTGCTCAACTGGAATATCTAGTTCTCTTATATTCCTGCCTGTCCTGGCCAGAAGGTTCTTTGCTGAGAAGTTGCTGCCTGCAGTTCAGTGGCCCACCAGCAGCTCATCCCAAAAGGCTTACAAACCAGGACCTGATTTTTACATGTGAACCAGGCTATATGAAGTTGGTTCTAAACTAAAACCCAGTTACGTGACTGAACATGGGTAACAATTCCTGTGCTTCAGATTCACAACGTGTTTAATTATATTTAAACACTTGTAGCACTGTCAGGGGGGAGGATGAGGTTCTAAACCAACTAATACCTGCGAGGCATTTAGCAAGACCAATGATGTAAATTGCATCGGCCTTTTGCAATGCAAGATTGTAACAATCCCTATCCCCCCCCCCCCCGGAAGTCCACTAGGAGGTGAGCCATCTGCTTTGCAGATTTGCCCAAGACCAGCATGCACACACAGGGTCTCAACAAAGGTTTACCAAGACCATTTTTGACTGCTGAATGGGCTTTATTAGTTCTCAAGAATATTCTGCCCTTCTGTGGAATGTGATCAATTTTTGCAGTGTGTACACGTGCACTTGCAGGTATCAAGTAGTTCCCTTTAAAAAACGTAACAGCCACCTTTTCTGCAGTGACTCGTGCAAATGTCTTTTCCAGCTACTGGCTCTAAGAAATCGCAAACAGCCTTTAAACAACAGCCTGTTTTGTTCAGGGTCAAAGCTGGGATTTTTCTCATGATGACAAGAAACACAAGCACTATAGCTCCTAATAAGTGGTTTCAGATTTTGAAAGGCCAGTTATCTGCAAAAGGCATCATTGTATTTGTGGGGTGGGGGAGTGCTGAATGCTCCAATGATTTCTTAACAAGGGAGAAAACAATTTTCTAGCTTTCATGTTCAATGGAGGAAGGGAGGCACTATTCAAAAGTCATTCTTTCAGCCTAGCACAACCTACACACTGCTTCCTAGAAAAAAGATCAAGGCATCTACTAATGCAGAAAGCAATGGAAAGTCCATATATAAAGGTACCCCAGGATGATATTATTGATCCCAAACCTTTCAAACTGCAAAGGAGGTTAGGAGGGTGATGATTAGACCAAAATATGGTATGGAGACCTGATAGTTTTGCCTAAAGCCTATAATCTAAGGGCTTATCCAAATTTACCTTTATTCCGCTCTTTCTAGACAAAGTTTACTAGTTAAAGCTCCATGTATGAGCGCCCCTTTTTTTGCTCTGCAGCTTTCTCTGCAAAAACCCGCTCTTTAAAGCTCTATCAGAGCAAAAGTCAATCCGCAGAAAACCCAAAAGTCATTTATTGACAACGCAACACAGATTTCATTATTCTTGTTTCTTATATTCATTTCTCATTTTTTAACAAAATGTTTCAAAGAAACCTGCAGATTTTAATCTCATTTGCAAATGGTTAAAAAGCCACAGAGATCTCACTTACGTTTTAAACGCAGGAAGCTGCTAGGCTATATGTACAAAGACGGCCCTCCCTCAGTCTGCTAAATAAGAGTACATTATTTAACTACTCAGAACATTCTGTATTTCACATGCCCTTTAGGAGCAAACAAGTAATTTATCAATCACATCAGGTCTTTCAGATACTAAGGCAAAATAAAAATGCCTATGAGAAAATACAAAGAGCCCCGAAGTACTTTAAACATTAGCTTTTTGTAGCATAAGCATCTGGAAGCAGGAATTTGTTATTTATACAGCGCCATCAGCATGTATGGTGATTTACAGAGTGGAAGTAACACTGGTCTCCCACCTCAAGGAGCTTGCAATTTTTAAAAATTGGCAAAGGGAAACAAAAAAGGGAAAGGAAGGTGTGAACAAGGACATAATATATGATTACTTCAGTTTTACATACATAGGGTTGTAGTCAACTAATCTGTGGCAATAAAAACCAGCGCAAGGAATCCTGTTAATGCAATGGGACTTAATCCTGTCTCCTCCCACCACACCCTCCCCAAATCTGCTCCAGAGGTTCAGAAGAACCCCCAGAACTGTGTGCAGAGGGAGGAGAGGAAATATTGTTCTTCCAGGCATGGAGAAAACCTTGTCCGGAGAGAACAATCTCATTAGCGCTAGAATGAATGTAACCCATAGTTCAGTTGCATGCAGCTACTTCAAATGCATGTATAGGAACCAGGGATAACAGGAAGCTGTCAGTCAAGATCTTCTCCAAGCACCCCTGGCCCATAGGGGCAGACTGAAGACAGGGTCTTCAAGATGGTAGTGCCCAAATTATGGGACTGCTTGCTCTTAAATTTTCAACCAGTGCCTTCTTTGCTTTAAGTTTATTCTTTTATATCAAGACTTACTTGTTTGTCTTAATGTAGAAAACAGGAAGGCATTGCTGGCAGATGATAGAAGCCTATTATCATCAAGAATATATAGGCATAAACACGACCTCAGAAATGCCAATACTCAGGAAATGGACAGAGAATATTTTAATCTCTCAGGTCCCACTATTGTTCACCTGAACTTAGAGACATTATTGAACGAGGGTATACCTGCCTACTTCAGAATGAAAATGCTGAACTGCAAAATGTCGAGAACTTCATTTTCGTCATCTTTGGCATGGGCAAGTATTAATACAACAAGCATCCTAACATTGGTGATGTCATTATCAGCTACTGGTGTTGTGAATGGTTAGACTATTTAATGGCACTGTGTTTTGCATTGCTCTGCATTTCCCGCTCACCTGACCATTTACATTTTCTCTTGTGCATATGTACCTGCCAGCTGAGAATAACACTTTAAGCATCTGATCAAGTGGTCCCTGGTCCATGGAAGCTTATGCTATAATAAACATTAGGCTTCTAAAGGATTCTTTGTGTGTTGGCAGCAACAGACCAACATGGCTACTGGAATGTGCACAGAATGTCTTCCTGAATTAAAATAAATGACAAGATATGTAAAGCTTGCCCAGCAAAACATTCTATTCCCCTGAAGATTAAGCAAAACCTACCACTAATAAAGGATGTCCTTATTCAGCATACTAATCAAAGCAACTATCAAGTCAGCTTCTCATTAAGAAGCTTGATATCACAGCGCAGGATTCCAACCATGGCTGCAGAAAAACCAAGTACACTTGTCAGCCATGGTGAATGACACAACCAGAAGCAACAAAAACTTGCAGGTAAATAATCAAGTGTAGCTTTAAGGCAGAGCGTCTGTGATTTAGTAAGTTCTTATGCAAAATACTCAACTTGAGTACACAGTGCTTTGCCACAGCAGTGGAAACAGTGAACACTGAACACCATAAGCATCTGCCTTGTCCTGGCCAACACATCTGCATTGTACAGATACGTACAGATAGGGAAGAAATTCAGTTTGGTCCACAGACCAAAACACAGCCTTAAAAAAAATAAATTAAAATGCACTTTTCCAAATTTTGTAGTGTAATTGTTCAGCAAAGTAATGTGTACAAAAATGCATGCAATGGGGGCAAAGTGTGCTTTAAAATGCATATATTAGTGAAAATTTACAAAAATGCATTATATAGGAGAAATCGCTTTGCAAAAATGTATATATTAGGCAAAACTGCATAGAAAATAGGCATATTCATGAAGACTTTCATTTTAATTGCAAACTGATGTGGAAATGTGGGGAACTGAACATCTGGAGATATGAGAGCCTGAGAGAAACCAAAATCTTCTACGAATGGACAGCTACACAAACATAAGCTGTTGTCAATTATTGGTTTCCCAATAACTTCCTACCAGGTAAGCTGTTGTCATAGCAACCTTCACCTCATTTAACTGGTTCTTAGTCCTGACTGCCTTAACCTCCATTGCCCTCAGTTCAGTTGGAGACAGTCATAATGATTTCTTATTTCTACATCCAATAATTACTCATCCCAACAGGAAGAAGATATTGGCAGGCGAAGGCTTATATCTTATTGGAATATGCAATTGTGAATGAGCCCCTGATGTTATGGCTAGCATTAGTAGGTCTTATTCCAACATTGCCAAAACAGATTTCAGCAAAATCCAACTATTGCAGGACAGCAAAGAAAGAGACAGAACATCACTTGTCATCTACAGTTTACAGAATTGTAGAGTTGGAAGGGACCAGGAGGATCATCTAGTCCAACCCCCTGCAGTGCAGGAATATTTCCCCCAACACAGGGCTTGAACCCATAACCCTGAGATTAAGAGTCTCACCAACTGAGCTATCCAGTTGCCAGATAAAGGCATTCCAACCTATCGATGGATGGCAGCCCATTTGGGCAAATTGAATCATATTATAGGACTTAGACGGTACATCTGTATTTCCTTACCAACAACCCCTACTCAATCTAAACTAGCCACTCACCAGCATCAACTGACCACCCAGGGGCAAACCCTGGGTTTCAGCTCTGTCATCACAAAGAGCTCCATTACCCATCATTCTCATGTATCCACTTTAAAGCATCAACTACCAACTACAGTGGTACCTCGGGTTACATACGCTTCAGGTTACATACGCTTCAGGTTACAGACTCCGCTAACCCAGAAATAGTGCTTCAGGTTAAGAACTTTGCTTCAGGATGAGAACAGAAATCGTGCTCCGACGGCACGGCAGCAGCAGGAGGCCCCATTAGCTAAAGTGGTGCTTCAGGTTAAGAACAGTTTCAGGTTAAGAACGAATTAAGTACTTAACCCGAGGTACCACTATATACCCTTCTTCTATTTAGAACAACCTCCTAACTCTCTAAATTAGTAAATAAATGATTACAATCAGGCATTGCCATTTTTAATGCTCTTAAACCAGTTAGTGAAAGTCAGGATACACTGAAGCTGACCACAAAGAGACTATCTTTCAGAAAATATCTTAGAGGCAGGCTGGTGCATAGAAATGTGATAGACTTAATGCTACTCTTTGCACTGTTTTGTTTAGACTCCCCCTATATGTTTAGTGTGTATGCCTATATAGACACACACAAGTTCTGTAACTTGATGCTTCTATTGTGATGACCTTTTCATAGTAGGTGTTTTGTGTAAGATTATATTTGACAGGCACACATGTGACAACTGAGGAGAAGCACTTCAGACATCAGATGAAGAGGGTTTTAATTCAGAGGAGCTTATTATTTATTCAAAAGACACTTTCAAATTGAATCGTACTCATTTTATGTTTGGGAAAGTGGACAGACGGGAATGTGGGTTTCAAACTGCGGTTGCCAACTCGGGAATGGACTTTTGGTTCACTACATTTGCTATCCCATCTAGGAAGTGCAATAAATCAAACTCCTTTTCTAAGTCAGCAACCACAGTTCCACATTCCTGTCAGAACTTTCCAGGAGCACCTTGAATTTCTATTTGTTGCCTATGGATTCTACATGAAATGCTTAACCAAGAGTAATGTGAAGACACAAACGAGATCATCCTCCCACCAACTCAGTTAGCCAGGAGTGCTGCAGCAGTCCAAAGATTACACTGGGCAACAATTTTTTACTTTTTGAATGTTGTCTAGATTTCTACAACTGATTTAGGGTATTTTTGCACTGCTGAATCAGGAAATGGCATCCGTTTCTCTCCATCAGGTCAGGTTTACTGTAAACTGAATGGTGGGCATTGATAAAGGTAAGTACACGTAAATTGCATGTTGCTTCACCATTTTTCAAACTTCAGGGCTTGACCTTCTGTTTCTTGGAACTCCTGGAATGCTCAGCGGCAGGGAGGTCTCTCTTCAGAGTCCAACAGTAGTCAGCCATCATGACTGCGTCCCAGCGACCCTGATACCTGGTCTCCATCTCTTTCATGTCCTGATGGAATCTCTCCCCCTGCTCGTCACTCATTGAACCCAGGTTCTCAGGAAACCGGTCCATATGTGAAAATAGGTAGTGCATCTTGACGCTCATGTTGCAGCCCAGGTTTCTGAAAGCAGTCAGCATGTTGTTGACAAGTTCTGCGTAGTTTCTGGCCTTATGTTGCCAAGAAAGTTCTTCACTACCAGAACAAATGCCTTCCACGCTTCCAGTTCCACTTCGTTCTTTGAGTTTCCGAACTCTGGATCTCTGATGAGCTGACGGATCTGAGGACCGTCAAAGATGCCAGCTTTCAACTTCTCCATGGTCAATCCTGGAAAAGCCTGGCACAAGTAAATGAAGCAGTCACCATCCTTGTCCAGAGCCTTGGTGAACTGCTTGATTAAGCCGAGCTTGATGTGCAGCGGTGGGAAGAGTATTCTGTCTCTGTCCACCAGAGGGTCGTTGATGACGTTCCTTTCTTTGCAAGGCACCAATTCCTCCCGCACAGGCCAGTCCTTCTTCGTGTAATGCTGAGCACGGTCCCTACTATCCCACATGCACAGAAAACATGGGTACTTGGTGAAGCCAGACTGTTGTCCCAACAAAAAGTTCACCATCTTCAGGTCAACACAAATAAACCACTTATGCTGATCATAACCAATTTTCTACAGCACATACTTCACCGCTTCATAGTTCTCTTTCAGTGTACTCGAGTGAGCCAGGGGTATAGAGGCAAACTGGATGCGGTTGTGTAGCAGAACACATTTCAGTGATCGCTTGCTGCTGTCAATGAACAGTCTCCAATCTTTGGGTTCGTACTGTGGCACTCCAAGCTTGAGCAGAAGCTGTGCAATATCTGCACAGTACACCAAGTCCTTCTCTTCCGAGAAAAAACGGAAGTACTCTTGATGCCTGTTGCGCAAGAAGCTGATGCGAGCACTGTCAGAGAGGTTTTTTTCCTTCAATCTGGATGCCAACAGTTCGGCAGAGTCCTTTGACAAGCTGAGGTCGCGAACTAGATCATTCAACTCCTTTTGGGAAAATGGATGTGGAGCATCATCTTCAAGAACCACTTCTTCTTCTTCATGTCCTTCAACACTGGAGGCATCTTCATCACTAATGTCAGGAAGTTCTCCGAAGATAGGCACTGGAATTTCATCACAATGAGCTACAGGACGACGTGCTGATTGAAGATCAGGATACTTCGTGGGGCGGCTGCCCCATTAACTTAGTTTTGATCCCCCAACTTTATGCTTTGCTGGACCAATTTATGGAAGATTTTGAGGTTTTATGACTTCAAACTGATCCCTTTTCGACATAATCACCCAGAACTATCGGACCTGAATACTTCTTGTCATTAAAATAATCATTTCCAATCAAAACAATTATTTGACAAGGCATTTTACCCCCACCAACTTCTTCTAAAATGCTCCACACAAGCGTACATGTGAACAAAAACGTAAAAAAAGACATGTGGCCGTAGCTCAAAAACTTGACCTGATTGAGCAAAACCAATGTGATTTTTGGATTCAGCGCATCAGATTCATCCTAAATCAGCTGAAAACACGCAGACAACAAATTTGTTGTTGACCAGTGTTATCAAAGGCCTTTATTCGTATTGCTTTACAGTTTGAATTTTGCTGTTAAGAGTACAGAGGAAAGTGTTGTACAATTTTAAGTATTTCTGTCCATCATCTCACTATTACCCACCCCCACAAAAATAGCGAAGGAGAACATCTTGCTCCAGAGCCACCCAGCAAGTCCACAGCTAGTAAGTGGCCAAATTGGCTTTGCTCACTTGCTTTGTCACCATGGCATAAGCCCTTTTGGGGAAAGACACATGTGCTCATTAGGTGTAGGTTGTTCTCTCATTCTGGTTTTATTATTTTAAAGCATATTGTGGGCATCCACTAAAAATGGTATCCCCATCCTGGCATGGCAGTTTTTAGTCTGCATGCCTATTTCAATGTCACAGAGAGTGGCAAACCATCAGCCACAGAATGCTACAAGAACCTACACCACATGGAATTTATTGCCTCTCTGAAGCCCAGCTCCCCACACGTCTCACTTTATTTAAGGCTGCTTAAAAACAGGAGAAGAGCAAACACAGAGGAACAGTAATTTGAAGGCGTCTAATTTAAAATAGCCAGCGATGTTTACCAGCATCTAAAAATGTGGTATTTTAAAACTTTCTACAATAGTTCAGCTCCAGCAATTCAGACACAGTTAGCCAGAGCACAAGTTGCAAAGTCTAGAAAGCTACAGGGCTGTGACTACACTACAAAGCTAAAAAAAAAGTGTATTCCAAGCGAAACTCATAACCTCTCCAGAATCCTAGAGATCAGCACTTAATCAGAATCTGTTTTTCCACTATGTTGTGTAATAAAAAGGAGCCTGAACAGCATGGCCAGTTGTTGAACAAGCTCTCAGCAGAAGTCCTAATCCTTTCTTGTGCCACATAATCAAGGCCCATCCCTATTCCCAAGGTGACTGTTTTACAAAGCCCAACACTGTACGTTTTGTGGAGTAACGTAGAGCAAAATGTGTACATTTTACAAAAAAAATGCAGAGATAGACAAACTGACCTAAACTAGGGATAGCCAAGTGGTTTCCTCTGGGCCAGTTGCAAGCCACAGCCCAATTTTATTTGGTCCTGATGCCCCTCCCTGATTTTAATCAAGGCCTGCTGAGGGGTTTGTATAAAATTTCACTTGCGAGGAAAAGTAGTAAAATCTCAACTTTCAAGGCACTGTAGATATCCCTTGGATGCTATATGCGTTATCTACATCTATATGCGTTTGTAATGCTATATCTGAACATATGTACATCATAATTTAGATGTCATTGCTGCTAGACAACACAAAATATTTATGGAGGCAATCTCATGAGGGTATCAGCTTGTACATAACAACACACGTTTTAGTTCCCCAAAGCACTTTAGAGAATAAAGTAGCCCCCTAGTAAATGGAAGTTGGAAATCCCTCACCTAAATAGTCTAATCATAGATTGCAGGCTTTTCTGGCTGCAGAATTCAAAGAAACCCTCCCAGTCACTGCCACCCTTAACTCTAGAATTCCCCAACATCAAGCTCAGGCCAGCTTTTTCCAGGCCATACTTACACCTAGTAAAAGTCATTGATTTCTTTGCTTTGTACGTCGAATGCAAATTATTAATTATGGCATTAACACCCAGGGTCAAGCATTTCAAGACTGCTTTTTTAATAATATTATTTGTATGATTATGGTCATGACGATTAAAAAAATCAAGACTCAACTCACCAAAGCAGACTTCCCAACGCCACCTGAGCCAAGGACCACTAGCTTGTATTCACGCATGATGTGGTCTATTCAAATACTGACAGTCTGGAAAGGAAAGGAAAGAAGTAATGGAGTTAAGGTCATCATGTGAAATAATGCACAAGGGATAGTAATGAACCAAACTGCTTCTGAATCTTCACATTCAAGGCCTGTTAACAGAGGTATATAGTGGCCAATGATAGACAAGTGTGATGTGGCTATTTCTTTTGCCAAACTTGATAACTCCTAAGAGACTCAGTGAGGTCCACAAGTCTAGACTGGACCTGGTAGCCAGCCTTTATTGTTTATGGTTGCCCCACTGCAACCATTGCACCTGTTTCCTAATTGACATAGAAGATTCAATATGGGTGGAGGGCTCTGGCTACCTGTGTCTGAATTGCTGGGGTTGGGGAGTTGGCATGGACAGCTTTTTACCTTCTGCAAGGCTCTGTAGATGTGAGAGGCCTAAAGAAAGGCTCTCCACCCAGGCACAAAGAGTGAGGTAGCCTTCTCTCCTCTGAGCTTTCTTGATTCAAAGAGAACTAATAGGAGGAGTGGCTTCTATCTCACAAACATTCACCAGAAGCAACTTATGACTACAACTGTGAATCTATAGATGTGTAGCGAGCAAGCAGTATGAACACTCACAGGTTTTAAACTCCAAGCTGTTGGTGTTGGGAGCCAAATGGCTTTTCTAAGAACATCACAGATCTTTATCTTGCCCCTCAAGAACAGACAGAGGCATTAACAAAACGAAACTCATTTTAAAAGCAAACAAATCATCAAACCACAGCAGGATGATTGAAAAATGTGTTGCAGTTTCCAGGCGCAGTAAACATTGTATGGCAATACAAAACAAAAAACCACCACCACCATTCTCATGTCATACTGTTGTTTTAGTCGATATGTTCTCTTTGAAAGATGTTATTTTATGAGCAAATATTACAGTGATAGTAAATATTAAATAAACATAGTAAAAAGAGACTTCAGAAGCAGAGAATCTGATAAAGGATCGCCTGTATATTCTACAATTCTTTGACTAATCACTTTGAAAAGCTAAGTTCACAAGCCTTTGGCAGTTGCATCAACTTGCTTAGCAGAATACTTAATTCCTTGTTCCAAGTATTTTATTACTTTTTGTGTAAGTAAAAACATGTAACAGGCTTATACAACACACATAAAATAACCCAGGTTTCCGCCCGTACAGCTGCTTTATGAACATACAGCTGGTTTCTAACAATCAAACGAGACAAAGTCAAAGAAACGAAGGAGGAAAAAATGGAGTAAAAATCTAAGAAAAATATAATGCCTTCCACTTGTGGTCCACTGTGCCACATTTAATGAAAGGGTGGGGGAGGAGAGAGAAGGGGAGAGAGAGAGAGAGGGAGAGGGAGAGGGAGAGAGAGAGAGAGAGAGAGAGAGAGAGAGAGAGTGTATGTATGTATGTATTTACAGTGGACACTCGGGTGGCGAACGTGATCCGTGCGGAAGGCACGTTCGCAACCCGCAGCGCTGCGTCTGCGCATGTGTGGGTCGCAATTTGGCGCTTCTGTGCATGCGCCGAAACTCGGAATTAACCTGTTCCGGTACTTCTGGGTTCGGCGTGGTGCACAACCCAAAAACACACAACCTGAAGCGTCTGTAATCCGAGGTATGACTGTAATGTGGGGCACCCTGAAAGGAGCAGTTTGATATATATAGTAGAAAGTAAGTTTTCCAGTTTTTAAATATTATTATTACTATTTTATAAATTATGCCTTAGTGGCAAAATTATTTCAAAACTTCATTGAATAAAGGAAAACAGACTGAACAACTAGTGATAGGTGAAGCACACATTCTCCAGCTCAATTTAGAACTAGACTTGACAAAATTAAGCAATTTTCATATTTCATTCATACAAAAAATCTCATCTATTTCTGAGATCAATTATGCATTCATTTGTGGTCCTACCAAGTGTGCAATGCCACGGTGAGTGTGATGGAACAATTCCCTCCAAGTCCAGCATCCTCATTTTATCTGGCTGCTGTGGCAAAGTTTTCTGCCAAGCAACACAATGTGCAAGGAGGTCCCCACCCCGGTTCCTGGTGTGTGGGGGTCAGTGCTGGAGGTAGACCTACCTGCTGTCTCTGTCAGGGAAGGGAAGGGAAAAGGAAAGGAAAGGCCAAGCTAGTACAGGTGGATGAACAAGTTACAAATTGCTGGTGTTTATATCAGGATTTGGCCAAAACCAATTTAATGAGACCAAATTTAAAGATTTTTTTCTATTGATTAGAAGCTTTTAACTGTTCCCCTCCCCCAGAAGTTTTAATTGTATTGTTTTAGTGTTCATATGTTTTCCCTGGTTCCTTTGGAAGAAGATTGTTATCATTTATTTATTAGATTTATATACCACACTTCATCACAAGATCTCAGTGTGGTTCACAGAAGATGTGCGATATAAATATAATGAGACTGAAAGGAGATATGATAGCCATCTTCAAATATCTAAAGGGCTGTCACATGGAAGACGGAGCAAGCTTGTTTTCTCCTGCTCTGGAGGATAGGACTTGAACCAATGGATTCAAGTTCAAGAAAGGAGATTCCAACACAAAACTGGAAATAACTTTCTGTCGGTAAGAGCTGTTCGACAGTGGAACAGACTCCCATGAGAGGTGGTGGGCATCTGTTGAGATGCTTTCGTTGAGATTCCTGCATTGCAGGGGGTTCAACTAGATAACCCTTGGTGTCCCTTCCAACTCTACAATTCTATGATTCTATAACTAAATAAATAAATCTGAGCTTGGGAGAGAAATGGGCAGTACAAAGCACAGAGACTGTGAAAGGAACTAAACTAAGAAACCTGCTCTGTCCTCTGATACTCCTGAGCTTCATTAAGCCACACAGAGAACTAATGCAAAAAATATCTTTTCCCTCTTAGATGATGTCAGATATTATCAAACTCAATTCTGGTGGGTTAAACTTTGTAACAGTGACAAATAAGGCAGCTAGATGCATATATGAACTCTGGCAAACAAGACCCTCCTTAAAATTCCACTAAACGCATTAATACTTGCTTATGAAATTTATCTTTTCACACTCAGCTGCACAGAAGTATGTACAATTAAGCAAGAAAATTATAGTGGCAAGTTGCAGGAGACTGAGATTGCTTTCCCATCCCCGATAGGGAATGATTTAGGTCAATATTTTCTCCCTGTAAAAGGTCAGGCCTCACTTGCCATTGCCAACTGAGAAACCTTTCTGCTCCTCAAAGCAATGTCTGTGCCTTTTTATGGAAATCTCTCCAGTCACTAAGCTGCACCAGAAAACCTTTCATTCTCTTCAAGATTACTCGACAAATAAGGAAAATGACAAAACCAACGATAAACATTTTAACAGTGTTTACATTATAAACCAGCCTTCGCTGCCCCAACAACTGAGCCCAGCCAAGCCATGACATCACTTTCTCATTCTTTTTTTCCAGTCCTCCCCAAGATAGGCCTGCTCCCAAGTAAGGATTCAGAAAAGCAAAAGCTATGGGATCAGAGCAGCCTAATTCTTTTGGAGAAATCACAATCCAACTTTGCCATTAGATTTATGAGTTTCCCCAACCATAACTCTTACTCTTGCTGTTATCCTCAGAAGTACAACACGGGAGGAAAATGATCTAGTTGACTATATAAGTAAGAAAAGTGTATAGTTATGTGCACAAGACCATTTTTCACTGTTGTGATGCTAATCTGCTCTGATTAAGTTCCATCAGAGGTAGCTGTGTGCTCATGTGAAACAGTAAAGGTAAAGGGACCCCTAACCGTTAGGTCCAGTCGTGGACGACTCTGGGGTTGCAGCGCTCATCTCGCTTTATTGGCCGAGGGAGCCGGCGTACACCTTCCGGGTCATGTGGCCAGCATGACTAAGCTGCTTCTGGCGAACCAGAGCAGCACACGGAAACACTGTTTACCTTCCCACCAGAGCAGTTCCTATTTATCTACTTGCACTTTGACGTGCTTTTGAACTGCTAGGTTGGCAGGCATGTGAAACAGTAGCCAATAGCAATGGTAGAAGACCAAGCAGTTATTACCACAGGCAGCAAAAAGCCAAGGTGTTTAGGCTTTTAGCAGGAGTAACAGGACATCCTTCCTTCCAGCACTGGTACCTAAGCATGGATATTTCTGTTTGGGGAGGGGACAAATACGACACTGTGTGTTTCTATAGCCAACAAGAAAATAATCACTACTACAGCTTCCCTATATAAGGCTGCACATCTGAACCAGCTATTATCGCAAGATACCTTTGGTTGAAATTGAATGAAGGCAAGAGCTGGAATGTACTCAGTGCCCCTCAGTCACATGCCTATGTTCAATGAGGAAGGTCTTAAGTGGGGAGACTGTTCTACATATGTAGGCTCCCTGACTATGCAGGGTTCTAAATCCTCACACCTTGAAGATGCTACCTGCTTCAGGGCTCCCAACACCACCACCACCATTAGTAGAGGGTACTAGGGCTGGACACCATTTTGTGCAACACCATTTTGCCTGCTCATATGAGTGAATGCTTAAATACCACTAGTGTATTTGCACCAGTAGTGATCCAGGTCTGGAAATTTTATGCACTCAAGGAAAGGAGTATCTCTTCATTAATCCTTAGTGATTTCCACCATTAAGCTAAGTCTGGAATACTCCATACAACAGGTACACTTTCTGGATATGTTGGTACAATGGTGGGAGGGATGCTTCACTGGGCATTGCACAGCATACTTTTATGTTTCCAGCTTACCACCCGGAGCCTGCCACTGTCTGCAGCGAAGCCCTGCAATACATTTGCCCAGTTTTGGACAGTGATCCTACTCTCAAGCACAAGCCTTGGGCAGCAGGCTTAACTTTGCTTACTGCCTCCCAATGTGAAGCAGAGACTCACCAGAAACACCTAATGGGAAACGCAAAGTGCTCAGCTGGTAAGAATTTCAGAATGGGAGGGTTCAGAATTCATTTTTGCTAAGTAAATTTGGCAAGTCTTCCTTTAATCCAGGTGTCATATAGACAAACCAGAAATTCCTTAGTACGGCTCCACATCCACTCTACCAATTTACCTGCCATCTTACCCTACATTTTCTCCCAAGGTATCTTGTGGGACCATAATCTCCATAGGCAAGGAAACAGGATGAAGAGCAGTCAGAGGACACCAACTTCCAGTCACCAGAGAAACAAAGTCACATCCGCTTTGCAAAGGGAATATGCTCCTCACATGCTCAGAGGCACTCAGCTCTAGCTATCAAATGTGCAAATTCACCCTCTATGACTGCACCATTAATTGTGGTAGAATAGACAGGTATTCTTTTGTCAAAAATACACAACCTTTCAAAACAACATTCACTATTATGTTAGATATATGTTTCACTCCTCTATAATTAGTGCCTTTCTTGGGTGCAGGAAAATGAGTCTTGCAGAGGAAGTTAAGACAAATCATTAGGTTTTTTTAATGCTGCTTTTCCATGGAAAATCATGCCCAAAGTGGCTCACAAAATTGGGAAAGTTCACATGAGAAAAACAGCAATATTTCAAGGTAATTCACTAATCAAAAGGGTACATCTTCAAATTTTGAGCAAAATAGTTATACAATTATGAGGCCAGTCAAAACATCTTGTATTAATAAATATACATTGCAATTAAGCAACAAATCAAACCATTTTTACTAAGATGTAAGAGGAATGTAAAACCAAAATCCAGCTAGCAGCAAAGGTATAGATAGGACCAAGTACTATGGCGGCATTGTATCTAGCATGCACCAGGTGGTGTTCAAAGCAGCCCATAATAAGCATGTATGATGAAGGTGAATCTGGCCTCAAGTGAGAGCAGATGATCTAAGGTCTCTAGAAACATTTGTGACAACGGGTGGCTTTCTCCTCCTGGTTTTCTTAATCTACACCCATGTGCTGCTGTTGCAATAGTGGGGTTTCTTCAAATAAAAAGCTTGATGCCTGGGCTAGGCAACCCAGCTACCAAATTCTAGGAGGTCAAATCCAATCTATTCCTGGTAACAGTTCGCTGTGGTTGTTCCTATAGATGTGTGCAGACTAATAATGGCCACAAATGAAATCACTCAAGTGTTTCACTGGTGTTCTAGTATGTGTGTCATTTAGTTAGTAGGTCAGGAGGAGGATAACAATTCTCTTCTTGTGCAGGCATTTGAGTCAACTGTTCTGCCAATTACTCTGCTGGCTGGCAGCTATGGAAAGAGTGCTGAAGTTCTGAACAATGACCACATTGGTTTTTCTTGAAAGAATGGGTTGCAAAGGAATCTTCTGAATAGCTGTCTGTCTAGTTTGACACTCTGGTGTACAAGATATAGTACTGGGGGACGGGAAATTGGGGAGGACCCACTCCGGACCAGCAATATACAGTACTAAGGTGAAATTGTGTCACGCATCTATTAATTCAGTCTGATCCTTGGTTTTTGGTTTTTTAAATGAGACAAATACCCAGGCAGATATTTATTGAAAAGAATTATGCTACTATTTATGGGTGACTTTTTACTGCTATACTAGCCTAGCCATTTTTCTTTTCTTTTCAACAAACTGCCACATTTGCTCACTAAGAAAGGGTTTTGATGCAAGCTTTGCTGTAAAAATCTATGTGACAAAACACATCTGCAGAAATCAGAGGAGACAACAGCAATTTACTAAATAGGAATGAGAAGAGCTCCCAAAGGCTAACTAGAGGGCAAGGCGGAGGACAGGGCCCAAACAAGTCTGAAACTAGTTCTGTGTACCCAGAGGTTTTTGCCTTGAGTGTTTCTCAGTTAGAAGTCCCCCGCCTCCAGCACTCTAACATGTTGCACCACCCAAAAAAAACTGATCTTGAAAGCAGGGAGCATTTCAAAAGCCAATTATGATGCAGCATAGGAACTTGAGTAAAGTTTTTTGAAAAAAATTGAACAGGCACTATTGGTTGTACAAGCTTTTCATTTCAGGAGGAATAGGAAAGAAACACGCTATGAAGATATGACCTTCACACAGTATTATGTAAGCAGCTTCCTGCAGACGACACGGGCACCATACTAAACCAACCAGCAACTTGGGAGTTGAGCACTTCTTATGCAGTCACAGCTCTCAGCTTCATTCTCCCCATGTGTAAAATGCCAGCACCTGGCCTCATTTCCTCATAGGGATGTTGGGAAGTTTAATTAGGTAATTGCCATAATGTTTTTGGCAGGAATGACAAACATCATTACAAGAGCAGGTGCAGAATGCTCAAGCATATCCATAGTATTCAGGCAGAACTGCCAGAGGCCAGGCCAAGGCACTCCACAGCATCATCCCACTGGTTTTAGAAGGTTTTTCTGAGTCCCATAAGGCTGGCTGCCCCTTCTCTTGTTTACTCTCAGGAGAGCCTCCGGCACCCAACTGCAAATGCTTCCCAGGTCTAGCTGGACCACATTAGCATAGGGTTTATATATGGGACAAAGCTCCAATATTTAAGGCCTCATCATCTAACGATTTCCATCATGTACGTCAGAGAAAACTTTCAGGCCCTTGCCTGTGGAACTTTTCAGGGAGGGTAGCAAAGCGTAGCTTTCTCTTTATCCAATGTCTCTCCTTTCCCAATAGCAGCAGAATACTTGAATGTATACTTTTGGGAAAAGCTGTAATACAGGATCTGCACCTCGTTATATCTCAGAGGGCTCAGAGTAGTTCCCATAAATCAGTATAACTACATAACACTATCTAAACAGGAAATATTAGAGTTATGTGGACAAAGGGTCAAAGGGCTTGGCAATTCGGAGGGAGGAAAAAAATTGCTAAGGAAGGACACCAAAACAGCAAAGTGCTTTTTCAGTTGCGAAGCCCTAAAGAACTTGAAAGTTACAAGTGTTTACAGAGTAGAAAACTATGGCACGAAAATGTCCTGAGGGGTAGTCAAGGTAGTCTGTAGGAGAAGTCTTGTGGTATTTTAAAGACTAACAAAAATACTGATCAATTTGTTTGCAACATGTTAAGAGATTCCTCTTGTAAATGAACCAAGACTCTACAGCAAGGGTGGGGAACCTGTAACCCTACATTTGTTGTTGAACTCCAGCCGCCATCATCACTGATCATTGTCCATGCTGGCAAGAGTAGGAGTCCAAGAATATCAAGAGGGTCACAGGTTTATCATTTGTACTTTAGGATGACAATGCATTCAATACCCTGGCCATGTTTGCACAGTCAGATCCTGACTTAATAAACTTGGATATTCATGGACTGCATGCACCTGTATACAGCCTCATTGCTGCTGCTTGCATTCTTCCGCATGCACAAGCAGTGAAACAAACCAGAAAGCCAGAGTTAGCCATAGCTTCCTGTCATGTGCAAACTGGAAACTATTGCTAATGGCTTCCAAGCATTGGCATGGAACATTTGGCAAGCCAACTTTAACTCAGGATTGAAAGCTTTCTTTCAAAACCTGGCCAGTTTGGAAGCTGCTAACCAAAGTTTCCAGGAAGCTATGGTTGACTGCAGCTTTCTGGTTTGCTTGACCCACTTCCACAGAGAGAGGTGTGATGCGGTACACAGGAGTTGTGTGTAGCTGCACACAGTTGGTGTGTATCTAGTTTCTCAAGCCAGGATTTGATTGGGGGGCTGCGGGAAGTGTGTTACAATTCGCTACACACACCAGAGTCCAGTATAAACACATTAAGTGCAGGGGAAAAAAGTTATGAGAGATGATAGACCAATCTGCAATGATCAATAAAAGCATAAGGCAGAACAACTAGGCTCTCTCACTTATGGGGTAGAATACAATTCTAGACAACATGCTGAGCATCTCAAAAATGCCTCCCACTCTATATAGTAAAAATTTCTAGATTTCATGCTGGTATCACATGACAGGCAGTAAAACTGAGACTGCGATCCTACTGTCATAGACTGGTTGGATGCAGAGGAATGGTGGCTGGAATCCGCTGGGGAACCAGCAACGGAAGAAGGCTCAGAGGTCAGGGTGTGGTGGTGGGACAACAATCAGTAGTCACAGGGGAAAAGAGGGAAAAGACTGAGAAGGAGAAGCTGAAGGGGTAACAGGGCTTAGTAAGCTGGGAGAGTCTGTGGCAGACAGAAATCCAGAATCAGAGGCAAAAGCTTAAGCATGGAAGGAGGGAGTCAAGAGGCAGAGATGAGTCAGACTGGTGAAGAGTGAAGAATCGCTGGTGTCTCTTGCTGCGACATCCCTGGTGACTGTTGGTTTAGAAGCAAGAGATGCCTATAACTTTACAACAATGAAAACTCTCACGGTTAGTATTCAGTGCCTTTTCCTGTACAGCTGCACTGGATGGATGTACACAAATAAGCAACCGTATTTGCACACTAAAGGTGGCAAAGCACTTCAGTCATCATTATTTGCATCTTGTCTTCTACTTGAAAATTTCCCTAAGCAGCAAAATTCACTTTCTTCATTTTACAAGACAGCTGTTTTGTACTGAGAAGAGGGGAAGTTGTAATTTTGGAAAGTACCGAAATCGGCAACACCAGAAAAGAAGCATTATGTTCAAGCTTTAAGAGAAGCTAAAAATTTAAAGAAAAATAGAAAATAAGGTTCAATTTATTCACACACTTTTCTACAGGCAACTTTTTTTAAAAACCAATGCAATCAAATAATGAAATCTATATTAAGCTGTGACCCTAACCCTTTCAGCTTATCTTAGAGACATAGATATATGCACATGGCTGCCTTAATTTTTGCACATCTGTCTGGGGCCTTCTTTCACCCAGAACAGTATATTACTCTGATTTAGGATTAACTGTATATGAGATACATAAAGCAGTACCCATTTATTCAGAATATGGACTGTGAAATATAGGATGTGGACAGACACACACACCCATACCCACACGCTATAGCAGGGGTCAGCAAACATTTTTGGGAGGGGGCCAGTTCACTGTCCCCCAGACCTTGTGGCGGGCTGGACTGCATGCACACATGCGGCGGAGGGGACTTCTCTCTCTCCCCCTCTCTCTCCCCTCCCCCTGCCTACCTATGGTGCTCCCCGCGCAAGTGCGGGCTGGCTCCAGAGAGGCGCTGCACTCTGCCAACCACGGCTCCTGTGCCTGCCCTTGCTTTCAGGCTGCTCATCCCTCTGCAGCCAACAGCCTCTGCCGCTTGCAAGGGCAGGCACAGGAGCCGTGGTTGGCAAAGCACAGTGCTGCGTCTTTCCGGACCCAACCAGCCCTTTTGGAGAGGCGTTGCACTGCACTCTGCCAACTGCGGCTCCTGTGCCTGCTCTTGCGAGTGGCAGAGGCTGTCAGCGGCAGCAATGGTGAGACGAGCTGCCCCAAAGGGCTGGCTGGCTCTGGAGAGGCGCTGCCCAAAGTGGTACTCAGCCAGCTCAGCCCAGCTCCCTTCCTCCTCTACAAAGGGCAGGGAGAAGCCAGGAGGAGGGAGGGAGGAGGCACTGCAGTGTGTGAGAGGGAGAGGGAGGGAAATGGCGCCTCCAAAAAATGGCACAGAAAAAAAATTAATGAACAGAATCCCCACAATCCACGGACTGTCCGCGGGCCGGATCCTGAGGGCAATTGGGCCGGATCCGGCCCGCGGACCATAGTTTGCCGCCCCCTGCCCTAAAGACTACTGCCATAGGCTCAAGACTACTGCCATAGGCTTCATGGTTAAGAATACTTAGCCATAGTTCGATGGTGTGATGCTTAAAACTGACAAACTATAGTATAAAATGAACCAGCGAGCTAGAATTAGGAACCATATTTTGTGCTAACCATGGTAGAACATGATATCTAAATTGACAAACTACAGTTATGATTGTTCCTCCTCCTTAATGAATTACTGCACCTAGAGACTGAAGTGCTGAACTGATGGAAAAAGAAAGCAGAGAAGCACTGTTTGCACTTGCATATTTTGGAAGCTCAAGCCATGCTTGGCACAAACCATGGCTTGGTATGTTATCTAAATGGATCCTTGCAGACTGTATCCAGATTCTCATGTCTCAGCTTAATAAGCTAAGATGTGTGTAAGCCTCTCACCCTATGCCACCCCTTCCCTTATTTGTGGGCTGCAATAAGCTGGGAAGTCTTCAGTTAAGCATAGCAATTAATCAACCATAGCTTCCCATTATGTCTGCCCCAGGGAACTATGGTTAACAGGTTCAGAAATAGATAGGACATTAAACAGTTTGAAGTTGATTAAGATCCTAGCTTGTTCCAAACCTTGTAACCTTAGTTTTGTGATTGTGGTGGGAAACTATGGTTAACTGAAAATGTCTGGAATTAACTGCAGCACAATGGGAAGGGAAGGGTGCATGCACACAGACACAAGCTTAAGAAGTCAATATATGCTCATCCAAACCTAGCCATGGTGTTCTTGCCAGACTATCATTTGAAATGTTATATGATTTGCGTAACAAACCAGGAGCCAGGGATAACCATATCAACCTAGGAGTAGTCACAGGTCAGGCAGTAAAATTTGCTCATTGATATTGTAGAAAATACAGGAGCAAGGTCTCTCATTTAATAAAAGACTTTTATCTCTTGCTGGTTACATCATGCCTCTTATTGGTTAGTCAGCGGATACCTGGCAGTTTTAAACAACCTCATTTTAGATGGATTGCACAGCTCATAAAACTATCATGAGTTGGAGGTGAGGATGCAAGTTTATTTATCGCTTAGATTAAATGTGACAAACTCTATTGAGGAACTACATATTGCTTACTGACAGATGAACAGATGAATTTAATCCTGATAGGTGAATTCAGAACACTTTCTGTAAATGCAAAGACCCGCCACGAATATTTAAGCTGGAAAAACCTGGCCAAACCGAAATGCATTGTATTACTGACCCTGTACATTATAATTATGTAGTAGTTGAATAACTCCAAACATCCTCAGAGCACTCAGTCAATTGCCAGCCTTGGGATATAGGTCAGTGATACTTGTTTTATATTAAATAAATATATGCAGAAAAAGATGGGTGGATGTGCTGAAAGAGCTAGCACTCAAACTTCAGTAATGGACTAGTTAGCAACAGCCACCATGGTCCAGAAAAAATATTGTTTAACTGATCAGGGAGACCTGGGTTCAAATTCTGACTGACCCATGGATGGCCTTCTACAATCCACTTTCAACTCTCAGTTCAACAGGCACAAAATGGGGCAGTGATTTTCTGCAGAGTGTTTGCAGAGAAGTCTTTAAAGTGATATAATAAATGGTGCATCCAAGAAAGGCTAAAGGAGTAAGACAGGGATGCATTGGTAGAGCTCTAGGTGGTCCGCAGTAGATCCTGCCAGGGTTTTGAACTTCCAGCTGCTTAACGATAACTATCACAAAGTAAACTTTTTCCACTTAAATTAAGAGGTTGAAATTTAATTTTATATTCAGAAGCAAACCAGAAGTAGGCTATTTTTTTGAAAGGATAGTGAACTCATTTCAGTTCTGGTACAAAAAATGAAATTCCTAGGCTCAGAAAGCACTCAGAAATTCCCTGCTCATTATTTTTTTAACGTGTGTCTTTTGTACCTGGCTGGTAAATCTTGGGGTTCTAATAAAACACACACACACGATTCAACAAGCCTGAAGACTACTCACCCTTGCTGTAAGTGTCATGACTCCTGTGGATACATCTTGGTGAGACTGGTCAGAGGGGTAGGAGGAATGGGACAAGGGCAGCGAACTGGAGGAATTCATGGGATTGGCCCAGAGGGTTGGGCAATGCCAGTCTGGACCCAGTGGCGTGGCCTGGCAGACTGTCAAAAGAAAATCCCACCTCGGTGCCACTGGACACCCCAAGGGACACCCTGAAATTCTTTCCCCTGCCATCCTCATACTTGGGTACATGCATAACGTAGTATGAACTGCGTAAAGGCAATTTGATTTGCCTGTGCCCATATTCTTGACCTTTCACTCACTGTTAATTTAGGAATAAGCTGTGTTAGATGCAAAAGTGCACCCAAATATGCAGAGGATGCAAGCTGATGTGTTCAAACATCAGGAAATATCCATTCCGCCCACCCACATTTAAACAGGAGGATGTCAAAATATTGAAAATCTTGAGGCATAGCAACAATCTAAGCAAAGAACGGGATGTTGTAGTAATGCTTTTGTGGAAGGATAGTTTGTGTTAACTTTTGATAATGGCAGAAAGCACATTGTTTAAAAACATACTGCAGGGGGTGGAGAAAACAGAAATTTTGAAATGCATGGGGCTCTCTCTTGCTTCCTCAAAGCATGCAATGTCATAATTTGAGAGGTTTCATAGTTCAAAGACAGAGACCATGCCCTGCATGCAGAAGTCACAGGTTTAATTCAAGACACCTCCGGTCAGAGCAGATGTAGATATTATTATTATTATTTAAAAACAAAACAAAACACTCCATACCTTGGCATATAAGATCTCTCATCAGTATTGACAGCACCTGCTAGAGGTCTTCCCAATCTCCCTCCAGGGACTAAAAAAGAAAAGAAAACTGCAATTAATTACTTTTAACCAATTTAAAAACAGAATATGCAAGATCAAATTCTTATTTTACAGGGTTTGCCTGCCAAGCCTTACTCAACAAACTTTAAAGACACTTCTCTCTTCTCCCCTTCAATGAAGTAATGCTTCCCAGTACTGAGCGCACATGATTGCGGAAAGATGAATTCATCTATTAACAAGTCAGGCTATCTGGAACATTTCAAGTGAATGTAAATTTTGGAATCTCGCATTTGTGTGACCTTATAAAACCCAGCAAACAAAAGTTTACAAAAGTCTGAAGTAATACAAACTGAATCGACAAGATTCAAAAGGGCAATACCACTATATAATTTCATGACAAAATGCCTCTGTGTGCCCTGAACATGAACTACGATCGTCAGAATATTTGCAGGCTCAACATTCTCCAGCCTATAAAATTGTGGTACCCAACGCCCAAGTCTAGTTTTCTCCTCACAAACACACCACACTTCCTAAGTTTATGAAGCAAAATAATGGCATAGTTAGCTTAAACAATTTAATGCTAACCATAGGAGCCTCCCACTGTACATTCTTACATTATATTATGCTAACTGCTGAACAACCCAGCATTGTCTAAAAACTGCCGTGCTAAACTGAATGGCTAGTACTAGAAAAGAGAACTTTTGCATGAGCAGTTTGATGAATTTTCTATTAATTCCCTAAGCATTTTTGAAGCATTTGTACTTTTACGTTATCTACTATTGCTTTGTGGGGACCTACAACGGCTATAGAAAATATTATGACACTCAATCACTAGTTTGCTCCCCCCCTCCCCTAGAAAAACTAGCTATTAACACACACAACCTAAAGAAAAAGCCAATAGAGGACTCATAAAAAAGCAAAACTTCCTGAGGCTCTACAACAGCTCAATGCAACTTCTCATTAAAGCAAAGCTACAGTACAAGCTTGCAGTCACGTGCCTTTACATGGAATACCCTGCTTACACAAAGGATATACTACGTAGTTATTTCTGTTGAGGGGACATAAGGTACCAAGCAGTACCTTTTATACAAATTCCCTTGTGATGCTTGGAATTACAGCAGTGTGGTTCATGCAGTACTGTCCCACAGTTTCCCTAATACTTAAATAGCTTCACTAATGTTTAAAAGTCTTTTTGGAGTAAAAGGGGACACAGCTGTGTCATTTATTGCCATGTTCTTTTTTTCTTGGTATAGCCTTTGCTTCCAGCTTTCTTCAACAGTTATCTCAGTTGCAAAATATATCTTTATTGTAGTCTGTGCATTATAAGTGAAGTCTTGCGAGAAAGATTTCTCTCTAGACAATTGGCTAATTATTTGCTTGCTTCTAAAACCATCTCCCATTTTAAAAGCAACGGATCGTATTCTCCTGCGCAGAGACAAAGAGGTAACTAGTGTTTTAGCATTCTTTCTTAGTCCACGAGATCACTGAAGCGCTTATGAGCTAAAATTAGTAGGTTTTACACACAGCCTGAAAGCCAGCACAGAATGTCTCCATTGAGAGATGACAGCCCATTAGAGGAACTGTGAAGGGCCTGGCTTCAGGCCCAAGGGAGTCTTTCAGGGACAAGGTTGGGGAAGAGAGAGATCATCCCAAGTGGGCTTTTGTCTCAGGCAGCCACAGGCCAACTGGCTTTGTCTTGGGCAAAACAGGAAGGACTACAGACCACTCACCAGAACTTGTTCTATTGAAAATACAACAATTCCTTCTCTGGGCAATTTCTGGAGTTGAATGTGGCACTTCCAAAAGCAGGCCAGGCCCTAAAGGTTACCTGAATATATAGGCACAAAGACCATGTCCCTGTTCTATAGGGATCTGCTCAGTGTTAGCTGTGAAACACTTAACAGTGTGTGGGGTGCCATGCAAATATGGCATGGCCACAGAACAAGAGAAGGTGACAAGAGATGAAACAGACGGTGTTTGGATAATCAGTCATATGGAGTATTACAGTAAGCATGGGGGCAGGTTTGATTATCCCTCCCTGTCCTGTTTTCCATGTCTCTCTCTCTGCTATTACTTGTGAGAAGAAGGAAGGGCTTTGTCACCTTTGGTAAAGCATAACAGCCTTGCCTCAAAATTTACTGACTTCACCTTGCTAGCAATTCCAGTGTGCAGGTCAGCCTGGTGCCATTCATTCTGCTCAGATAAGCAGCAAATGTTTGTCACTAGCAAAAATGTAAGGCACAGAATAATTGCATTTCACAGTGCCAATGGGCTCCTCGATTATCTAAGGATACAGTCTAGAAGAGCTCCTTTGGGGAAGGGGGAAGAAGAAGCAGCAGCAGCTATGCTTTGTATTGCATTTTGCAACAAATTCCATCAAGCTTGTTTGACTCTAAGTCCATCCTTCCCCCCCCCCCACCACACACCATCAGAAACCAAGTTACTCTTGTGCAGAGACTACTGTACACGTAGAAGAAAGGGGAATTAGTACTTAGCAATAAGACACACTATCTCACCACATCCAACAAATCAATGTACTTAAAAAGGATCCTTCTTTGGTATGTTTTCTATTTTTGAAATAGAATTAAATTCCAAGTATACAAGACATGGCCAAGAGCTACACATAAGCATCATTCCATGTACTCAGGCTGTAAGCCAATGGCCTAAAATATGCACGTCCCACTGAAAGAAACAGCTTGGGAACAGCGGTGCCTTGACTGTAAAAATCCTGGGTAGACCAAGGTTTGCCACTACATTAAACATAAGCTAAAACTATTATGTACTATTACAACTATAATGTACACCAAGGTCATTAGTAGAGAAACCCCCATTTGAAGGTCTAATAATGTCAACTAGACAGCCAGTGTGGGTCAAGTGTCAGACTAAGACCTGGAAGACCAAGATTCAAATCCTCATTCATCCATGAAGCTCAATGGGTGACTTTGGGCCAGGCTCCATCTCTCAGCCCAACCTATTTCAGAGAGCTGTTGTTAGGAGAAAATACCAGAGAAAGTGGGGGAATTTGTATGCCATGAATTCTTTGGAGGACAGGTGATATACAAAATGTAGTAGAAAAACAGACTACAGTGGTATCTTGGTTTACGAACTTAATCCGTTCCAAAAGTCTGTTCTTAAACCAAAGCGTTCTTAAACCAAGGTGTGCTTTCCCATAGCAGCAGGGGACTCAATTTACAAATGGAACACACTCAACAGGAAGCGGAACATGTTCTTATTCCAAGGCAAAGTTCACAAACCAAAACACCTACTTCCCAGTTTGCAGCGTTCTTAATCCAAGTTGTTCATAAACTAAGCTGTTCTTAAACCATGGTACCACTGTAATGGTATTTAAAAGTCTCTTTTTCTTTCAGGAATCTCGACATATTTATTTCAAGGTTTTCCTTGGGTTTGCTATTTTGGTTGTTTACAAAGTGTGAGAGAAAGGCAGCTCAGATTCCTGCCAATTTTGAAAAGGGTGATTCAGGTGCTCGAAGCCATAGAAAGTCAGGTAGAAGAGACGATATATATGAAAACATTTTGCCTACATTTTACCTGCTTTATGTAGCTCTCAAAATTTGGTAGGAAATATTTTGAACCTCTTTAGAAAGTGTAGGAGCTGATGGATAAACAGTTCTACGAAACTTGTGAAGGTTGCAAGGCCTAGTGTCCCCTCTCTCTTACAGTACTGGATGCAATAAAAAACACATTTATATTAAAATTAAGTGTTTGGGGGTTTAGCAAAATGATTTTAGGCAGCAAAACAATAGGGCAAATAAGCTTGCAAAAAAGATAACAAGAAGGAAAAAATCAGTTTCTACCACTGTTTTCCTCAGCAGTTCAGAGAACATAGCATAGTCCTTTCGAATTAACAATTAAAACTCTTTTGCACAGCCTTACTGTGCACTGAAGTCTCATGGGACAATCCAAACTGTCTAATGCAGGGATGGGGGGGCTGTGGGGCTCCAGTTATTACTGGACTCCTGCTACCTCCTGCCAGGATGGTCAGGGATGATGAGAGCTGTGGTCCAACAACACGTGGAAATTCACAAGTTCTCCATACCTGGTTTAACAGATGGCAGGCCTAGTGCTCTGAAGGCCAAACTAGAAGTTACGGCACCAGTTCAATGTGTCTAAAACATGGAACCATCCCAGCAATATAGAAAAAGTGGGCCTGGCGGTCCAATTTTAACAGCAAAAGGTGTGAGACTAGCTGATGAGTGTAGAATCCTCCTTGCTAGCAACCAACCTCACCAACGTCACCGGAGCACCCCAAACACCGAAAAGCAATGTTTCCTTAGCTGAACTCATGTACTGAAGCTACCTTAGCTGGGTGAAAGCATTTGGGGAGGGGTGAGATGAATTGCGGGGAGGTAAGCAGGCGTGCAGGAAGGATTGGGGAGTAAAACCAGAAGTTCCGTATTTGTCTATGCGGTTCACATTTGAAAACACTGGCCTGCTGCCATTATGTCCAGTTTTGCCTGAAGTGGGAAGTAGCTTGGCATTTGCCATAAAATGCACTAATAATAATAATAATAATAATTAGTTATTTCTACCCAACCCATCTGGCTGGGTCCCCCCCAGCCATTAACAAGACTCAAGTGACTATTTAATTGTTGAGCTGTTTAAAGAGATCATTTTACTGCATATTTTAATCATGGATGTCTATATTTTAATGTTTCGATGGAATTGTTTTGTTGTGCATTATAATAATTGGTTTTTATGTTTATTCATCACTCAGACGCCATCTTGGCATTAAGCAGTATTTTTCATTAAATTAATTAATTAATATTTTCACACCAACGCTAATTTGGTAAAATATTTCAGGCATTCCTATCAAGGTAAAAATGTCCGGATTTCACTCAACCACCACATCTCATGAGCTAGTGAAGACTTCCAAAGCACCAATTCACAGATAACCCTTCAAGTGGGATTGTAAACGTTTCACTGCCAGTGTGAAGTTATTCAATCCATTTGCTTAAAAGATCTGCAGGTGTTATTTTCCTTTCACTATCATTTTCTGGCAATTTTACCAAGTTCAGAATAACAAAAATAAATTTAGATTATGGGGTAAGTGTTATTACTGTCTTACAGGGCAACATCTCCCTGCGAATTCTATTCCAAAATAAAAGTATAGTGCATCAGCTTTCTCCTTTAAGACACATGCGAGTGATAAAGGGAAGAAGAATCAGGCCCCCACATGTATTTTAAAGAGGGAAACGGCAACTATTCTCTCTTCCCACGCATCATTGCAAGATTAAAGCCTAAATGGATTGCCGGCTCCTCCTCTGCTATTCAGTTATTCTGGGCCCAAAGAGGAGGATGCATCCGTTCTCTGCCTCTTTTAATATGTACGTTCACCCCTGCAGTCAGACAGCTCTCTTTCTTTACAATCATCTGCCCTTCTAGAGTAGAATCATCATGTTTTCCCTTCTATCAGATGTTGCACTTCTTTAAGCCTCCCCTAGTTTGCAAAGTGCTTGCTCCTTTGATATGCTGTGGTTCTGCTTTAGCACGATTCAAAGACCAAGTTTGCAATGATGGAGATAGATAGATAGAGAGATATCACAAGGTTAGTTTACATAAAGGACTATACATATACACTTTACTGGGCAAGTGTGGCTATGCTTTACATTTACATTTTAGCTCTATTTGCTTCTTTTCCTAGTGAAGGTAGAAAATCTCAAGCAGCAGAGCAAAAAACACATTTAAAGCCCACCAAAGCGGAGAGCAAAGTGCTGAAGTCCACCCTACTACACCACTGCAGGAATATCCATCATGAACCACAGGTGTCATGCAACAATGGGAAAAAATAAGAATGAACAGAGACAAGCTACTGTCCATTCCGGCAGAAAGTTGCTCCCACCTTAGGGAGAGGAGAGAGTGAAGAGATAGACATGACAGCCCAATTAACACTGCCTGCAATGTGTGCAATGGTGCACAGATGAGGATAAAAGGTAATTCTCACCTTATTACTTCTGAGGAGCAAAGTGCTTCTTTAAGAAGATAGAATACAATAGAATTTGTTTTGTATTTTATCTCTTGACAAGGGGTGGGATTAGACATTACAAAAGACACGTGACTGTTATGAAACAGAGCAAAATCATCTAGCCCCAGCCTCTATTGACGTTGCAATTTGATAAGATACAGTTTTATGTTGTGTGCTTTGGAGTTGCTCTGAAGTTCAAACTTGCTGGGCTCACATTTCACAAACAGCAATTGATTTGAGATCTGGTGTCCTAATGTTGCTAAGTATGTATATGCCTAAGAAAGAATGCAAAAGCAGTCATGATAGTACTTTATTTATATTTTGGGGTGGGGAGGGGGAGTAGATCTACAATTCCTACCATTGAAAAAAGTTATTTAGGGCGTTGGAAATAGCCCAAATGGACAAACAGATGAAATGGTCCAATTACACGAACGATTTCTCCCCTTCCCCCCCAAAAGCAACTTTTGGTTAAGTATTTGAATTATTATTTTGATTTGGAATACTTAGACATTTATGCATTTGAACATTTGTGGCTGAGAGGGGTTCGAAGCAATTTGTTTAGCACTCTGTCCACAAATTCCCACAGCCTCTCTCTCTCTCCATATATGACTGCACTCTGAATGTCCCTTTCCCTGGTCCATTTCAAGGGTTGCCATTTATAGAGGCAGGGGGGAAAGTGCAGAGGTGTCACTTCATCATTTTGCTCAAAAGACATTACAGGGGCCACATATGGAGGGCAAGTATATTTTGTGTATCTCTAATTTCACCCTAGATGTGCATACTGAGTAAATGCATTTGCTGTGCAATATACTGTCGGTTCATAAAATTAACACTTAACAGAGGGATTAGCAATATGCCACAATAATACAGCCATACAAGTAAAGGCCAAAAGCCACTTCTTAGTAAAGTTTACTGTTATTACTATTATTATTTCACTTAGAATTTGCCAGGAACAGGACCTAGCTAAAAGGCTATTCTGACTTCACCCAGTGATAGATGCTAGAGAAAGGTATTTACCAATGACAGATTTCTTACCTGCAACTAGTGATCTTCAAGTAGTCACCAGCACACAGTTCTGAGTGTGCAAAAGCCCAGATCCCATTGGCGTCACTGTACAGAGACTATGGAGGACTTTCCAATTGTCCAACTCTGTTTAAAACCTGTACGCATTTGGCTGCATTAAAGTTCCATCCTTCTAATTTGTCTTGCAAATGTACAATCAGTATCTTACTCAGATGAGAAACAATGCAGTTCTCATTAATTCTACTCAAAGCTAGTCTACTGAATTCAATGCAAGTGATTCCCAGGCAAAAATGAATTAAGTGTATTTTTAAAAACAAATAAATAGATAAATAAATAAGGCAGCTAGAACCTGTACAGAAAGGCTGTTTCTGATCAGATGGGTCTGCAAGGAATGCAACGTCTGACAAACAGCTCTGCCAGTGATAATGGTAAATGCCAGGATTTTCATTTGTTAATTAATTCTTGCAGCTCATGCTGAGCTGTGGCTGGCAGAGTTACTGTTTGGGGAAACATGCACAATTAAAAAGAACAGGTTGGTAGATTTTCATAAACTCTTTGTTGGCAATGAAATCAATTTTGCACCATTTATTTCATTTTGTGTTTCAAGTGTTTAGATCAAGTAGGTTCAGGGATCAAAAAGCCATGCATGGCAGATTCAAGTGCTTTATTGGGTGGCTGTTGTTTCCAGCTTCCTGGGGGACAGTATGAAGCATAATGAATCTGCTTCTTTCTACTCAAATAGCAAAAAAAAGTGTGGCAGAATAGCTGCATTCACACTTTATGGTAAGCCACAGTTAATGGTTTACTATAAATGTGCAGATGGCTCCTAATGCACTCCTCCCCAGCTTGAACATGAGCAACAAACCATGATCCCTGGCTTTGCATCATGTCTGAACTGAATATTGTTGATTGTACTGAAGTGATCTTTTTCTTAACTATTAACTATGCCAAAAATGATGTAATTTATTGAAGAAAAACTTATGGAGAAAGCTATTTTTGGCTTTTGATCCTGCAATAGTAGCTCCACTCTCTTCTGTTTATAGGCCTCATCCACATCCTTTCCCTAAAAATGTGCTTTAGTGTTTTAGAACCAAAGGAAACTATATGCTAAAAATTAAGTAAAAAACCATCTATATGAAAATCACACACACACACATATCACATGGAACCTCAGTAGCAACTATCCCTAGAGTGAAACTTGTCCAGTGTCACTTAGATTTCAGCAAGAATATAACTCAGGACTTGCTATTTATAAAACATACACACACACACAGCAGAAAATGTGAGGAATCAACTCTTAATGGCCATGAGACTACACCATATTCCATTCATAGGGAGAGCTAACAGAAGAGAAAAGGCAACTACTGAAACTCTTCGTTCCAAAGGCATCTGCTACTCATTCCCCAACAAACAGCAAATTGCATGGCTGTTGAAACTATAATGAAATTACCAATGAATCACCCCCATTTCAAAGCGACTTGCAATTTTAGCAAAAACAATGCAAACATGGCAAAGCTAAGAGACCACAGCATTATCTGGCCTTCCAACATTCCAGGTGGCCTTGGTGGTTAGAAGTGTCTATTTCCAACCAGGGCTGGTTTGCCAGCTGCAGCCCCTTTTGGAAAGAGATGACTTAGCCATGGTACTCCATGCTCCGGTAACTTCCAGATTAGATTATTGCAATGTGCTTTACATGGGGCTGCCCTTGAAGACAACTCAGAAACTTCAACTGGTACAAAATGCAGCAGCCACATTACTGGCTGAAGTTTCCTATGGAACTCATATAAGCCATATACAAAACAGCTGCATTGCCTGCCAGCTCGTTTCCAAGCAAGTGTGTGAAGCCCTAAATGGCTTAGCCCCAAATATCTGAAAGGCTGCCCTAGACCCTCTCAGAGTTAAGATGAGTAGAGGGCTTTCTTGGTAGTTCCACCTTCCTCAGAAGTTTGGGTTGTGGTGGTATGGGACAAGGCATTCTTATTTTTATTTTTTAATTTTATTTATAAGATTTTACAATATATAAAATAAAAATAAATTTAAATCACAGACAATCATTCTCTTATTTTGACTTCCCTCAGCCTCTTTCTGCGGCTCCTTGTTTATATTTTAATTTACTGCATATCCAAATTATACCAATTAGTTATTTACCCTCTATGTTACTTATATGTTGTTGTTTTTTTCTTACTGCACGTTGTTTGCTTTAACCCTGCTAATGTCTTAATTTGTTTTACAATTTTACAATAACTTTGTAAATATACTATAAATGAGTTCCATTCTTTCTTAAAAACTTGATCATCTTGATTTCTTATTCTTCCAGTGAGTTTTGTCCGTTTCTGCATAGTCCATTAATTTCTTGAACCAGTCTTCTTTTGTTGCGACATTTTCTTCTTTCGATCTTTGGGCATATAATATTCTAGCAGCAGTGGTCACAATACACAAATACATTCTCTTAGGGGCATTCTCTGTGGCAGCCCCTAAGTTGTGGAATTCCCTCCCCACAGAAGTGTTTCCAGCTACTTTACTACACAACTTTTTGAGAATGCTGGCCTTTGACAGGGTCCACCTGAGACTGTAATCTGTTTCATCTGTTTTTATTTCTGAATTTTAAACTGTTTTAACTCACCTTGGGATCTGCTGGTGAAGGGTGGTAATACATTTAATTATCATGATGATTCATTGAGGGGCCTTCTGAGCCAAGGAAGAACAAAGTTCACCCTGTCCAAGTGTAACTATTGGTTTGCCTGCATTGTGTATCAATATTAGCTACAAAGTAGCAGATTTCACCAACAGGTGAGTTGCTGCCATGCTCATTTTATCCTGTTACTTTGCTTCATGAAATTCTGGATGTTACTACACAGTTTCTCTATGAAGTTCTCTGCAAGATAACAGAACAAGGACAACTAATGAAGGTTGCTGACTTGCAAGGTGATGAACAACAGAAAGAAATGCAACCCATGAAAAACCTTTTGTGGTATCTAGGGCATAGATCAGAGGTCAGCAACCTTTTTCAGCCGTGGGCCGGTCCATCATCCCTCAGACCATGTGGTGGGCCAGACTATATATATATATTTTTTGGGGGGTGAATGAATTCCTATGCCCCACAAATAACCCAGAGATAAATTTTAAATAAAAGGGCACATTCTACTCATGTAAAAACACGCTGATTCCCGGACTGTCCATGGGCCGGATTTAGAAGGCAATTGGGCCTCATCCAGCCCATGGGCCTTAGGTTGCCTACCCCTGGCATAGATCATCAGAAACGAGGCCGCACAAACCCCACAGATCTATTCCACAGAAGTGTGGAAAGTTCACAAACATATTGGTCACTCGGTGGTGACCAAGGAAAGTGAAGAGATTAATTGCCTGGAGGGTCCTCAGAAAACTTTATATTTCAGAGATACAGATTAACTGCACAAGATCAAGAAAGTAGTGGCAGCAGAGTCAGTTAACTTGTGTGTGCATGAGGTCATGCTGAACTCACTTCAAGGCAAAGAATGAGAACACCCCTTCCTAACTCAATCAAGAGAAAACAAAGCTGAGCTGAGATCAGTCTATTTTATCAAGCTATTCTGATCTTTTAACTGGAAAACCAAATACCATTCAAAAATGTCATCAGGTTTTCCAAGCTAACACCCTTGCTTCCCCAATTCTGCTATTACTCCATTTATTGATTCCTCCCCCCCACCCCGCTATTTCAGCCAAGGCAACTTAAGTGGTCAACAAAATAATTCAACAAAACTCATATCATATCATAAAACAATCCGTCAAACACAACACAGAGCAAGAGCATTTACTTGCATCATCCTTGAGGTTCTCTGGAGGCTTTTTCAGCCCTGTATAGAGATATCAAGGATGGAACCTGGGACTTTTGGCCTGCAAAGTATATGCTCTGCTCCTGAGATTCAAAGGGGAAACATGGGACATTTTGCAAGCTAAAGAATCTCGCTTTCCTATGCAAAAATCACAATGCAGGGGAAATCGTGAAGCCAGCCAATGCCTCTACATAGCTCCATTCTTATTTCAGACATGATATTTTAGCTGATGATATATCAGAATATTAAAAACCAGATATCACCCAGCCCTAACACAGAGACTTCAGCGTGGATTAATTTCTCATAGACTGTTTACACTGAAAGCTTGACATGCAGCAAGAGTTGGGGAGGGGGCACCCACTACACATAGGACTGAAGTGCCAACCTGACCTCTGAACGATGAAGATTAGCAATAAATGGATACTGTATTGCCAAGTAAGTGTGTAGCTTCTGTTATGGACTGATCAATCTACAGACATTGTTTGATTCTCCCTTCAAGGTTATGCATAATAGGTTAACAAATTAACCGGAATAGCTCAAGGTTGAATGGAAAGTCACTTCCACATTTAGCTTTAAAATGTACCTATGATAAGGCAAAACAAGTACTATCACAAAAGTCAACACCCAGTACACAGTAATTATTAGGATGAGTCACCAAAGAGAACCATGGTAATATTTTATCACCCCACTGCAAACGAGTCAAATGCACTTAAAGACTCCCTGTATAAAACATCTGCCTTCAGTAAAAACAGCTATTTACTTTGAAATTGTATGCTTCCCCATCCAAAAAGCTAGAAAAGGAAGTTTTAAAGCTAGAAATGATACAAAATAGCCAGTAAACAAGTAAATTAAAATCATTTATAGCTTAAACCCTGGCTACTAAATGTAAACCTAAAGAGAGTTTTGATGAACTGCCAAAAATTTTTTTTTTAAATTCAGGGCCAAAGAGCAGGTAGAGAGCCGCCCTGGCATCTTTCTTGAAAGACTTTACAGGTTGTCCACTGTGATAATAGAAAATGAGCCATTATCTAAGCTTGTAGGTGCTAGTGATGCAATATGTCAAGGTACACAAGGACTCTCCAACATAGTTAAAGTTATGAAGTAGCTAGCACAATTATACAGAATCTGCAAAGGGGGTTCTAAACCTCTGGTATCAGCAACAAACCTTCTAGTTCAGATTATAATTAGGTACTGGACACCTTCTATGTTAAGATGGTAACTCATCCTGATCTTGACAACGAGATCAGCCACATCATCTATATAAATCTCATCTAACAATATTATAAATAATGAATGGCAGTCCTTTAACTATGGGCTCAATCCAGACAGCCTTTTTGTGCCACATTTCAAGGCACAGGTCTAGGCTTTAAACTTCTGTGTTTGAGCATTTTTGTGTGTTTTTTGTCCCGGTGGGAAAATCCACGTTTACTACTGAATTGGCATAAGCAGCAACTGAGTTTTTGGCAAATTACTGTTTGCTCCAGTTCAGTGGACCTGGATCTGTAAAGCGTGGTGCAAAAGGAAGCCTGGATGTGCCCCTACAGTAAACGGCAACAGTGAATATAGCAGGAGCACTGTTTGCCTCAGTCTTCAGAAATAAATCTCTCTCGGCGTGTGCTCGTATACTGCCTTGCTCAAAGCAAGCTTCTGATCACATAGCTATAAAAACCGAGGGCGAAAAGGTGTTTGAAGGTCACCAAGCTTGGTTTCAACAATTCAGCACTCTCCATTCTCAGACACCCTTATCAGATTATCCCATATCAATTAAGCCATTGTGCTATATGCAGAGAGCAACGTGAGCCAGGTACATTATGTCGGAATTGCCCATAGTTGCACACCGTAAGTGCATAGCACACCTATGTGGCTTAAGTAAGCTATTCTACACATTACGAAAATCAAGGTTCCCTTGATCCTAAAATATTAATACCAGGTTATGTGAAACTGCTAGCTTTAGGCATGGATTCGGAAACGGTCAACTTCTTGACAGCTGCAAGGACCTACAAAACAGGACTCCAACCACAGCTGATTAGTTTGATAAGATACGGACCATCATAACAATGATTCAACTGACATACTACAGAAGACAATGGGCAGTCAAGTACGTTTATGGAAAGACGGTCCCTTTTGTGATGTATTGGAACATACTGACAATAAAATGCCCAAGTCATAGAAGACCTTCACTTTATTGCAAAGATATAGATAATGACTCAGGCTTGTACAAAGTCCATGGGAATACTGAACTCGGTATCTTACGGTAATTTAAAAAACAAGGTTACCTGTCAATCTAACTAGAAAGGTGATGTCATCTCAATTCTCTAAATGGTTAATGTCTTACTTGTTGTTGTTTTTTAAAAGCAGTTTTGTCAAGTCAATCCCAAAGAAAAAGAAAAGAAAAAGAAAAAGCCTTATCTGTTTGACTCTTGAACTTCCTTTCTCATACAGCAAACAGCAGCAGTTGGGCAACCCACTCAAAATCCTTTGATTAATATGGTCAAGAATAATATCTCAAGGGATGATGGCCCAGAATTCTTTCAACTGATACGTGTATATGCATTTGGGGGCGAAAAGGCAGAGAGAAGATGTCATTGACCACAAAAACAAACAAACTCTTATTTCTCTCATGTGAGAACTCCTCGTATTTGCACAGTCTCTATCTCATCTCAGACCAACACCTTCTCTAGACTTGCCATGGGAGGTGTTGTAAACTCAGCCAAAAGTAAACAGGGAGCTAGAAGATATTATGCTGAAGATAAGCAGCTATATAATTGTGAAGAGCTGTTGTCATCCAGGAACTCAAAATAGCTTCCCTCTTATGAAACATTTGGGGACAATGCTTGAGAAGCCCAGTGATATAAACCTACCTGAGATACAGCACAGCGATGGAAGCTGTGATTGAAAAAATGTATCTAATTCAAATATTTAGCAGGATAAGTGGTTGCACCACCTGAGATATGCATGTGGGTAGGATTGCATGTCTGAACGTTCTCCCCCTGCCTCACACCTCTCTGCCTATGCAAACTAGCACATGAGAGATGAGGCTTCTTTCTGAAGTTACATGCACACCATACATTTAAATCATCTGGCTTCCCCCAAAGTATCCTGGGAACTGTAGTCTATTAAGGGTGCTGGGAAATATAGCTCTGTTGGGGCAAAACTACAGTTCCCATGATTCTTAGAGTCTTTGCTCTGATGTGCTAACTTTGCATAATTAGAGAAATATCAGGAGGTGGGGATTCAGAAGAGTTATTGTATGAGAGATTTCAGCAGCCCAGTAATGTGCAAGCCACCAACAGAAGCAAGTTGTTCCTATATTGCACAACCTGGCAATGTCCTACAAAGGATTTTCCAGACAATTATTCTGAGAATAAAATAAGGAAAAGGGAGGGAGGAACTGTTCTGCAACAACCTCCAATTAGGGTTCTATCAGATGTCACATCCACACAGTACATTTAAAGCACTCTTATACCACTTTAGCAAACACGCCCCCCCCCCAAGGAGTCCTGGGAACTGTGGCTTGTTAAGTGTGCTGGGAATTGTAGCACTATGAGGGCTCTCCTAGTAACTCTCAGCACCCTTAAACTAGAATTTCCCAAGATTCTTTGGGGAAAGCAATAAGTGCTAAAGTGGTATAAGGCGGCTTTAAATTTATGGGGTGGATGTGACCAGAGTTTTCAAATGCAGAGGATGAGTGCCTATTCCAGCTGAAAGCGTGGAACAGAAGAGAGGAAATATCCACAATATACACTCAATACATACTTTCCATGAACCACTAATATTTCCCCTCCCCTTCGTCTTATTTTAAGCCTGTTTGAAACCCACACTGGTCTAGAGATAAGTTAAAAGTAACCTCAGAGAGAACATTTTGAAAAAGTCCACTAGTGGGAAGCTCTGCACCTTTTCACTTAGCTAATGCATTTTTCGGCAAGTTTTTAGTCAGCGATACTGAGTCATATGCAAAGAGTCCAAAAGTGGGGGGTGGGGGTGGAGTGGGGGTAGAAGAAACTCCTCATACCAAAACTCCTACTTACTGAATGAATCTTTTCAATTTGCTTTAGTATTAACTTGATAAGATAGCCGAAGCAGAAATGCTGGCCAGGGCACTGAATAATGTTTCCTCGGACAGACAGCAATCTCATATAAATCAAGTTAGAAAACTGAGCTGCTTCTGTCGATAAGAATTTTTCAAGCAAATACGCAGGCTCCCAGAAAATATTTGTTACAAATTGGTCCTTGTGCAAACAGAACCAGACATACATATAATTTTCGCTCCCCTTTCCCAAGGCTTAAATGACAAACACCACAAAGCTCTTGATCCTCCCATAAGGTTCAGCCTTTGGATTTTTTAAATGTATTGTGAATTAAGCTTCAAGTGTTATCTAAAGAAACCATAAATATGAGTTTGGGGTTACTCAAAAATTGAAGGGAAAGCAATTTACTTTTTTCTAGACTCTTTTTAAACAGGAATATGATCAAGCATTACTCTCAAAAACATTTGAAAATGTCTTGCATTTAGAAACCATGTTGAAGTAATCATGACATCCATGAAATGAAATATACAGTATAGTTCAACCTGTTAACGTTTTAAAAACTAATAACCTAGCCAAAGCAGAGTTAAGAGACTGAAGTCGGGAGCCAGAGTCAGGAAATGTCAAGAATTCAAAGTGTGCATAATGCTGGCTCGTGCACAAAGAGATCAAGACAGTAGGCAGGAAGGGAAGTGGAGCTTGTGATGGCCCAGACAGGAAAATGAAGCAGAATATTAGTATTGAGAAGCATACCCACCAAGGAAGAACTGACTGGATAGCTTCCTGTAGATACCCTGGCAAAAAGGAGGAAACCATATGCACCTCAATACGCAACAAATGTTTGCTGAGAAATCATCAGTGGCATGATACAGAAGTCACTGGTAAAACAGATCTGGACTCCACAATGCTGGCGGCTTTTAGTTCATATAAAGACTCTTGAAGACAGCAAAAAGTATTCAGGCTCATCCTCAAGTTACTCCTAGAGATGGGATGGTGTTGCAACATGACAGACTTCGTTTTTGTTAAACTGCTAACAAACTGCAACTAACTACTGCAGAGGATTCTCCAGCTTGGGAATGCTCTCCCTAGTGAGATGCGCCCGCCTCCATCATTATTAACCTTCAGGAGGAATCTGAGGACATTCCTGTTTATCCAGGCATTCGGTGACTGAAGAAAACTGTTCCTGGCAACCCTGGGATCACTGGATGGAAGAGTGGTTTTAACCTCAACTGCTTTTAGAATGTTCTAATAGTCTTTCAACTCTTTTAAATAGATTTGCTATGTTTATGCTTTGTGTTTGTTTCTAAATTGTGGATTTGTTTGCCACCCTGGGCTCCTTTGGAAGGGTGGGATATAAATTCAATCAATAATAATAATTTGACAGTAACTGCAGAGGCCATTTTCACAGCTCATGTTGCTGTGCAGAGAGGTCAAATAAGGCCACAGTCACCATCCCTGCTGGCCTCAAAAACTATGATCACAAGGGACGTCAGACACTGGCCTCGAGATATCATTAACTTTTGTTTTCAGTTGCTGCAGCTTGTAGGTTTCTAAGAAAAGCTATAATTAGGTGGCTTATTAATGAAACAGCTTTAATATTGGTAACTCGGGGACAATTATTTAGAGTGGACAATGCAGAACATGCTGTGCATTACTTTCAACTATTTAATTGCATGCAGAAAAATACTGCTGAGCAATTCCACGGTTCACAAAAATGCAACAGTGGAGAATGGTGAAGCTTTGTCCATTTTTTTGTTTTGTTTTGTTTTTTTTAAGGATAATAGTCAAGACACTTGAAAACTGTTGTACCTTTACATGTTAACCACCAAAACATGCTGTAGCAACATGCTGATACATATGTATCGTAAGACAGAAACCAGTATAAGCACAGACAGTCTGGGCTCTTGCAAATAATCCAGTGGAAGCAGAACACTGCTGTTAATGTTCTTGGAATGTCCTATGGTGGGGGTTTTTATTGTTAATGTTCTGTTGGAACTCCTGGCAAAATGAAACTTCATGAAATGCAAAAGCTCGCTCTCTTTTTCCCCTATTGCAGCAGTGGTGAATCTCTTGCCCACTGGCCAAATAAGGCCTGGCACAAATCCCAGTCCTGCCTGTTCCACACCCACCTGAATGACCTTGTGTCTCACAGAGAATTGTGAAAGTCATTATTTTCTTGTTCATGTGGCCTCCAGAGCATCTGAAGTTAAATTATCCTCTATGTCAAAGAAACAAAGCAAATGAATTGCCCTTCCTCAGGTTTAAAACATGTGAACAGGCATCAGTTTGAGGAACCTCACTAAAATTCAAAACACACATATATTCCAAAGGTCATCATTTTTACCCCAATTCCCTACTTTGTGGTTTATCTTTCCTGAATTACGGGAGTTGAATATAACAAACAAACAAACAAAAAATCCATCAGAGATTTTGAAAATGTGCCGTTTAAATCTTTACAGGAGATAAGAATTTGCCAGCACATGCTGGCTCCTTGCTGCCAATTGTACTGTCAAGAATTCCTAGACAGAAACTCAGATGCGTGATTAATACTTGGCATACTGTGGTTCCGTTTCTGCAACAGATTTTATCCACACTGCTATTTCCAATACGACAAAACAATAATCTGCCTAGGCTAGGATATTATCTTGCCCATGTGTATCAGCATGCAAAATTATTAACATTAGTCAGCTGCCAAGGTGCTGTCAATAGATTTCAAACAAAACCTCGGTTACTGATAACTGAGAAGTTCCTGATCTAACTTTACTGAACAGGGCACCAACAAACACCAGATTCTGAATTTAAAGACTGCTTTGTACACGTCTCCATGCTCTCACAGGAGAGCAGCTTAAGAAGATCAGAAGTAGCATAAAAGCTTCCCTGCATCACAGCTCATCCTCCAAGACTTCTCTTCCCTTGCAAACAGGAGGGCACTGTTACAGGTTGAACTCTCAGTTCATGGGGGGGGGGGTAGTGATGAGGCAAGTGTCCTACATGAACTTAGCCCCTGTCTCAGAACCTTCTGCAACCTGCTGATCTTCAGCAAGGGGCTCAATGGGGTCCCTGAATGCAGAACATTTGGAACACCACCATGATAAAATGTATACAAGGTGATAGTCTCATATATACTGGACTCAATCCACTGAGCTTCTAATAAGGTGAGTTTCCTGCTATGAATAGAAAATAGAATAGAAAAACTATTCCAAAATGATGAGGGTAACATGCAGGGATGGAGCAGAATTTCTTTTTAATCAAACGGATGTAATTCCACACATCTTAAACCAATATATGGATCAGAACACTTCTGACTTTTGCAATGAATTTCAAGCTAAAAGAGTACCAGAATGCTTACATTATTTGGGACTTCAGATTGGGCTTCTGTAATACTTGTGTTTGGAATTTCTGGTTTTACTGGACTGAGTGCTGCTTTAGTGCTCGATCTGGCTACACTACAGCTATTTATTACTTTGATTGTTATCACCTGGCTTTTTTTGTTTTCTTTTAAATTAAGATTTTTAAAAAAAATACAACATTGATAGGGAAGCTTTTAATGTTTAATAGACTATTGTATTTTAATATTCTGTTGGAAGCCACCCAGAGTGGTTGCGGAAACCCAGCCAGATGGGCGGGGTATAATAAATTATTATTATTATTAAATTTGCTTGTAATAAATATGTCATTGTCTGTTGCCTTGTAAAATCCTCCCCCTCCAAGGGTAGGATATAAAGCAATTCAATACTATTAAATAAAGTAGTTAACTTTAATCAATTACATTCTTTCAGGGGAAGAGCTCGAGCTCCTGACCTAGCTCCTGCCTTTAACTTCCCTTCCTTCTGTCAGAGGGGGTTGGAGATATCCCACACAGGACTTCAAAATGCATTTATGCTCAAGACTCCTTCCTGTTATCTACTTCCTGTGCCTCAGATCCATAGCCAGCCTTCTCTTCTTCTAAATGTTCCTTAATAGCCTGCTGTCATGGCTCATCTTATGCTGGTTCTTAAAGGCTGCGTAATCCACATCTATTTACTGCATCTTTATTTATCAGAGAGACAAGTACCCTGCCCTAAGGAAACTGCACTCTGCTTTTGTGAAGCTCTCTGTACATTCTGGGTTAAAATATACAAAGCCTTTGGAAGCGTACCAACTATCCAAACCCTCACTTGAAGTCAAGTGTGTGGCAGCATGAGCTATTTCTAATTCTTGATTCTATCTGCACAGTCAGCCTTTTCCCTCTTCATGATACACTACTGCTTTTCTCTTCGATATTTACAGAAACAAGTGCCTTAGAAATTCTCTTTATGGCTGTAAAGGCCTTTGAGCTGAAGTTATGCCACTATCTAGAGTGCAGTTAGAGTTTAGTAAAAGATTCCTTTGCAAACCAGACTCTCCATCTATGAATTTATAATTGAAGGACTGAAACCCCTTGGCTGATTGCTGCATAGTGTATGTTTGTCACTCTTAATTGCACACAAATAGGTGATAGAAACTGCAAAGGAAAGAAGAATTCAGTCACCTTGGCTGTTGAATCCTGGAAGACCTGCTCCCTGCCTTGCAGGCCTATTTGTGCCAGGCCTGGGAGGGGCACTGACTGACTGCAATGGCTGAGGCTGGGTGAACAGTCTTGGGCTGGGTGTGTGTGATTTGGGGGGAGGGAGCTGTTGCTCTATTTTTGTTTTTTACCATCTTTATTTTAGATCTTGTGATAAATGTGGAAATTTTCAATTTGGTTGTGTATTTTTTAATGTTTTATTTATTGTTTATGGCTACTTTTGTTATTATGTAGTTACGCATTTGTTCCCTGTTGTAAGCCACCTTGAGCATGGTTTGAAATGTAGAAAGGCAGCATACAAATAAAATTATGTATATATAATAGCAGGAATGGGTGGGTGGATAAAATATACTACTACTTTTAAAAAAACACAAAAAACCCCTCTTTTTGCACCTTCTTAGGCCTACATGTTTTCATAATAAGTTTCCCAGAAATCCAGGTAACTATTGTGGAAACTTCAAACCACTTGCTGTTCTTCTTGTATCAAAGAAGTGAATTCCTGCATTGTTCGGAGCACCAGGCTTGCTTCTGACATTACTTTCAATGACATGCTCTTGCATAAATGTAACATTAAAAGTGTATTACACTTGAATGATCATTGTAGTACCTAGGAAAAGTTTCTGACGATTTACCTAACTTCCATACTGCCTAGGGAAGGGAAGAATCTGCATGCAGTATTCCATCCATCTCTAAGAATTATACCGAATGCATCTCCCAGCATTCTGAATTTCAAAGCTCTTAATTTCAGTACTAGGTTTCAAAGAATGTATGTGACAGACGAGTGACAGGTTCAATTATCAATGCTGCGGCACCGACTATTTTATTTGTAACGTATGATCAATCAGAAGAAATCAACACTACGGAGTTGTCCCATGACATCCAAACCAGAAAAACATCGTTCAGGTGCTTCCTACAAACTAGGATTTCTGAAATGCAGATCAAACTGTGGCTTGTGGGGCATGCTTGAACCACAGTTACCCAGTTTGGACATTATAGGAAACAAATTTAACAAACCAGGAAGTCTCTTCTCTAGTCAGCCTTGTTTTAAGAAGGAAGGGGAGGGCAAGAGGACTACTGATACCCTGTGCCCAACAGCCCCCAGAAATTTGAAACTAGCCCTGGGCATATGCTTACCAGATCTAACATCAAAAATGGATAATATATACGTCCCCCACACACATGCTGTTTGCAACACACACATATTACATGATGTCAAAGTATTAAGGAATTACATTGCTAGGCTTTTAGGACTTGACAAGAGATGTACATTTTAAAGTGATTGTTTGCACATTAAGTAACACTTCCATTAAATTGCCAGGGCTACGAAAAACACCCCACAACAAATAGACATTTTCTCACTTTCCCTCAGAGACAAAGGCAGATTCTTGAAGCATTACAACACACCTCATTCTGTATATTTTTAACTTCGGAGTTCATCACAATAACCAAACTAAGTTAAACAAATCTTTAATCCTCAGCAAGTAAATGCCCTGCATTCCAGATCCAGAAGTTACCATGACCCATTTCCTGAAATACTAATTCTCCTATTACACACCAATACTAATCCACTTACTACGAACAGACTGTTATTTTCAAGGCAAACATTCACTTTGAGCCATTGTTACCAAAAGCTTCTCCCACAACTCCATAGTATTTATTTACTGATAAATCAGGGTCTTGTGGAAGAACTCCTTGACACAATAAAATGGCAGGCAGAAAATCAGTCTAATGACATCCCATCACCACCCTTTTGAACTGCAAGTGTTCATTTAATCACCAATAAGGAGAATGCAACAGCACTGATTGGGATCAAAGTGCTCATGTGTCTTTGAAAGTTGCATGGCAGGGATACATTCTAAGCCCAGAATACTGGGGAAATGAATAGCTGCATCCGTCAAAGCAGCTGCTAAAAGTCTAGAAGCTCCCTCTGCACCACAAACTGGCAATCCTATTAAGGGCTACCCTTTAAATACAGGTAGTTATAAACAACCTCATGCTATGCAGCCAAGCTGGTGCTGAATGTATTGCTCTGCTTTCTTTGGACCACATCAGCGAGGCTAAGAGGGGGGTCTTGTTGTCTAGGAATCCCAGGACCTCCATACACACTGCCCAGGCTTGCACCCCAAAGAGGTCACTTCAGTGGTGTTAATGCAGCAAAAGCAACACAGGAGGCAGCAGGTACGAGTTACCAGTGTCTGCAGCCACAGCAGGTGCTGTGATTCTCCAGTGCTTTGACCTCACCCCCCAAAGGCACACTCTATTATCTCTGAAAACAGACGGTTGCCTACCTCATCCTATGCCTCATGTTAGCTGCTGCAGCACAAGCTGTAGAGGTGAGTGAGGCAGAATTAAGCACTCTGAACCCCTCTGAAATATATATATATTGCCAGCAGCAATATTTGCTTTTGCTGGTGTGCTTCTGCAACAATCCTGTTGAGTTTGGCCTGCTCCAACTGCTTTATGATGTTGCAAACAGAGCTGTTGAATGGCTCCTAGATGTTGCTTCTTTCTCTAACAGTAGCTGCAGTGTAAGATGAAGAACTTTTTTGTGGGTACAGCACAAGACTGCAACACACCAAGACACGATCAAAAAGGCATAGGAAAATCAGGGAGTTGATTTGTACACTGTCACAGTAAGCAGCAAGACTAATTATAAAACTGCTATGAGTAGTTAACAGCTCTTTCCATAATAGCATCGTAAAGCCACCTGCTATTCATATAGCCACATTACAACCACATAACATTTTACTTTCAGGGTTGACTTTCTTCTATAAACCTGCTAGCGGGAAGTGTCCAGCACTGTCCGGGAATTCAAAGGACAAGAAAATAGAGTTTTTTTAATTTGTTGAGTTGTAGGACACACACAACAACCCAAGGCTCCACGTAGGGAACCTTGTGCCAAGTTTGTTAAAGTACATCGAGAGGCATCCAAATTGGTGCAGGTTGGAACTGTCACACCAAATTTGGCAAAGAGTCACCAAAACCGGTGGTATCTTCAGAAGTGTCCAAATTGGCATAGCTTGGACCTGTTACGTAAAAAAATTGGCAAAGTCACATCAAAGTGACATTTCGGTATTGACAAAGACTACCACCTCTGCACCGAGAACCCTCATGCAAAGTTTGGCAACAGTATCTTGAGAGGTGACCAAACCCATAGAGAACAGGCAGATAGACAAACTACTTTCCAAAATACATAGTAGATACACTGTGCCTGTATATTATAACCACTAAACCATTTAGTTCCAGAGAGACTTTAAAGTGCTATACTTCAAATTCTTCAGGTCAGAGTTTACCAATGCTTTCAAAACCATGAATTCAAAACAGCTCCTTGACATTCCTAAGTTTTTATTGTGAAAGATCACTGCAAGGGAGTAATATATCCTTGAAAACAGAAGGGCACACCTTTATGGGAACTGCTCCCAGTTGGGCATTTAAACACCAAACCAGGAATTTGTGAATTGAGCACCATTTGATTGTTATATAAAGTCACATAGAAATGTTCTAATCAATGGTAATGGAATAAAACCTGATATTGCTGCACTGCTTAAAATAATTCAATAATGAAGCTATAAAGCAAGACAGCCCATTCATTTACTCTGAAGAGAGCGTTTCCTTCTTTCTAAGAAACCTTTCATTGCAAATTTATTACATACATGTATAAATAAATGTATGAGTGTATTATGAATATTCTAAGCTACTGAATCAGTACATGTTCCGTTTATTACCCAATTCATACAACCAACATAACAGCCGAACAGTCAAAATGATTTTCATATAAATTACCACAATGGGTGAATATAAATTACCATTCCACCTGCCAGACATCTACACCCAAATCTCTGATGAAATCCTTATCATCACCTGGCAGAAGGATACAGAACATCAACCATAGGATGAGTGATAAAATGCAACTACTAAATTATAACTGCTACTAATATCTAAGGACCAATTTGAAGGCTTAAGGCTTGTGATTATGCCCTGCCACATGCTAAGCTGCAGGTCAAATTCCAAGGACCCGGAAGCATCAAGCAACTCATGCACAACATGCTAGCCAGCCAGTTTCTATGCTACTTCCATCTGCCAATAGGCAGGGAAGGGGGAAGAAACTCACACACATCTCATGCTTCCTATGTTCAGTGGCACACAGGAATGTTCCAAGTACGAACCTTGCCGCATACAAGATACATGACCTCTGAACATTTAATTCATCCCTGAAGTTATCCCACACTGAAATATAACCAAATTGTTTCCTCAACATGGAATTATTTCATCCTCAACCATAATCCTTCTGTGATAACAAACAAATCCTAAAATAGGCATCACACCAGACAGCAAGTTTCCAGAATACTCAGTTGTGGCTAGGGCCCAAATTCTGACTTTAGGCACTCCCAACATAAAATGTTTGCCTTTTCTTTTAAGCAGCAGACTCTGCGTGTCATATTACAAGTTCCTTTTGAAATTGTGCTCATTCCCAAAATTTCCTTTCAAATAAGGTTTGCCCTTCGAAAGCACTCCTTTGGGCAGGAACAGACAGAAACACTGGAAACTGACTTATAGAGTGTCATATTGTTGGTCTATCTAGCTCAGTACTGCTTCTCTATGCTGACTGGCAAGAGCTCTCTAGGGATTCAGACATGCCAATTCCCAGCATTCTTGGAGGTGCCAGGGACTGAGCCTGGCACATTCTGCATGCAAAACAGGTGCCCTGCCAGAGTTATGGCTCCTCTTTGGATCCAGCCCAGTGCCTCCTTAATACTACAGTAATCAACCACCAGTGCTCAGAAGCAGCAATGCTGTTTCAAGCCTGGTGACAAAACGTCATAGAGCTTCTATGCCAACACAAATATTCCCACAAAACAATCACTTCAACAGGAGAATCCTACTCTCTGAACCATTGCCAACGGAGTTGTTTTTGCCAACATGCTTTTGACCCCAACCAAGCAGCACTCTGCCACAGGATGCTACATATGGTTGGAAGATTCACAAACAAGACTCTTGTGCCACATCCTATGCTAGAATCAAGAATTTGTGCATACCCTGCCTCCTATACACACACACACCTGCATAAGGGGACACCCCTTTTTTTTCTCCAACTATTCATCTGTGGGGGAAAGAAAGAGAAGGAGTGAGGTAGCCAACGTGATGCTCTCCAACAAGATCTGGAGGATGCTGCATTGGAGAAAGGGATGGGGTGCCAAAGAAGCCTACATCACATTACTGGCGCCAACCCCATTCAGCAGCAGCAGCAGAATAATATCCTCTCCCCTCTCTCACCTTGCAAAAGGACGAAAATAAGGTAGCTCCTGCTGCATGACAGCCACTTTAAAAAAAGCTATTTCCTTACATTGAAAAACGTAAATTACAGTAACAGACAGCTTTGTTTTATTTTTAATGACACATCTTAATTAAATTATTATACAGCTTAAAAATAGTATTTGTGCGCATCCAGGAAAGACTCCTAGATTAAAAGAAAGGCGGAGGCAAGAAAAAAGAAAACCAGATGAATTTTCAGGGCACTCATAACATTCCCCATGTTGTTGGCTGAGGGGCAGGGGCACACAGGTGTCTCCCCAAGCAGTAAGGTGCAGAAGTGCTGTGGCGTGTGTGTGTTTTCCACCACTGTGGAGGTTCAAGCTTCACCCTGGTGGGTAGGAAGCTGTTTCTGACCATAGACTGGGGAGAGCCCCCAAATGGAACATTTCAGGGCATGGCACTAGAGGATTTGAATCCAGTGGAGCTGGTGGAGGAAAAAGGCACAGGGAAGCTTCCTCACCTTCTGGCTTGCCTGGCACCAGTAACACACACACACACACATTAAGGCAATGGGCTGAAAATGCCAATGCCATCCATTTTAGGGCACTGGCATGCAAATGGTTCCACACTCCTTCCCAGATTTCAACTGCCATCGTTTTGTGATTTTCATCAAGCAACACTTTTTCCAGGGTCTCATGAGCGCAGACATGGGGATGGGGGCAATTAACCCAACTTTCAGCTCATCCTGCAGTGCCAATTCAGCTTACCAGAAGGGCGAGTTTGTCTTCCATGTGATTACGGTAAGCCTGACCTCTTACCTATTAGAACAGGCCAAGATTGTTTTGGCACCCAAACCTCCAAGTTGTTGGGCTTTACATGACCATCCCTCCCACTTCAGGCATTCAGTGGGAGAGAAGGAATGGCTGACATTCACTATAAGAACACCTCAGTGGGCATGCATGATCCTCACATTATTATAGCCCATCTAATGCTCTAAATTGCAAGAAACACACAATGTGGTCAGTGACAAAACACTGCTGTTGGAAGGCTGGCAACTACATACTGTGGTTAGTACCTGAGCATTTACTCCCCACTGCTCCCCCGCTGCTGCTGCTGCTGCTGCTGCTGCTGCTGCCGCCACCACAAAGTCACTTGCCTGGGAAGGCCCATATTTTGAATCCTATTTATTACTTCAAGGACTACATAGCATTGGGCTCCTCTTGCAAAACATTTTAGGGAGTAGCCCCAGCTCTTCTGTCTGCCTGCAGTTACCAGGTAGAGGACTTCTAGCATTCAGCCACATAGGTTTTCGTTTTTATCCTGCTAGTCTACATTTACAGGAAATTTAAGGCACATGTGCCAAAACAGACAGAAGAGAAGCCAGAGGCTGGGCTAGGAAACAGCACGTTATACCCGTTGCTCAGTAGAACAGAGCACAAGTTCATTGGTGGCAGTGTCTCCTCTAAATGGACTGAAGTTATTGGCGCTGACTTCAACATGGCTGTGGGACAGGAAGGATAGCTGCCTACCTAAGTCATGCTTCCTTTCTTTTTCTTGGAAAGGAAACTGGTGGTAGAGAGGGGTAGTGGTGGTGGAGAGACAACATTCTTTTGCTGTGCTGATTAAGGGGAAAAAACACACAATAGAGCTACCTTGACATAAAGGAAGGACTGCTTACAAACACTGTGGAAACAGGAGGTCACAAGAAATCACACCGTTCAGAGAGAACAGCCGCACATGACTAAATGTCACCCTCAGCTGCCAAAATATATAGTTTAACACACAGCTTCTCATAGTACAGAACTGCGAAGTTTTCAACACAGGATGCATTACAAGGTGGAAAAATTCCCAGTAGCCTTTTCCTCTTCCATTCCTTTGGGGTGAAGAAGGGCCAGACCTTCCATTTTTCCTTCCTACAGTGCAAACACAAGCTGCAAGAGCATAAACACTAGATCCTATATGAAGTCCATAGTCCTAATTACAGAGTGGCAGGCAGCAGGCATGGAGCCTTCTGGTGAAATATCATGCTGCCATGCTTCATGGATGCTACAATGGAGGGAATAAGGACAAAAAAATAAATAAATCTGTTTGTTTTATTATAGTATCAATCTGTCTCCAATGTAGCACTGTCCCATCTTCCCAATGTGACTCCCTCTCCAAATCTGTTCTGGAGGATTTGGGGGGGGAGGGCAAAACACATTTAGGGAGCACATAGAGGGAAGAGGGTGGAGAGTCCCATTGCACACGCAGAAATCCTTGTTCTGACAGCAAGACAGATACTTAGTGCTACACTGAATGCAAGCCTTTGTTTGCAGTAATGAATTTTAATTGTTTTTAAACTGTGTTGATGGCTAGTTTAGTATTGCAAGCTGCTTTGTGGGGGCTTTTTGCTGCTTTGAAAAGCAAAGTACACATTCCGCAATAAATATATTAAATATATTCCACTATGAATCTCCTTTTCCATCCACTGTAATGCCAGGTCTGCATATATCCTGCCACAGACCATATGGAGAAGTACTAAATTTGTCACCTTTCAAAAATGATTATCTTTAGCCAAGAAGGGAACAAACAAAAATTAATGCATTTTTATCTCTGAACTGTGTTGGCAGAGGATGAAGAGAGTTATAGTCCAAAACATCTGGAGCACAAACATCAGGTTGATATAGGCTGACTTTAGATTTTCCACTACTTAGTTACTGCTCACAGGCTGTTTGTCATTTTGCTGATTACAATTTGTGATTTATGTTATTGGAATCATTTTTATTTATTATGGCTTGAATCTTAACTAGGCTTCTGCAAACATAAGGGCTCCTTCCTCCCATTCATGGATGGAGCTGAGGTCACATCTACACCTCACGTTTAAAGCATTCTTATACCCAAGAGTCGTTATGAGACCCTCTCACAATAATTCCCAGTACCCTTAATGCAGTGGAGTCAACTGCTGTAGAGATATGATGCTAACACACTGTAAACACATAAAATGTGGACCACATGTTCTGGTATTTAAAAACTCACATTCCAGCAACTGGGAACTCTGATTGGAACAGTATAATGCTAGACATTAGTGAAGCATCATTATGCTGGTGCATTCAGTATCCAATACATTTTGAAAGGTGAGCAGGCACCAAATTTCAAGGTGGCTTTCTCCTTCTTCAGCTTGTGTGTAAGATCAAGACAGCAAAGAAAGGCCATGTTACAGCCCCCTCCGTCTTCGGTTCAAATTTTCGGCACCACTCACCCACACCCGCTACAGTCACTTACAACGGGAGATATTACCTAGCAGCCTCCACTTACAGATATGAACACGTATCAACTGCTGAGATAGGGATGTTTCTGATCTTGGTGGCCCAATTGATGGAGTTGTCACTAAAATTCTTAGTCCACCACAGTTGACAGAAAGCTACTTTAAAATCAAGTGGAAATGCTATTCAGAGGATGACAAGGGTGCATTTGACAATGGGGAGGGCTGGAGAGATCTGAAGAGTCATTGACAGGCTGCTGCCTCTAACTGAAGCGAGTGGGTTGGGAAAGAGAGAGAGTGAGAGCCTAATATTAGGTATATAGATTTGTTAAGCTGAGCATCAGACAGCTGCAAAAAGCGATTCCGTTGAGTGTGTGCAATACTCCACTCCTAAGAAACAATTGTCAAGAGCTGATGAGTCAAGTTTGCTTGCTTTGAGCCTCACACGAACCCAATGAGCTTACAGCAGCCTTCCTCAACCTGGTGCCCTCCAGATGTTTTGGCTACAACTCCCATTATCCCCAATTATTGGCTGTGCTGGCTCTAGCTGATAGCAGTTGTAATCCAAACCATCTTGAAGGCTGGTTCACGGTTTAGCTTTCATGTGATCTGCTTTTGTCTGACCTATTACTTTCAACAAACTGCACTACAAGCATTGCATGTTTTAAACTAATACAGATCTGTCTTGATCAAGTAAGAGTTATCCAAATACAGAAAACAGGCTACTCAAGTAGCTCAAAATCCCCAAGCACTGAAGCCAAGCCTATGCCCATATAGAGGCAAAAGCAAGGCTCTTAACTACTGCATATCATTAACTATCTGCCTAGAGCATTTGCCTGTGTGTGTTTTATATATTTCTACTTCACATCAGCAGGTAACTTTTGTCCTTGTCTCCAATTAAGAGTTCTCCAGAACTCGAAAGCTTGCACACAATTTTGTGCCATTTTGGGTGGCATAGGAAAGGTATTGTCCTATATACAGATCTGGTTTTTTCTTCTTATGGGCCAACACAGCTTTCTTTGCTTTTTGTAATCTTTGCTTTGGAAAACTTTGGGGCTGAGATGTCTCAAATGTGGCCCAGCTTTCTAGAGCAGACCTTAAGTACCTAAGTAACTATATTTAATGACACACAGTCCTTGGCATGGGAGGGGGAGAGCATTGCTGGATGACTAAGAGGAAATGGAGAGCTCCTTCCGGGTTGCTGATTTAAACTCCTGGAGCTACTGATAGAAGAATCGCTATGCTAAAAGGTGAATCTTGTCAGGGGAAACTGAGGCTAATTTCAGAGCAGCAAACAGGACAAGAGGAAAGGTCTGCCATGCACTTGACAACCATGGAGTCTTCAGCAAGACATGTCTAACATGCAACTATAATAATATTTATTTATTTATTTATACATACATACATACATACATACCACGCCCATCTGGCTGGGTTTCCCCAGCCACTCTGGGCGGCTTCCAACAAAATATTAAAATACAATAGTCTGTTAAACACTAAAAGCTTCCCTAAACAGGGAATGCATGGGGTCCCATCCCCCCCCAATCAATATATATTGATGCGTAGGGACTCTGTTAAACCCTTAAGAAAGTGAGGACAACTTATTGGCTTCTGTGTTCTTAACTGTGTTCTTATTGTTAAACCACAAAATGAAGCACTGGTTTCAATTTAAGAAGCATGCTGTTGCTCTGGTCATCCCACAGTGCTTGCCTCCAGCCCTTCATCTTGGGCTTAAAGAATGGGACAAAATCAATTGACGGAACTTTTGCATGTTTAAAAGGGCAATGTGTGTCTTCAGGGAAGACATAGCAAGTTGACAATCAGATTGTCAGAAGAAGCTGAGCAAACAGCCTGAGGAGAAGGCAGGCAACTGAAGTGGAGCTGTGTCTCTGCTACAAGAAGAAATCCGGAAATCATGAGCCCACAGCAGTTTCAAAAGCTCCAGATTATAATCCTGGACTGTGCTCTCAAGCATGTTCCAGATGGCTGACCCCACTACTTGGAGGGTAAGAACACCCAGGCTGATGAATTACCACCTGAATTGCTGCAGCTACTCAGTTGCAAGGCATATAGCAGACTCTGGGACACACAGGGGTGGGGCAGAATGGTTTTGCACTATTCCAGTGTGGTTTCAAACAATTTTACTTACTGTGCTGAAGTAAATATATTATTCATGCTCATTCCAGCTCTTGAATATAGCACTAAGCCTGGAAGCTATGGCCCTCCAGAGGCCATTGGACTCTAAATTCCATCATTCCTGATCATTGGCTATGCAGCCTGGGACTGACTGGAGTTTGAGTCCAGCAACATCTAGAGCACCACACCCCATCCCTGAGCTATATCATTTTGTTAAGGCAAATCTGGTTCCCGCTCCTCCCCACAAAATAAGCTGCCCACTACTCTCAGCAAAAGAAGGTCTGTTTCCCCAGAGGGGAAAGTCCTATAATCATATCCTGCTCCACAGACCCCAATATTCATGATACATAACAAAGCAGAGCAACCTCTTGAATAAAGAACCTCTTTCACAACTTTATTCTATACATCCCTGAGATTGGGGAAGGGCTGTAGCTCAGTGCCAAAGCATCTGCTTTGCATGCAGAAGGTCCCAGGTTCAATTCTTGACATCTCCAGGTAGAGCTGGGAGAAAACCCAGCCTGATTCAGCATCCTCTGTTCCTGTTTCATGAAAACACAAGTCATGGAAAAGCAACTGAATGCCCAAGACCATGTGGTCCAAAAATTCCTCCACATTACAGAGTCAATTTTATACTTGGATCAAGAGGGGGGCCCAACAAAGCTTTGAAAAAGGCAATTATCCTTATCCTGTCCTAAGTACACATTAAGAGCCCTATTGAATCAAACCAGAAGTGTATCTAGTCAAGTATTGTGTTCTCACTGTAGCTAACCAGCCAAGGCTGGCTCAAGACATTGGGCTGCCCGAGTCCAAGAACAAGATGCCCTTTCCCATTCCACATACAGAAGGTGGCCTGACTAGTAGTTGAATCATATTTCAACACTGGCGATGGGAGACTGTTCTCCACAACAACAACTTGGGGCAGAAAGCATGCTTAAGGGAGTGCTGGGCAGGCCACATGGAATATACAGCTCTGTCCTCCAGAATATTGCTCCCACTTCCTGCTCCCAACATCTGCTGTCTATGGCAGCTGCCTCAAAACGGTGGAGGTAGTCCTGCAACCGGATGCTTAGGGGAAACCTACAAGGAGGACATGAGCACACTTCTGCTTTTGATGCCTATTACTGGCATTCGGAGCCATACTGCCTCTGACACTGGAGGTAAGATAGCCATCATGATTATTAGCCACCGACAGATGTACTCATGTAGGATGAGGATAATTCCCCTTTTAAATCTGTTAAGTTGGCAGCCAACGTGGTGCCATTTGCTCTGCTACCCTAGAAATGCCACAGGAAAAGTTGTAGCTGATGCTAGATTCTGGGACCACCATTTTTACTCGGTTTTGTCTAACAGCACTCTTAGGCACACCCAACCAGGTTGTAGATTCACCTACCGATACAGAAACCTGGCAATCGCATGGAGTTCTCCACCACCCCTTCTAATATATATGTACCTCACATATAACCTTGGATTCCTGTGCTTTTTACAGCACTGACATTCAGAGCTGCACTGCCTGATGATTTCCAATGAACTTTCTTCAAAAGGAGGAACATGACTAAACTCCCAGCTATCTGAAGTAAAAAAAGAACCTACAAAAACACACACAAAAAGAACTATTTGCTGGCATAGTCTGTAAAGAATTCTATTTTGAACATCCTTTAAACAAAGGAAATAAATGCTAAGAAACAAGGGACTGAACTCCTGGCTTTCATTTCACCTTTCTTGGCAGCTTTATCCACCCATCAACTTACACATATCACATTGACTTACTTTTTGTTTTACATTATTTTAAAGAAGTCATACTTTGTCTAGGTAGCCACCAAGGTGGTGTTGACGCCTGCTTTCAAAACCTCCCACCCATCTGTACAGGCTGAGCCATTTGCTATGGCTGTGGCTGATGCAAATAAAGATTCTTCTGATCTGCTGAACCATTCCTCCTTGTTCCGTGCTCTTTCATTTAAATATCTCTCTAAAGTTCAACACTATCCAATAAAAGAAAGATGAAACAGTCTGGGGAGAGATAAACAGAAAGCAGAAGGTACGAAATTTCAGTAACTGGCCTTTACATTCAGAAAGGTCATTATACATGCTTCCAGAGAGATTTTATTCAGTAATCCTAAAATGTAACATCAAAAAAGCTTCAACCAAATCTCTCTTAAATATCAATATCTAAAGTTTTAAGAATGGCAGAGACAAGAGAGAAGGAAAGCTCAGTTTTATCAACTTCAAGTAGATGGCTCTGAACCACAATAGTAGACAGACACCCCAGAATTTTGTAAGAAAAGCTAAGAATGTCAGGTTATCATGCAACACCAGAAGCTTATAAGTAAGATAGTATGATATGATAAATTCATAAACCTGGTGATATTGCAACTTACATAGTTCAGTGAAACACCTGCCACAGCAATGACAGAGATGTGAAAATGCGACAGAGGGCTGTTCTATGATTTATGGTCCAGCCTAGGAGCAGAAATTTTCCTATGAATTGGGGCTCAGATACTACAAATCAAGTGTCATTACAGCTCACCCTTGTACTCTGTCTCAACTGAGTTCCTTACCAATTTAGTAGCTTCTTGGCTTAACATCAACTCCCAAAGTCACTCTCAGTGACCACATGTCAGTGGTGGGTGAGGCCAGAGGCAAACAAGGATAGAACAAGTTTACATCCATACCTCTATCCTCCATCCCAACAAACCTGAGTTCAAAGATACATTCAAGTGAAGCAAAACATTCAAGGAGGATGTGTAACTAGGCTGGAGAGCACCCCAAGGGCCAGAGAAAGTTGGGTCTGAGACTGGCCACCAGGTCTGAGGTTCCGCACCCATGACTGCCAACATCAGAAATGGGGAACCTACGGCCCTCCAGATATCGTAGGACTACAACTCCCATTGTTCCTGGCCATGAACCATGCTGGCTAGAGCTGATGGTACTTGGATTCCACCATCATCTGGAGATCCACAAGTTCCCCATCCCTGATCTACACACACTGAAGAGGCTAAAGTCATATTTATGCAGTACTCTGCCTAAGTGCTCATGCTGCTCCAGTAATATTCTGATCACATGGGGCTGCCAAGATTGCATAGGCTACTGCCCCTTCCCTTCTGAGCTGCTGACACTGCCAAACATAGTATCTCTGAAATCCTGGCAACACCATGCACTTCTGCCATCCAAACACTACAGTAGCAGGATGGTAGCCAGTCACAGCAAGTAGCAACTACACCTCTTTGGTAATACAGGAATCCAACCTAAACATATCTGTCAGGGGAATTATCAAGCCATTGCTAATAGACTGGGGTTGGGTGGGGAATAACTTCAATTGAAAATAAGCAGGACTGAAAATAAGCAGCTTTCATTTTCCCATTCGAAAACCTTGAGAAAAAGTCACATTTCTATTTTTATTGGTTGGGTCATTTGTGCCAAGCTCTTTAAGTCTATATTTAAAGAAAATATTTCAGAGTGAGTAATAAAGTAAAAGACTAATATATGGCCAAGACTTTTTTCCTATTTGAAGTTTTTGTCTTTTATCAGCTTAGACACTATACCAACAAGAACCCTATCTGAAGAAGACAGAATTGCTCAAGTTACTGTATCTGTGCTTTGCTAGCCTGCTGTTTGGATTACTGCAATGTATTATATGTGTGGCTGCCTTTGAAAGTGGTCAATGTCCATATTATGCCAGTGAATGTCATCTGCAATGGCTTCCAGTTCCTTTCTAGGCCTGATTCAAAATGTTGGTGTTAACCTTTGAAGTCATAAATGACTTGGCATTATCATACCTGAAGGCTAGCCTCCTTGCATATACAGTGGTACCTCGGGTTACATATGCTTCAGGTTACAGACTCCGCTAATCCAGAAATAGTGCTTCAGGTTAAGAACTTTGCTTCAGGCTGAGAACAGAAATCGTGCTCTGGCGGCACGGCAGTAGCAGGAGGCCCCATTAGCTAAAGTGGTGCTTCAGGTTAAGTACAGTTTCAGGTTAAGTACGGACCTCCGGAACGAATTAAGTACTTAACCTGAGGTACCACTGTATACCTTCCGAGACCTTAACATCCTCTTCAGAGGCCCTTGTCATGCGGCCTCATCAAGTTAGGTGAGGCAGTTGGCTACAAAAGAGGAGCTTTTCAGTAGTGGCACCCTAGTTCATGAATTCCCTCCCCAGAGAATACCTTTCCCACCATTTCTAATCTTAACATCTTCTTGTGCTTTTTGAATACCCTACTGTAATCTTTTAGTTATTATTTTGGTTCTAAACTGCTGGGGGGGTTTTAGATGGTTACTGTAAATTATCTGAAAAACCTTGGTTATTGGGTGGTATGATATTGTATAAACACATACCTAAATAAAAATACTCATTGTATATGTTCAAACTTTTTACTGGCCTAATCTGCGAACAGAAAAGATATATTGTGATATTCTAATTTAGTCTCTCATGGACAAACTCTAGTAATGATTCTGTCTTAGAACAGGCTGTCAAAGGTCTGGCAATAATTGCGCAAGTACACTTGAAACTAAAAGGCTCAAATTCATTTTTGCTTGCAATCTAAACTTTGCATCCATCTTCAAACAGCAACAAGAACTTGGGAAGTTCCCATCAGAGTCTTGCTCTTTACACAACACAGTACAAGCCAACAACCTTCCAGATAGGCAATTTTTACTTTACACTCCTCAGCTAGACTGGAATCGGAGACACATGCAATGTAATGGGAATAGATGTACTAAATTGTTTATACCAACGAACCCTCTTCCCCTGTCCCCCCACCACATAGACATACACACACCCCAACATGCCCGAGAGTTACAGGCAACACCCTTCAGCAAAGTAGTTGCTGCTTCAAAGCAAAAGGCATACTTTAGTCCTTAAGTTAAAATACAGTGTTCTGCATAAACAGACCAGATGGGCTGCATGCTTAATGATGGTGGAAAGGCAGATAGTTTACTGCAGCTTTCATATATGCGCTACAAAAAATGTATGAACAAATGGCATGCTGTGACAAGTCTACCAGGCACTTTGAGAAGGGAAAATCACTTGCCTTCATGTGGATCTTGATGCCACGGTTAATACAGTCTCTGGGGAGGTGTCCAGAGTCCACAGTGATTCATGTGCTGGTAACTTCACGTTTAGACAACTATAATATGCTCTGTGTGGAGCTTTCCTTAAGGCTGGCTCAGAGGCTGCAGCTGTTGCAGAATGATACAGTTCAGGTACCGAGTGGTGCTCCTTACCAGTCAAATATCACGGCAGTGCTGCAAGATCTGAACTGGCTGCCTATTAGTGACTGAGCCAGTTTTGAAGCTTTGTTACCTGAATATAAAGCCCTAATCAACTCTGGGCAAGGTTACCTGAAATACCAACTTCATCTCTGCAGCCTTGTAATGGCATTAAGAAGGCTGGCAATTAGCCTTGCCATGGTCTGATGATTATCAGCTCATAGTAACTCAGAGGTGAGCTTTTTCAGTCGTTGCACCAATGTTATGGAATGCCCTTCCAGTTGAAATGCAAGAGGCCCCATCTGTACTGGCATTCCAATGACTTTTGAAGATGCACCTATTTACACAGGAATAAGGGACGCGGGTGGCGCTGTGGGTTAAACTACAGAGCCTAGGACTTGCTGATCAGAAGGTTGGTGGTTCAAATTCCCATGACGGGGTGAGCTTCCATTGCTCAGTCCCTGCTCCTGCCAACCTAGCAGTTCGAAAGCACGTCAGAGTGCAAGTAGATAAATAGGTACTGCTCCGGCGGGAAGGTAAACGGCATTTCCGTGCACTGCTCTGGTTTGCCAGAAGCGGCTTAGTCATGCTGACCACATGACCCGGAAGCTGTACGCCGGCTCCCTCGGCCAATAAAACGAGATGAGCGCCGCAACCCCAGAGTCGGCCACTACTGGACCTAATGGTCAGGGGCCCCTTTACTTTTACCTTACTCATGAATTCTTGCTCTGGATCTGCCTCTTGAAATCGCTGGATTGTTTTAATGGGTGGGTTTTATTGTGCATTGTAACTGTGGATATTTGTATCTTAATTGTTCTGCTCAGTCTGTTTTTTATATTCTTTAAACTGTTTAGATATTTACTCTAATGAAGCTTTGCATTGGTAGATGACACTATAAGCCATGCAAGAAGAAGCTCCTTTCCTCCCTCATTCCCTAGCACACACTCCCTGGGAGACAGAAGCAAAGGTACTCAGTATTCTTTTTTGCATCAGTCCGTAGCTCTTTATTATCAGCAAGACCTTCACAGTAGCAAACTAGGAACCAGGAGGCAGGAGTTCATGTCTTGTACCAAACAAAAAAATGGTTTACATGCTACCCAAGGAGTATTTGAAAACAAAAGTCTGCAATGTTTTCTGAACATTGCAACATGGCACTTTCCCACACTCTCTTAAAATTGCAAATCTTAAATTACTTGCTTAAATTACAAGTGGCTCTCTTTGCAGCTTGATAGGTTGGTCCCCTGTCTTTGCTCAGCAAGCTCCTGCAATCCTCACCCACACATGGCTTTTGGAGGATTGAAAGGAGGAATCAGATGTCCTTTAAAGTTTGCACAGACTGAGGCTGGGCCTACACCTCCAGCACAATTAGGTGATAAAATGGCATGGACTGTATGTACTTCAGATGAAAGATACCAGTTCTGAATGTTCCCTGCTCTTCCAAACACCCCCTCCCAGCTGGATACAGTGGTACCTCAGGTTACAGACGCTTCAGGTTATAGACACTTCAGGTTACAGACTCTGCTAACCCAGAAATAGTACCTCGGGTTAAGAACTTTGCTTCAGGATGAGAACAGAAATCACGCGGCGGCGGCATGGCGGCAGCGGGAGGCCCCATTAGCTAAAGTGGTACCTCAGGTTACGAACAGTTTCAGATTAAGAACGGACCTCCAGAATGAATTACCGGTAAGTTCTTAACCTGAGGTACCACTGTATTGGGGAGGGGGATTAAAGGGCAAACGAAACTCAAACAAGCACAAGTCTGTGAAACTAGCACATGCAGAGAAAAGGTTCTCTCCCAGCCCTCTGTCTGCAGTGCTGATGTTTTATTTGCAGCCAGTTTCCCCACATCTGTGGTCTGAAGTGGTGAAGCTCATCTGCATCTGCAGTATCTGTAACTGAGGGTTGGAAGTACAGCAAGGTAAGAACAGGCTCTTTGCTCCTATGTCCCACTAACCTAGTAGCTGAAATATTTTCTTCGACTTCTGAGAATGGCAGTCCACTGCACAGAAGCTTCCAAAACATACCTCAGGGGCCATCACCATGAGTTTATGTAACTTTTGCCAAACTTGCTGAAAGAGCTGGGTCGAAGCTGCCTGGGATAAATGGACAAAGTGACTTTGGCAGCCCACCCTTAAACCTGTTAGGGAAATTAATCTGGCACCTCATCTTCAAACGAAAAAGAGAAGAGTGTGCATTATAATAAGGCCTCTTACAGCACAGAATAGTAAAACACAAAGAGTTCTTCTAAAGGATGCAGACACAGGAATGCTTTACTCAGCTCCATGGCAATCCAAAATATGAGCCTTAAAGACTGCTTGCTGAATGGGAAGTTTAGCAATTCAACACTACATTCGCCACTTGATTGTGGCAGCATCCATTTATGACTTCCATTATCTGAAACAGATCAAACATAATAAAAAGTATTTATATTATTATCATCACCCACCACCTGGTAGCTGCAATACAATACTGACCAATAAAGGTGCTTCACGCATTCTCTTGAGAGTCAGAGCAACAAGACTTAAGAGTATTGCCTTGTAGTGAAGTATATGCATGTGTGAATCAGATCTTAGATACACTGGAATAGAGGTGAACAGAATATTTCAACTCCCACTGGAACATGCATCATGCTAAAATTACTGGATAAACTTGAAAAGGAAATAGGAAAAATTATTACTATCTATCATAACACAAGGCCTCCTGTTACTGATTCTTGAGTGGAAACAGATAACTATTCATGCCATGGTGACTGCTATAAAGCATACCCTGGGAACAGAAACCAATTTCCCCCTCTTACAAGTTAATAGCCCATCACTTGGGAATCCCCATTTTTCAAACCTGACAATTTATGAAATTTCTTATTTGTACATCCAAGAGATCAAAATGTTGGAGGAAGGAAAATTAAGAGCCACCCAGTTCCACTCCTTCTGCAAGCCAGTTTAATAATTATAGGCTAGCTACCTCTTCCTCATCACATTCCAATTTTGTTCCATATTACGTTTTACATAAATTATAAGTGGTGACACTACCCAAGCCAGATAATTCTGTCCATCTGACAAAGATCAGAACAACAGTGGCTTATGACGGATGCTATGGTAGCGATCTCTAATGACTCAATATCACACATTCCAGTCTCTTGTGCATTTTAAAACCGCTGATGTCTTAAGAACCAGAGTTTAAAAAAAGCTCTTCATCATATACTTCTGTTAATTCTTCTCCTGAAATTTTGTCATGTGTCAAGTCAGCTGTCTTCCTCTTTTGAGCTATATTTCTCCCTTCAATTTCATTTTTTTAAAAATTACATTTTTCTGAGCTACAGGGTTAGCAAAAACAATTCAAAACAAGGAAGTACCACCAAACAGCTGCTATTACGAGCCGTGAAAAAGATGGTGGAAAATCTTCCCACTTTGCCAGAGTTGCATGGGAACAGAGATGTGCTTTTTCCAAAGACCTGTCTGACAGAAAGTTAACAAAACATTTAGAAAGTATCATATCAAAGTTAAAACGATTCTTGCCCTTATCGTACCATTTTATATCTTACTGTCTTTGTAGTTGACTATCTACGCAAATGAAAGAAGTGTGCATGCACACGAAAGCTTAGACCCAGAACAAACTTAGTTGGTCTCTAAGGTGCTACTGGACAATTTTTTTTCCTCGACTGTGTCAGACCAACATGGCTACCTACCTGAATCTAGTATCTACACAAATATCATACTAATGAATTAGTACAGATTAGTTGAATTTGTTTCAAAGTCTGAGTAGATATAACAGCATAATCCACTGAAAAAACACAAAAGGCTTGAACAACAAATTAGTAAATTACCATATACCGTATTTTTTGCACCATAACACTCACTTTTTTCCTCCTAGAAAGTAAGGGGAAATGTTTGTGCGTGTTATGGAGCGAATGCCTGTGGGTGGCAGGGGGGATCTGCTGCAGTCGTGAGCAGAGGATTCATGGTTCCCCTTCCTTCCCTCCTCCGTGGTTACAAAGCATGGATCCACATGGATCCTCAGGATTTTTGCATGGGGCTACTCCAAACTCACTGTCAGATCATATGTCTGTGGCCACAGCATGAACCACAGAAATCATATATCCACTATTTCGTTTAGAATTTTTTTTTCCTGTTTTCCTCCTCTAAAAACTATGTGCGTGTTATGGTCTGGTGCGTGTTATAGAGCGAAAAATACGGTATGTTATTCAAGGGGCTATGGGCACCACCCTCTCTTCCTACCCCCTAGAGCACTGCCCTCATATGCAAGAAATAGAGGAAGTACATACATATTTCACTTTTCCAAGAGTTCCAAGTAAAAGTCAGGCACGGTAGAATTAATCTGAGTCTTGGAAAGCACAGAAAGCTGACAAAGGAACTGGGAAAGAGTGTGCCTTTCTTAACCTTATCTTTCTGTACTATGTACTTTCCAAAGGAGAAAGGGGTCACCAGTCCTCAAGACCGTGGTGGGAATAAGGGGGAATCTCAGAGTCTTCATTAGTGCCAGAGGAAGACCTCATAATTTAACATGTGAACACTTCAGAGAACCCATTTTCTGTCAATGGTTAAAATATACCATGAGAAGGGACAGACCTTCAACACAGATCTATTAGTTATATTCCCCTGTAATGTTTGCATTGAGGAATCAGTCCTCCGATTCCCACATAGAAAAATAAGCTAAACATACCTGCTTCAGTCATTCTACACAAAATTCTACCCTTCCCCCACAAAAAACCCAACATGACATTTTGTTAGTATGGCACTCTGGTAACAAGACCACTTTAGTTAAACGCGAAGATGCCTGCAATATTGACAGAGTGAGATCATAATTCTCATAGCCTGAACAAGACACTTAGGTAAATATTTCACCCTGTCACATGTCTCAAGAAAGGTACTTGAAAACCAGCAAATTACCGGTATCCAACATAACTAGATTACAATAACATAAAATGCTTGGAACAGAGCAAATACGTCTGAAGAAGGTGAATTTAAATCCTGCTTGTTAGCAAAGACCAATGCCAAAGGAACGGTGCACATTCAGGAACCATATCTATGAACACAGTTTAAGTATCTTCACAAAACTATCAGGGTAATTGAATTTAGACCTCAACTTATCTCAAGTCTTCAAGTCAATCGAGAATTGAGCGAAGCAAAAGCCAGTCTCCAACAACTCTGTTCTTTAACAGTGACACATTATCAAAGCCGAACCAACAAAATAAATTATTATCGCTTCAAGCAGCAGCAAGCAGCGTTAAGCGCAGAGAAGAAATAAGCTAGCGTCAAGGCATTGTAGTGGCACACCTGTGCTCCTGGATGCCACTTTAAAACGAAGATCCTCAAAGCAATTTACAAAACGCTGCTTTGAACTGCACTTGTGAGAAAAGTGCATTAAAATTACATGGCAGTTAATAAGGTGCCACTGAAGGGCTGCTTTATTATGCTGAATAGTTTCCACATTTAGCTAACTAAAATAATTTTAGTGAAGGTTTAATTTAACACATAGGAGGTGACAAACTAAATGTACCTAGCTAATAAAGCAGCAAACAAAACAAATACTGCTAAAGCACCCTGAACTGCACTGTACCCAACGTAAGGCCACTTTCTTTAGTTATCAGGTTAATACATAATGCAAATTTTCACACCAAGAAATTGCACACAAGAAACAGGAGCCAAATCACCGGATTTCAGATTAGAATTGAAACTAACATGTAAGTGGGAGTAACTTCACTGAAGCCTCAAGACTTGAAAGCAGAATTACTACTAAAGAACCACTTGTTAAAAGGCAATGGTGGAGGGGCAGAAAGAATAATGATTATTATTAAATATGAAAGGGTTGCATTCACCAACATTTTATTCAGAGCAGCCCCACTGAAATTATTCAGTAGGTCTACTAGGAGTCTTACGCACACTGAATACAACCCATAGTATTCTGACTTCTCACCTGCAAAAATCTCAAACCACTGGTATCTTTTTTAATGGGCATTCTTATAACCAAACCAGAATTTTCTATAAACAGAGTGCAATTCTGCCAGTTATGAATATACAGCTGAAGTGATCTGCTAACTCATGCACAATGCACAATCTGCTAGAACAACAACCTCGTATTGCACACAGATTATGGATTCTGAAACCACCAACCAACGGAGGTGCACCTATCAGGAGCCAAGTGAAGCTGCAAGAAAACCAGGCCCAAACCATTTCAAATTGTTAAGACTGAAAAGTCTTGCAAATATATGCTTACAAAAGTTACTGGCTCACAAAACATTTTACGAGTTGGCTTGTTAGCCATTTGTGGTAGCACAATTTTGTGGCACCACAGTTCAAGGAGGACACTGACAAACTGGAACGTGTCCAGAGGAGGGCAACCAAAATGGTCAAAGGCCTGGAAACAATGCCTTCTGAGGAACGGCTAAGGGAGCTGGGCATGTTTAGCCTGGAGAAGAGGAGGTTAAGGGGTGATATGATAGCCATGTTCAAATATATAAAAGGATGTCACATAGAGGAGGGAGAAAGGTTGTTTTCTGCTGCTCCAGAGAAGCGGACACGGAGCAATGGATCCAAACTACAAGAAAGAAGATTCCACCTAAACATTAGGAAGAACTTCCTGGCAGTAAGAGCTGTTCGACAGTGGAATTTGCTGCCAAGGAGTGTGGTGGAGTCTCCTTCTTTGGAGGTCTTTAAGCAGAGGCTTGACAACCATATGTCAGGAGTGCTCTGATGGTGTTTCCTGCTTGGCAGGGGGTTGGACTCGATGGCCCTTGTGGTCTCTTCCAACTCTATGATTCTATGATCAGTGGCCTAAGGAGCCAACTCTCTTGTCATTTACAGGGAAATAAGTCCTACCAGTTATTCTTACCAGCTGCAGATATCTTGGGGAGTGGATGCTTAAAGCCCGACTTAGAAAAAAACAACACAGCACATTCACTGAATGAGGTGAAAGGAGCATAGAATACATACATGCTTGTCAGCTTTATTTTAACTGCTTAGCATTTATTGATTAATTTATATCCTGCTCTGCCACTGCAAGTAGTCAGAGAAGCATACAACCCAGGCAGAAAAAGGAAGCATGAGATTCCTGTTGTATATAACTAGCACCACAAGCCCCATCTAATAAGGTTCCCACTGATAACTGAGCATTCAACAGACACTGCCTGTTCCGTTATTACATTTCGCTATGTCATCAAAAGGATAAAAAGGATAAAAAGTTACTTTTATTTCTTAAATAAAGTTCTCAAGAAGCAAAAGTACAGTGGGTACAATTCTACATGATATGCAAACATTTCATTTAGCCAGGGAAGGTTCACAATGCTCTGTGGCATCACAAAGTGCTCCTGTTCAGTGTACAATCCCATTCCCGCACCGGCATGGTTTTTCATTCCCTATCAAACATAGTCAATTCAGAGTTATGTGGCCACCCAATCCGCCAACCTAATGCAGTGAGGGGAGTGTTCCACTCTCATCTCTGAACTTCGAAATAGAGGCAATTATTTGGGGGAGATATTTTGCACACCTAGAGATTCCAAACATTTGCAACATTGACTTTCTAGCCAAGAAGAATTGTTTGGTCACATATGCAAGTTCTTCAACCATTCAGATTGTATTTTTAATCAGTATTCCTGCAGGGGGCTGGACTAGATCAGGGGTCAGCAACCTAAGACCCATGGGCCACAAGCGGCCCACAGGGTTTGTTTAACCAGCCCATGAGCCACCCCCGAACCGAGCTGCCTGCTCGGCAAATCCCCGCGCGCTTTGCTAAACCGGCTCAGCACGGCAACTCACTTCCACAGCGCCAGAAATCACAGAGGGCTCTCTGCTGGAGTGAACCAGCCCAGGCAAGGTAAACCTTGCCGACCCCTGGACTAGATAGTCCGTTGGGTCCCTACCAATTCTGTGATTCTATGGTTTTCCCCTCCTTTAATTATTTTTTTTACTGTATTATTATTATTGCATCTGTATCCTGCCCCTGCACAGTGGATCACACAAATGAAAAGAGAAATGTTCAAAATGAAGCTTCACAGGTAGAAGGGATTATAACAAGCCATGCTTAGATTTGAAATGTTGTTTCCCATCTATGCTCAAGTCAATGCTTGGAGAAAATAAGTTACTAGCTATGCTCCTTGAAAACAACACATTTCATTTGACCTTTGAGGGTTCTCTGTTGTGGGCTGCTTAGACATTTATTAGGAAAAGCAAGATCAAATCAATTCAGAACATATTCAGCTGGGGTCTGAGAGCTTAGATTAAAACCCTTTAATCTCATAGCAGAGAATTCTCTATGAAGTGGAATCGAGACAACATGATTTATACCATAACCAGGTTTTATCCTTGGAACCTTATATTGTAAGAACAAATAATACTTTCTGAACTAGTAAAAATGACAGCTTCAACATGGCAGTCATAGAACAGCACATTTTGCAGCTGGTTGCAATGTTCACAAGAGTGCACAATGTTTCATAGAATGCATAAGCATCCAGAACCAAGCCCATAACTAAAAAAAATTAAAGGACATCAGGGCAGGGGGGAGGCGGAGAGAGAGAGGACAGAATAGTGTTTTCCTATATAATACTTTATTTTTGAAACATTAATCATGCTGCAGTTTGCAAGGTCACTTATAGAGGAAGGGGGACATCGGGGGCAAAACAGAGTAGGGGACATAGGACTACAAAAGAGTGAAAGGATCAGGGCAGGGCATGCTTTGCCCCACTCATCTGTCATGGCCACAGAGGTCCCCCACCCCTGGTCTGAGTTGGGGGGGATGTGAAGTGTTTGGCAATGCCTGGGAGTTTGGGTGAGTTATGGGTGACAGATGCGGCTGGTAAGCAGGGGAATAGCTCCCAGTAACTATTTAAAAATATTTGTATTCGTAGGGTTCCAATATGTAACACAGAAATGAGGCTTAGATTAATTCCATTCTCTCCAGCTAACTGAACTTAATATAAATGGGAACAAACTCTTGTCTTGTTGCTTACACAGAAGATTTGTGTATATGGGTTCTCTAGACAAGAACAGAAAACTAAAAAATACAAGTTTCCAGATGAGCCCCAGCATTAATGATGTGAAGACTGTCCACGGAGGTCTTCCCTACCTTGGTGCCCTCCAGATGATGTTGGGGCTCCCATATGCCCCAGCAAGCATGATCAACAAGCAAGGATGATGGGAACTGTAATTTGACAACATCTTGAGGTCACCAAGTTGGGGGAAACTGCTCCAAGGTTCCAACAGAATAAGGAGGCTATCATAGGGCATGGCAACTGGTCCTGATGTAATGCAAAGGTGGTCACCTATAGGAATGTACATGCTTACAAAGCATTTCATGAGTCCCCCCCCCCCCTTTAAATTACCAAAATATGTAACATTAAAGTTGAAGCCAAACAACAAGCCATCTTTAGAGCAACTTGCATATGTGCTGAATGTTTTGGGATGGAAAGTGAACACAGCACGAATGCACAAACTTGACAGTCTTCAACTCAAGTGCATATACTATGCCAGCAGATCTAACAGCTGAATAATAAGGTTTCCTTCAGCCCTAAATAAAGATACTTGGTAGTTTCCTGTGTCTGACGAACGCAATAATCTTTCCCTCTCAGCTGGATTTCGGAGTTTATTTAACGTGCTGCCACTGTGCCAGGCACATGAAGAAAACAGAGACACATGCCAGCAGAGGCACAACGTCCTTTGATGACATCCTGACTAGGCCACAAAATGGATCGCAACCTCGCCCACACTTTAGGTTCTACCTAAAACAAAAAACAAAACATCAGGCAGGTTTTAAGTTAAGGGTTTGAGAAAGAGATCAAAGTAGTGTCAAACATGGAAGGATGTACTGACTGAAATGGAGAGAGTCACATGCATTTGTTTCTCTGGTGCAATCACTTAACGTGCTATCTTGCTTCTTCCTCTTTGCCTAAAGCCCTTTATTTCCCTTAATCTTTGCCTATTCTTCATTTGGCTTCTTGGCTATGTCTCGATCCTGATTGATTTCGCTCTCCTCATCCCACCCCATGGTTGGCCTCCAAAGCTATGCTAAGCCAGGGCTTACGAGGAGGCATGTGATGCAAGCCCTAGTAGTTCCATTCTCAAAATCCAGAGTGCAAACACTCCTACTTACTGCACGCGCACTGTGATTCCAGTGCTGGATTTTTAATCTGTGTCCACACCAAGTGATCTCTACTGCATATGTATCCTGCACTTTGTTATAAGACACTAGTTCGGTGTGCTGTTTCTCAAACCAGCTTCACACAAACTGGCATCCTTAAGTTGCTCCTAACTAGTTTCCACTCAAGGTGTGTGTGAACACCTCTGCATGGTGGTAAAGGAATCACAGAAACAAACTGAAGCCATGCTAATGTGAACAGTGTGTGAGGGGGGAAGAGACCTGTAAACACACACACACACACACACACACACACAACCCCACTTCACTGCGCAATAAGACAGTAAAGGGAACCAAGAATAATCACTTGCTGCTAAGTTTTCTGTCCTTACAGAGGGAGAGGGGAGAAAGAAGGACTACTCTGAGGAAGTCAAGCATTCTTAAAATGATATATATCATGTTTGTCTATCAGCCATTCTAGTCAGAAGTCATGGACATTTTGGCCCTAATTTATTCATAACATAACTGATTGTGTAACCAGTGTGCACTTTAGAACTTTATGCTCCATTGCACTCTTTTTCACTAAATGGAACATAAGATAGATTGTATTTGCAATCCTACCCAATTACTGTAAAAAGCTGATTAAACTGTGTTTTTCTCATGAGAATGTTATGCAAGAAGACTCCCCACCCGCCCTGCTGAAAGCAGGAAAGGAACATACAGGAAAGGAACTCACCTCAGTTATTAATGCTAGGATTAAAACTGCATTGCCACAGTTCTGATACTTCAGCAGTAAACACAAATAGTGCTCAGTTGCTAAGGTATAGCCAGAAAAAAAGGAGTATTCCTGTATGCAATTTCGTATTATGTTCCATTTCCAAACAAGGAAGCTGGGCAGATTCAGTCCTGGTTTATTTTGCAATCCATGGGGATTTCTAAAATCCAGGAGCTTTGGCTGCATATGTACATCTGGTAATTTTAGAAGTAGTCAACTACTGGAAACTACAAGGCTCACCAGAACTGTGCTTTATTTCCTTCCTATCACTTATTTAATAGAAAGGAAACATTTTACTTTATTCACTCCCAACAAATGCTGGGCACCAAAACCTTAACCGGTACCCTACGAACCCTCAAGAGCCTGCAATTCAACTGTTACGTGGGTATGTGAATGAACAGATTGAAAAACATTATACATTTCCCCAAATTCCCAATGGTTACTTATTCTATGAGGATTTAGGTATTTGGCCTTTCAGAGGAATCCTAAGACCTCTGAATTCAGAGCAAAGTCAATAGTCACAAGAGATAACCTGGTATTGAAAGAAGATTAAAGAGCAACTTCTCTCTCTTCTTCCGAGACTGAATCAAGTTGGCTATCACAATCACACTCTAAAAAGATAACCAATTCTAATCCTTAGGAAGGGCAGATATGATTGCTGCAGATTCACTGGCGTTAGGCTACACTGCTATTTCCTGAAGCAATGTACAAACTGTGGGTGAGAAGACCTGTATATGTAAATGGCAGCAGACACATGTTGGGGAGCCCTAGGGCCAATCAGATATCAGCTTCCCCAGGAACACGTGCATACATGTATAAAGACACAGGCTATATATATATATTCACTTTTAAATAACTGTGTCAAACACCAGGGTACACACAGAAGTCACATGGAGCCACCCAGAGTACTGCTGAGAAGCAAATTCACAAGAGCAAAAAATCAAAGAATACTGTGATATTATATATCCATGGTCTTCTGAGAAGGGTTGCTAATGGTTCTTTACTTTAAGAGAGTGTATGCCATGGCAAAACACTGCAGTTTCATAAGGAAGCCCCCTATTTCAGAGCATCACAGCTCTACGACAGTCTAAAGAATTTACACCAGAATTCTAAAATATTCCTCATTTTTTACATTCTGATCTGGAAATCTGCTACATGCTTAAGCATCTCTCCTGCTGAAATGAAAGGGACTAGTGTACCATGATCTTTTTAAGTTTTACATGCAATGAAATGTTATGTTATACAAGGTAGGTGCTCCACCATTTTGCTGCAAGTATTCACAGTGTTTCCTTACATCATCACTCACACACACATGAAGCTCACACTTCACTGTGGGTATTCTGCTGCAAGTAAACATTTATAAGGCTGGTAAAGAAAGCCACAAGTTGAGGCCCAATGGCAACTCAACCACAGCTTCTACAGTGCAAAAGCAATCAAGTCGTTTAGAAATAAGCAATTCTGTACCAGCACACATTTATAAAGGCTCAGTTAAACAAAGATTTGGTTGTTGTTGTTGTTCATGCACTATAGCTGCCAAGCTCAATTCTACTTTATGCCAACAATGCCCTCCTGAGTGTGGGAGGGGGCATGAAATCTATAGCATTTGGCACATCAGAGCACACACTTGCTCTGTGTGTGGCTTCAACTGCGAACTGTTCTCATAGTCTTTATGCAACTGCTTCAAAGAAAAGTATTAGCACACAAAACTGTAAATGTTCTGCACTAAAACTCAACTCCAACAGTTACTGCTGAAACTGAGGCTGTAAAGGACACTTACAATGGAATAAGTTCAACTGAACCATGAGGAACCTACTTCTGAGTCAGTATGCATAGGAGAATGATGTTACTGTAATCTTGCGCATATTTACTTGGGAATAAGGGGGAGTTCCAAGAATCACTAGCACTGCATGGTGTTTCTAGCAGCAGACCCAGGAAGTTGTATTAACATGGATACACACATAATGCGCAGAGCTGCCCTTAGTCCTAATGTCAACAGGGCTCAGTTCCATGTTAGGCATGCATAGATTTGACAAGCTAAAGGTCCAATCAAACCTACTGAAACTCTAGCCAAAACGTACAATTATTTTGCCCCTAATTTGAGCCCTGCATTTAATTGCCCTTCAGGGACCTAATATTGTTTCCTTGATGGTATCGATCAAGGTTAAAGAGACCGGGGGAGAGGTGAGGAGAGCCAAACATTCATAAAATACAATATAGATATTAAAAGAGAAGAACTCATAATCTATCCTGAATATTTAAGTCTTGTGGCCTTTTGAAACAATAGCAGTTTCTCTGAAGTGCTGTTTTGATGAAAATACTGTGCATGAAAATATATTTATAGAAACAGAAGAACACAGGACTTCCTGTTTTTAGCTCAGCTCCACCTTAAAAGCTATACTTTTTTCTCCTGCCGATTTATACTGCAATTAAATGCACTTCTTTGCAAATGCCAAATAAAAACAGTTGCATTTTATTCATTTACTGTTGTGAATATATAGAGAGAGGGGGAACACTCAACTTTTCCACTGTTATAGGATGCAAAGAATGGCCTTGTCAAAATCACTATAACAGGATCATAACAATGTCAGAAAAATCATAATAGGCTAGTCTCCAAAATCCACTCCTGCAAAGATTAAAAACTTACTTAACAAAGATTAAAAACAATCCACTCAGCACCTTTCTTGTACAAATCCCATTAAAATAAGTATAACTACACAAGAAATCTGTGTTTTCATACTACCATCATTCATTCCAATGGCACCTGCACTGGAGAGGCTCCCAGAGGCCATATAACTTAGATGTTTCATATCCTTAAAAATAGATTGTAACAGTTGAGATCAAACACATTTCTGAGAATTATATTTAAAATCCTTCAATGCTTGCATAGAGGAGTTACAATCTATATGATAATCTATAAGAAGTACTAGTCAGGCCAGTTCCCCCCCATTCTGAGAAGTGTCCTTTCGAGGGGGGCCACGGGAGGAATGATGGGGCCAAAATCAATGTCATATCAGTTGTATTAAACCCTTTTAAAAATAATTAAACCAGAGACACTGTGTATTCAGTTACAAACCCCGACATACAGATATAGCTAATTGCTGCTATAGTTATACCAAATGGCAAATGGAATATGATAGTAAATTTCATGTCAGCTTCAATTTCCCCATCAAGTTGACAACATCAGTGTTAAAAATATCTGAGATTTGAGGTACAAGAGTATTTTCATTTCAGTTTGAAACAATGCCACAGTAATTCTATCAAGATGAGCTACTGCTTATATAGTTTTTTTGAAAACACATACAGAAGACTCCACTTATTTCATACCAGTTTCTCATTGATAGCACAGCTCTGATTATAGACATCTCAACTGCATCTGGAAATTTTCCACACTCTTTCTAGCAAGCAAGCTAACATCTAATGGTACATGAATAATACCTCAGGGATTACTAATGTAGTAAGTCAACTGTTTTGAAAGTTTTGCAGTCACACATAATATAACACAGACACTGCACAATGTATGTAGGATGGTTAGATATTCAGAAATTGAAACACAATATGCCAAGTAATCTACATGCCAAAGTTATCTATAATAACTTAAAGTCCTTTTAAAATTCACACAAGTCAGATATCAACCACCACCAAGGACTCTTTAAATGCACGCAGGCTTGGATGGCACGAGCCTATCATTCAGGAAGGAAGTGATGTATATAGAACAAAATTGCTCACTTCACACTACACTGAAATAGAAGACTGGCACCAAAAGGAGACAACATGACCACTCTTACTTCCTCACACCCCACCCGTGACATTTTCCAAATAGTAACAATATATCCCAAAAGGAAACACAATATACTCTTTCAAAATAGGAAGTACTACAGACAGGCAACTGCATTAATGACAGGAGAGGCTCATCCGCCCCCCAAAAGAAACCTTGCTCACGGATGTCACCCGGGGGGGGGGGGGGACAGCACAAGACCAGTCTGTTGCAACACTGCCAAGTTTGATAATTCAGTAGTACTGCGAACTACAGAAGCCACCGGCAACTCAAAACTTTAAAACGCGGGTCAGGGCAGCCTGCAAAGTTGCCTGAAGTTCCCCACTAATCTTTCACCCTTCAAATGTCAGTGCTATGAAGGGAGAAAAAGAGAGAAAACACACACTTAATTTAGTCAGCTTTCGAAAACAACAAAATACACGCTGTCCTCACAATGGTTCTACTCCACACCAGGATGCTAAGGTGAGATGGCGTTCCAGGCACGGCATCTACAATACTAAGACTGTGGTGCCATGACTAAACTGGGCAGACAACGTCACCTTAGGAAGCACTGTGGAAAGAATCACTGTTAACCAGCAGCCCAAGTTCCTGGAAAACAGAAATTCCTACTCCAAATGATTTCTAATGACCCCACTTACTACTCTCACTATGCGGAAGGAGGCCAGGCATGCTCTGATGATACCTTTTGGATGGTGCCAGTGGCAACAACACGAGGCATCGCAAGTCCCTCCCTGCGCCATTTTGAATTACCCGTCCATCAAAAAGACTTTCCTGCCAGTGCTTGGCCACTTTTTAATTTCTGAGGCTATGCTTTGCAACTTGCAGTGTTCCCAGCACAAACTTGAAACCAAGTTTCATTTTAAAAATCAAAAATCGCTGGGACGGGGGGGGGGGGGGAGGGAGAGAGAGAGAGAGAGAGAGAAGCAGAAGAGAGAGAACGGCTACTGCTAGCAAAAAAGAGGGGTGACACTTTTTTAAAAAAAGAAAATTTATCTGGAAGCAGCCAAAAGCATTGTCATAAAGTCAAGGGATATATTTTGACCCAAACTGGGACCCTCAGCAAAAACACAATTACACAGCAGAAGACAAGACCTACCTCCTCAGGAGCTCGGCAGCAGAGTGGCAGCAACAGGATGAACCCTGCAAGCAGTACAGAGAAGCCAAGCTGCCAGGGATCTTCCCACCAACCACAACAACCCAAAACAGAGAAGTACAGTGTCTCTGGTACCGTTTCTTTTCCTGATATCCTGTTGCATGGGAAACTGTGGGGAAATCCTGTATTTTACTTCCCTATTACTGGCACAAGCAAGAAACTTAAGTCCAAGTGGAGTGTGGTGGGGAGGGGGAGCAACACCGGCCACAAGTTAACAATGTGCCATTCAAGGCATTGCCTGCCAATGATTTGCCTTTCCCCAATGCAGAGTGAACCAAAGCAACCTTGTGGGAGGGTCACCAAGATGTTAGCTTTGGAGACACAGGTTAATAAGCATGTTCCGCTTATTATACTGGGGGTGGAAGTGAAGAGCAGGTCCCAGAGTTCAGATCCTATTGGTTAAACTCCCTTATATCGCCTCTCCCCTCCCCCAGAAAATGTTGTTATACACCACAAGAGGTTCTGTGAACAGAAGGAGTGACCACCATGTCCAGCCAAAGACATCAAAATAGTAACCAGAAGGCGTAAGGAACATTTGCCTGCCTGGCAGCCACTCCCAACAGAGATGCCTTAGAAGGAAGGAAGGATTCCAGTTTATGTACGCCCTACAAAGAAAAACTCCACCATTCAACTAGCCCTGGTAGAGGAAGGAAGCCCTCCCCCCATCACATAAATGCATCCACATCAACCATAATAGGAGCTCCTAGCACAACACACCCCTTTCTCGATGGAGCAGCCTGGGTTCTCCTGCTTCCAGGATGCAGTTGGGACACCCTCCCCCGCCTAAATAGCAGCTATCCTTCATTAACCGACGGGCAGAGCAACCCAATCATACAAAGGGGGGGGGGATTCCTCCAGAGGCAAGTCTTAAAAAACTGCGCAGGGGAGGGGGTGTCAAAGAAGAAACGTGTCTCTGTACTGTCAAAATCGCACAAAGCCACCCCCTCCCACCCTCAACATACAATATGGGGTCCTGACTCCTGTCACCCTTTGGTACCCTGGGTGGATCAGGAACTCCCCCCCCCCTCTGCAATCTCCCCCCCCCCTCCCGCCTCGCCCCGCCAAGCACACACACGTCCCCTGCCTGCACTCCGGCCAGGCACTTCTCTGGCCAGGCTCCAGCCTGGCTGTCAAGGCTCCTCTCCTTTTCCTGGCCGGGTGCAAGACCTCGCCACCCGCTTCCCCGTCCCCTCCAACCTTCCTGGGGGGGGGGGGTGAAGAGGGGAGACGCTTCGGCTGCTTTCCTTACCCCGGAGGGAGCACACCCTGACCCCTCCCTGCCGGGCCCTGAGCCAAGGGGAAGCAGCAGGGCCCCTCGGCCTGGCGGCGGGAGGGAGGGAGGCGAGCCGGCCCCGCACTGGGCCGGGAGGGAGGGAGGGACCGGGAGACCGAGCGAGCCGCCGCCTCTGCGGCCGCAGCAGCGGCGCCCCGGCTGCCCCTTCCTGCGCACCTTACTCACCCCGTCGCCGCTGCCTGCCGGGGCGAGCCAAGCCGGCCGCCCGCTCGCTCGCTTCCGTCCTTCTTTCCTTCCTTCCTCCGGCTCTGCGCTCGCTGCCTGCCTGCCTGCCTGCCTTGCTGGGCTTGAGGCGCGGCAGCTCCAGTGCGCGGCGGCGGCGGCGGCAGCTCATCCGCTCCGCCCCCCTTCCCTCCCTTCGCTTCCCTCCTCGGGCTCGGGGAGGAGCCGCCGCGCCGGCGGAGGAGGAGCGAAAGCGGCGGAGGGGCGGAGCAGCGAGCTCGGCCCGGGCAGGAGGGGTCAAAGCGCCCGCGCGAACGTTGCGCCACTTTTGTTTTGGAGGGGCGCGAGTGATGAAGTCTCCAAGACTAGAGGAGACATTCAGTGCCGGATTTACGTATAAGCTAAACAAGCTATGGCTTAGGGTGGGCCCCCAACAAATTTAAAGGGGGGATAAACCTGGATGTACCTTTCCAAAATATAAGATAAAAAAGAAATAAAACCTACCGTACATACAGCAACAGTGTTTTGTGTTGTGTAGGCTCCTATGATGTAAGTAATGGGCCCCAAATCATTTTAAGTTGGAGCTTGATAATTATTTCACTATTGATATATTTCTTCTTAATTGTATTTCACTATCAATATACTTCTTTTTAATTGTATTTCAGTTCCACAATTACTTTGCTAAAATACGTATTTTGTTCCGTGCAAATGGCTCTAGATACCTATTAGGTCCATAAATTACCATATAGCATATGTTCAACATAAAAAACAGCGACAATTTGTTGTTGACAAAGGACAGCTGGACATATAAAGAGCCCCATTACCTTCAGTTGCTTAGGGTCTTATCAAACCTAAATCTGGCCCTGATAGAGATATAGATATTTATATAGATATAATACACGCACATGCCCTTATGAAAGAGGGGCTGTTAGTTTTAAATGCTTCATACCAGCAAGTAATAAATAGTTGAAGATAAGGCTAGGTTAGGGGGGTGGGGAAATATTCCTGTCTGCTTAAAGAGTTAAAAAAGAAGATAGCATTCAAGAAAGGGGTGATGTGGTCACCATGTAGATGTTGCTTCTGTGCTATTTATTTATTTCTGACTACATTTTACTAGGATTTATAAAGAGATAAAGCTTATCTAGCATACGTCTTTTTTGTCCAAAACTATTTTAAAAAGATCAAAATACAATAAAAACATAGGGGGGAAGAGAGAAAAAGAAAAGCAGGGAAAATAGAGAGAGGAAAAAGATTAAGAAGAAATAATTGGCAAGAGAATTTAAGAGAGTGAAAGAAAGTATTCTGTGCTATTTACACAATCATTTAGGGTTTGCCCAACCTGTAACAAGCCAAACATTCGCTGTCTATGTTACAGGGGAGCATAAGTCACAACGCACAATACCAAGGCTTGGGTTCACCCCGATGCAAAGCCGAAATAGGCCTCTCTCACACCATGTGCAGGACTGAGCATAGATCAACTGCTTGTGAGCATCACAGCTGACTGGGAACCAGAGCTGAAACTCTTGTGTGAAACTCAATGAGCCTACCTTACCCCAAGCCGGAGTGAGCGATTCCTGGCCTCTTCTCCACTGTAAATTTGTGAGTCATCCTAAGACTGTACATGCTATACCTTTTAAAGCACATCTGAAGCACATTCTTTCCCTCAAAGAATTCTGGGCACTGTAGTTTACCCCTTGCAGAGTTACATGTTCCAGCACCCCTTAGCAAACTACAATGCCCAGAATTCTTTGAGGGAAAGAATGTGCTTTAAAGGTACAGTGTGTCCGCAAGCCTTGGTGTGATGTTTGTCACATGGTTTGTCCTTGCAGGATTTGTTTTTCTTTAACAAATAGCCTGCAGGGGGAAGGAGAACCAGATTGGGGCTGGCAAAGTAGGGTGGGAACATTAACCCTTTCCCCAGCCTTAGAGAAGAGATCCCATTGGCATCAATAGATACTTTCTTCTAATTGCAAATAGACTCTATGCTGGGAGGTGTGAGGTTATTCTAATTGTGACCATTGACCCCCCCCCCACACGGTCTGGCTCACCCCACCCATGTGTGCCAGCAATTTGTTTAAAAAAGATTTATGTCTACTTTGGTCCTCTAGAACAGGCAAGCTTCAGTGAAATGTTGAGCTTTGTTTTAAACTGAGGGCTGTTTGATTATTATTTTTTGTCAGTTAAACATCATTTCTTCCATGACTTGCAATATTATTAAGTGTGTTCTTATTGCTAAGGGTTCCAGCTACCAAAACTGTCAAAGTCAGTTCCACAATACATAACAGGCAGCCTTCCAAACTGCATCCTGAATTTGAACTGCAGGCTTACATAATAATTGCAACGGACAGATAAATGTGATCAGGCCAGTGTGCATGGAGAAATATAACCTGTGATTATTAGCCATGAGACTTGTGTTTCTCATTGGAAATGTCTGACATATGCATTATACAGACAACTTTTTTGATGCAGACAGTATCTGTCAATGTACACTTATTTATTTTTAATAAATAATTTTAATTGCCACAATAAGTACTTTTACTATGCACACGTTAAAAAGTCATGTGAAGTATACATTTAGTACAAAGTTTCATATAAAATAACCTAATCATTACACAGCCAGAGTCCATTTTGGCTGAGAGTCCTGGAAGACCTGCTCCCTGCTTTGCAGACCTTTTTCTACCTGGCTTGGGAGGGTGGGGCCCTGACTGACTCCAGCTACAAAATCTGAGGCTGCTGAACAGAATCTTGGGCTGGGATCCTTGTTTAGGGGGTTTTGCTGCAAGGGGCTATTGTTGATGTAATTTTTTGTATATTTTGTATCTTATGATTTATGTGGGAAACGTTCAGTTTGGTTGTGCACTTTTTGATGTTTTGTTTATTTTTTTATAACTACATTCTTTATGTTCGTGGTTATGCAATTTTTTTATGTTGTAAGCTCATAGCATGGTTTTAACTTTGGAAAGACAGCATACAAATAAAACTGATTAATCGTCATCAAATTAGATGTTTAAAAAGAAAACTCTGCTACTTATGCAGAGCAGTTTTCATGCATGTGTAATTGCAGCCAGATAGGGATGAATTTCAACAAAAAACTGGTTCTATAGAGTGCTGAACCAGAAGAGAAGAAGGTTCTAGACTGGGGACCCATAGCCACTTCCTCTCCAAAACGAAAGCCAGGTTAAGCACACTCATTTAAGCATGTGACACAGGTCACTTATTGTTCAGTCCTTTATGACATTCAATGAAAGTTACTCCATGTGTGCTTAGAATGGTAGCCTTAGTGCTAACAATGTTTTAGCCCTCAATAAACAAAAGGAAGGCTGTTGTATTTGTTTTTCACATATTTGCGCACAATTTCCAAAACACTTCTGGTTAAAAATCACTCCAAAATAAAATTAAAAAGTGAGTCCTGTGTCTTTGAGGGGAAATCAGGGTTGACGTTTTGCTGGCTGTGGTTTGCATACTTCTCATCCCACTGCATTCCACATATAGAAAGCTGACTGGGCTGGCAAATGAATCCTGCTTCAGTGATGACACCAATATAGTGTCCATCTATACATTGAAACAAAGAGAAGGACATGAAAGGTATTAGGATGGTGCATAGTAGATGTACATCTTCTCTAAAGAATTCACATCAGGCATAGCAAAATGTAGTGCTTTACATGAAATCAGCAATAAGACATGGGTCACCTAGATGCCTGCAACCTATAATACCTTTGTAAGTCCTGTTGTTAAGCCCTTGGTGAAATTTATGCTGGCAGTAGGTAGAATTCCAAAGAGAATATTCATCCTAACCAAGTATTAAAACACTTCCTTAGAATTCCTCCAACTGTCTTTGTGAATATGGTTCTTTAGAAAGAACAACATATGCTTCTCTTAGCCCTTGCCACTTCCAGACCTCACACCAAGAATTTTGTTTAGGACCACATTATACAAATGTAAACAGCACTGTGGATTAAAGTTTTTTTGGAGTAAGGATCATTTGCAATGGCTTGGATAACAGAGGAACAAACCATGCCAAAGCAGAGAGCAAGCAATTAAGTAGATAAGTTTTTCTCCTTATCAGAATAGAAAAATGTGTGGTTAACTGTTAACAGCACAATGAAGAGCACGACTGGTGCAATGTACAAGGAAACCAAATTATATGGATGCTGCTTGCTTTGTTTCTAGTGCAAGTCTGGCTTATTTTGAATTATTTCCGGATTAAACAGCCTGTCTTCTACCATATAAAATGCAGCTTTAGTTTCTTCACAGTCTTTTTGGCCCTTGAACATCTACAGTTGACCATGAAATCCCTTTTGGTGAACTGCGTCTTCACTTTAAAACATGCTCTTTAACGTCTCTCGTTGCCGTAAGTATTCATTGTGTTGTCATGAAAAGCTTTTATTGCAAAACTCATAAAACTAGTTAAAGACATGTCCTGTGGTAGATGACAAATGGCCATAAAGTTATTCAAATGCTGCTGCAGGACTGTAAAACTTCCTTGATCATGGAAAAAGACACTGCAGTTGTTGGAAACCCTTGAATTAAAATAAAATAGCTGAGGGAACAGATGAGAAACGATGCATCTTGCTCAATGTTTCACAGAATATAAAATAAGAGTACGGTAATCTGCGTGAATATCAAGAGAATTAAATATGCTCTGACCCTTGATGGTTTTCCCTTCCGTTTTCCCACCTTCAGAGTTGGCTTTGGATTTGAAGGTCTATCTTGCAAAGTTCCTCCTGGTAGGCTCTCTCCAACATTAGTGCCTCCTCAGGCAGTTTATCAGCTGGTGACGGCAGCAAGCAACAAGTAGTCCTGTAATCAGTGCAAGGCAGCTGTGAGCAACCCAACATTTTAATTACTATTGCTCTTGTTATTTATTCAATATATTACCCGCCCTTCAACTTCAGCTCCCAGGACAGGCTACAACAATTGAAAGGTCAATTTAAAAAAAAAATCAAATTACCCACAATGCTTCTCACATAGCTCCAGTGGGGCTACCATTTTAATGTTCATCATTGGCCTGGAATGGCATTATATCAGGAGCATTATGGGTAATATAAATGGCAGGTGTCCCAGGGGCACATATCCCAGCAACTGCTCAAGCGTACTGGCACCCACCCCTCCCCTTCTTTCACACATGCCACATTTTGCTTCCTGGAAAGAGTAATAAATAATATAAGTAGA